CGCTACGACGATTCGCCCCCGTGCAACATCAGATGGGTGTCCGGTTCTACTCGGCTGGGGGTGCATTGGGTAAGGACGAGGTTGAGGGGAGGATCATGGATCTTTTGAAGGGCTTTGATAAGGTGAGTCGAGCGCAATGAGTCTCGTTTTGCCTGAGCTAACATCGGTTTAGGTTACCAACCAGGAGAAGGTAAAGAGAGTTCTTGCTGATGGAGCATACCTTGGCTAAACATACGATAGCTGACCCCCGCCGCTCACTTCGCCAACGACCTCGGACTGGATTCTCTCGACACCGTTGAGGTGGTCATGGCCATCGAGGAGGTATATGCCACAACAAACGACATGCAGGGAACCTCGTCTGACCGAATAATAGGAGTTTAGCATTGAGATACCAGATAAGGAGGCTGATAAGCTCCACAGCGGTAAGGACGGTTCACAGTTGGTTTGGACGTTGCTAACCGGTCTTCAGTTCAACAAGCCGTGGAGTACATCACAAGTCAGCCTGATGGTTCGTAGCTATTATTTCTGATGGAATCCCACAGCTAACCATATGCAGCGCACTAAGCAGTCAATGACAGGAATGGTGGAATAGTGAGTGATTGAAGCATTCGACTTCTGGGCTGGTTGCGTTCACCTCCGCTATATAGAAAAAGAGCATGCAGTGCTGTGAGGCTGAAATGGAGCAAATGGGAGCAACATATGTAATATTACAGCTTAGGAAAACTGGTTTGTTAAATCTGAATTGCTTCTGAGACGGGACCATGTCCTCCATGATATTCTGACGCCTTCATCCTCATCGTCTTCATCACAGGCTCAATTTGCTGAGGGATCTGATACCAATCTTCCCATCCGCCACCCCTGCGATGCCAAGAATCCAACCCTGAGCCCTGAAAGTTGCACGACAACCAACGCGTATTAACTTGAGAATGTCATTGACCCAACAACTTGATATTATCCGTTATATTCAACCCATTGTCTCCGTGAATCCAATGGCCTGTTCCCGCTGTGTCAGCCCCACCGAGCAGTTCTGAAATGTTGTAACCGTTATCGCCCATCCTTTATAAACCACCCATGCGACCCGTCTAGTGAACCCAATCCAATCGAAATTTCGACATCCCCTTCGAGGCCACGCGGGCCCCGTCACTCGACCAATTCCCATAACGATCCATCACATCCATTGACCATGGCGTCGACAGCTTCGGGCCTCACGCGTCGGAGAGGGGCCGGCCACGCCGAGAACGAGGACGGCAGTCGCGTCAGCTCTCCGGTGCCGAAGCGCAACGAGGAGAGCAGAGGGCCGGAGACATCGTACGAGGATTCGGAGAACGGGCATAAGATTGCGTTCGACCCGCGGGACATTAGCGAGAATGAGGAGCGAAGTAAACAGCCGAAGCTCACGCTGATGGAGGAAGTGGTCCTGATGGGCTTGAAGGACAAGCAGGTAAGGCATCAATGCGATCACCATGAAACGGAGAGATGCTGATTTCCTCCATCAGGGATACCTATCGTTCTGGAATGATAACATCTCATACGCATTGCGAGGATGCATCGTCATCGAACTGGCGCTCCGTGGTCGAATAAGCATGCAGAAGGACTCGTCCCGGCGACGGTTCCCGCTCCCCGATCGGGTCATCGAGGTCATCGATGATACATTGACCGGCGAAGTGCTGTTGGACGAAGCACTCAAGATGATGAAGTCAAGCGAAGCGATGAGCGTCAGTTCCTGGATCGACCTGATGTCCGGTAACTACTCCTCTGATATTGGTTCTGTGTCGAGCGGACAACTGATGTACAATTACTAGGCGAGACATGGAACCTCATGAAGATCGGCTACCAACTCAAACAAGTGCGCGAACGCCTGATGAAGGGCCTCGTGGACAAAGGCATCCTCCGCACGGAGAAGCGCAACTTTCTCCTCTTCGACATGGCCACCCACCCCGTCGCCGATGGCGGCGCCAAAGACGAGATCCGAAGACGCGTCCGCAGCGTCCTCACCCAACGTACCATCGTCCTCCCCGCCAACCAGTTCCTCCCCGAAGACGCCGAGTTCCGCTACCTACGCACCGTCGTCATGGTGTGCGCCGCCTATGCCGCCAACGTGCTCGAGAACGGTCTCTCCTCTCTCGGCCACGAGGCGCGCGAGCGTGCGTTCGCACAGGTAGACGAGCTGCTGGCCGAGTACTCGCAGTGGCCGTTCGTCCGGCGTGCGGGCGGCTCGCAGGGGATCGGTGCGAACCTCGCGCAGGCTACGAGCGACGAGGTCAATAATGCCAAGGATAAGGAGCTACAGCTCGAGGTACGTTTATCACGCTTCTCCCCCGCCATTTGCTAAGTTCCCGTCTAGGTCGTCGCCGCTTGTTTGAACGTCTTCACCAGACTAGACTCCCTTCTCTGATCCGTTTCGGCTCATCAATCCACCATCGACACTCCCGAAGTGTCGGTATCATTTCCGTACCGCGCGCATACCAGCAGTGGCAGCGAACAATGCTCGGCGGACCCATCGGCTAGCACGCACGCCTTCCTTAGTGGTCTGAATTTCGACAGTGTTTGTAACTACGGACATGCTGCTGGGGGTCGACGGCAGATAGGATTCGTAAGTCCGCTCATCTACATGGCGTCAGGAAGGCAGCGGGATGATCTCTTTGGATGTTAAAAATGGGCAGTATGCTTTGGTCTGTGCTAGCGAGTCGAGCCTTTGGTGCCGCCGTTTAATAAATCGTTAAAACCCATGCCTTGACATCCAGTTGCAGTCCCGCCAGTCGCCATCCATCAAGTTGCGGTCCGACAAACGTGAAGCGCGGCGGCCTTGCAAATGTGCACCCCGCAACATGAAGACCCCGCGAAGTGATATTTGGATTGAGAATGCCCACATGCAGATGACTTGTTCAGTTTGAAATCCGCACCTCCGCTTTCACAACGTACGCAAACGCTTCATTGACCCTCACAGATCAATCTGCAACCATCGACAAGCAACCAAGCCGTCATCCGCATAGCACACACATGCGACGATGCCTCCTAAACCTAAGAAGACGAAAAAGGGGAAGAAGGGCGATGATGACGACAAAGTCAGGTACGTCTGCCCACTCCAAGATCGGAGAATCGCTCTCCAAACTGCCGTTGGCTGACGCTGGCACTTAATCCCGAAGCCATGATGAGCTCATCTCGAAGCTGGAGAAGGTCGAGCTTGCCGAGAAGGAGTCCTATAATCTGATGCTGCAATACATTGATGAAGGCCACGATACCATCGAGGGGAAGAAAGGCGATTCGTACCATAAGGCCATGACCAAGGCCAAAACCGTCACCAGCAACGCACGCGACCAGTACGCCGAAGCGTACGGCATGTGGGCCGCCCAACAGTCTCCAGGAACCATCACCCCAGCGCAGACCGAAGCGCTCTGGGCCCGCATCCGCAAGCGCGGGTACTCCGAACTGTCGTTCAACGTCAAGGCGACCCAGAAAGCCATCGACCAACTGACACAAGCCGGCCTGAAAGACCAATGCACCCGGCCGTTCGAGGAGCTGGTCGAGTTGGGCCAGATCGCGGCCATCCACGTCCTAAAGGACATGCAGCGTGATGGCCTGCTCCCCGCGGGCCTGGCGCCGGATGCGGATCCGACCTCGCCGGCAGGCGTGTCGGCGCGCATCATTGCGGATTTGGCGGCTGCGCAGGAGGCCGCGGAGACGAAGTTCGAGGTGAGTGTGGTTCGTTAACACGAATTGGAAGCAACTGAAAGCAACGATAAACTTACACCGCTTCAGTCCGCAAACGCAGCCCAAGCGACCACCTCAAAGACAAGCAACACCAACGCGGCCATCGCAAAGACAAGCAACAACAAGACGACCTCCGCAAACTCCAAGAACAAGATGGAGACTTCCGCCTCAAACACCAAGAACAAGACGGATACCATCGCCGCAAACACCAAGGGCACCAAGGCGAAAAACTTCAACGCGAAGAAAGCGACAAACAATGGCACTGCTATCGAATCCACCTCCTCCGTGACGAATGAACCACCTTCCGCCACCACGGAAGAACCCTACAACCCCCAACGCGTCGTCGTGATGGCAAAGGTTCATCTCGCTCAACTTCAGGACCTCGTTGTGCAGGCGAAGGAGATCAATGCGAGTCTGGATAAGGCGCTTGCACGTTACGAGGAGCACAAGAAGGAGGACACGGAGGAGAACAAAAGGGAAAGGGGGCAAGTCCAACGGCACTGACTAAGCGGGGACTACTTCAGCTGGCTGTCACGGAACCTTTCTTCAGAGGGATCCAGGAGACGTGAAATGGCAGTGAGAGTGGTGGGACAACTAGGAAGCCATCGATGGAGGTCTATCCAGCTTGAGAACCTTCGGCAAGCCGGTCAAAATTGAGGATCAGGGGCGATTGATCATGGACAGGATATTCAAAGGTCGGCGGACCTGCAGTGTGTACACGCTCTTGCGTGATAGTAGCGTAGCCAATTACCGGTACATCCAGATTACTTCAACTTCTCGTTCATATCAGTGTCTGTTCACACGGTGCTCAATTTCTCTCATGCAACGTCTAGAGCGTACAAGGTGGTTCCCGTATTGCATTGACTTTTTTATTTTTTGCATACATCGCAACCGCTGTGGGAGCGTGACTACTCCAAATTGGCAGGAGGTTGTCCAGAACACGATCCACTTCAGACCCGAGTGAGCACACTCTATCATCGCTAGAATGCTATCATGACAAGCTGGTCAAATGACCTCGCAGAAGATAATTTCCGGTGGCAACCGAAGGCCAGATGCAATCATTGTTGCTATTCGCAGCTATTCTCTTTTCTCTTCCAAATCAGTCTCAGCTGAAGTCTCCGCTGAATCACCTTCCCTCCAATCTTACAGCGGTTCGATGTCACCTTCATGGGAGGGAGTTCATGATGCATGTTCAAAAGTCATACGAACGTCCTTGGATAATAATAATAGGCTTCTTTTAATATGTATGACGCCAGATCCACACATATATATTAAAGGCGTCGACGAAAACCGGGCGCGGGGTGACTTTTCCCCTGGCCCCAAGCAAATAATGGAGCAATATAAAGAGCATGGACAATAATGGAGAAACAGTATGCTGTCAATCTGCAGGGACTTATTACTTGACAGGACGACACTTTACGACAGGGGATGTAGCACAGCAAGGCCAATCGGCAACTTTGTGCGCCAGTAAACTTCTCTTTACCTTCCATCAGTTCTATGCCCAGGATCGGACGGGTGTGGCTCACTGGTAAGGCGAAACACCCTGGAGTATGCGACTACCGTATGCGCCCTTGGAACGAGGAGGAACGCCGCAAATTTGCAACAGCGGTTTCAAACGTCGCGTTACCGTTCCACTCCATCGCGATAGACGAAGCAGTCGACATATGCAAGACGGCATGGGCAAAACTAGCGAACATAGGCGCGTCAAGCCTCCGCGTAGACGCAGGTCCTTCGCCGCTTCTGCAATAGCTGGTGTTTTATAACACCCGTTGTAGGGAGGCCGGGGAGTGACACTGAACATCTGGGATGGCCCTGGATCAAGCTATCCTCCTGACCATACCCAAGTCCTTAGGACTTAGACACCACGTTGCTGCCTATCCACTGGCTCTAGACGATCGAGCAAAGTACTTACACACAGTCCAAGCTCAGACTTACCTGCAGATCGTGCTGCTTCCTCCACATTGCCGTACATCAGTACCGGTACCGGTACCTAGGAACTGCGACCGATAGGTACACCGGACCCCCGCAGAACAGTTCACTGGCATCATAGCTCTATGGAAACAATTTGGCCGAACGTCTGAAGAAGCAAACCGCTGCACGCGATGGCGAACTGGTTCCGCCCCCATTCCTAACCTAAAGATCCTCCTTCAGAGACCTAAGGATGGCTAAGATAGATATATTGCACTCGAGATGGCGCGGAACTTGCGTATGAACTCTCAAGCGGATCTCATTAGTGGCAATGCGGACGCTGGCACTCAGTCGCCCCACTGTTGTGGACGCCCACCACCGCTAAATCCGCATTGCACATCGAACTTGCCAACTGGAGAACGGGGAGAGATGAAATGGATGCCAATGGCCAATCAAATTTCCACTTCTCTATGGACATCTGGGCAGAATTAATGAAAACTAACGATGCGCATGTAGCCATGTACCCATGTTGCTAGACCGTTGGCTTGTCATTCCGAAATCCGAATCCTCCGAGCTCCGCCCTCACCTTCTGAATCAACCCCGGATTACTCTTGTATTCCACTACAGGTCACCGAATTGGGAGGAAACGACTCCTCTGAGAAGGTCACAAGCCCTCACGACCAGATCCTCCGCCTTCCTCTTGCTCCATGCTTGGTCAGAGAGCGCATGACCGCGAGATGTCCGTGCCTGATTACTTGTCCTCGTGGCGCAGATGCAGGCAAAGCTTCCTCCCATGTACCCAGTACCTCTGGGCTCTGGACCAAAATAATTTGCCGCTCTCCTCATTCCCCAGGCGGTAGGTCGGGGATAATTACGATTTCCAGCTCGCATCGCTGTATTCGTCGAACACTCGAACTGTTACTGCAGACGCCGTGCATCCACAAGGCTTTGGAATCACGTAACCCCCCTGTGACCCTTTCCTAGATCCTGGTCTCAATGGTCGAGCCTTCGGCCGTCTTTTCACAATCATACGAGCCATTCAAACTCCGTCACTAACGCGGGCAACGCCCGAGTGGAGCTATTTTCTGGCCTTCCCCGCGCTTCTCCTCGCAAACTTGTCGTCTCGTGTGGGCGCTGGGCCTGGCGAAGTTGGTCTCTCGTGTTGCCACAAGGGTTAAACGAAAATGCCAAGCTGGGCTTGATGATGAGCCCTTGCACGTTCCAGGGCCTAGCAAGGACAGACCCTCGAAACTTCGATACCCAGACTTGAAGAACACCGTAACGGAATATGGACATCAAGATGAAGGATGGTACATATACGCTGCATGCCGTCACCCAATCGCTTCCTTCACCATGAGTCCATAACATATCTGGATACACCAAGAGCAGTATCTGAAGCTCTCCCGTATATCGCTGCGAAACACATCGTTTCCCCGCCTGTGTTCCCTTCAACCACACGAGCACTTCACAGCGTGTCACGCCTTGGACTGCACTGGGGAGGGTTGCGGCAAGCCACCCGAGCAAGCTTGCGAGCCCTATCGCTCCAATTACTACCATGTCCAATGTTGCTTCCCCAGATGTTGGAACAATTAGTCCCGTCTCGAGTTCTTCGAAGAACACGACCCACTTCCAGAATGGCGTTCCCCACGCTTATTTTCCGCAAGATGCTTCCTTTGTCTTTCAATCACCACCTCATCTTCCAAGCTACCCCGAGAATTCAAATCTTGTCCTTAAACGGTCGTCGGCTCCTCCTGTTCGTCAGCCTGATCTCGTTTCCTGGAGCCCGCAGCTAGGGAATGGCTACTTCATGGCGAACGGAGGCCATGGTCCCATAACATCCGCAAGTCCAATTGGCCGACCTCGAAATATGTCTCAGTCTTCGACCGATCGAGAGGGAAAGGATGGTTTGAATCCACCTACAAGCCCGTCTCTCAGCGATCAAAAATTAAATCCCAAGAAACGTCCTAGCACCGACCCGATCGACTATCCAAGGCGGCGGGCAACTATCGCGGTATGTACGATCCATGGAGGTTTGCTTCCTGCTATAGACGTTACACGAGTCCTTCTTCCTCCTCGATGGTCGATGGCGTGCTAACAGTGGCATGTTTATAGTGCGAAATATGCCGATCAAGGAAGTCCCGCTGCGACGGACAACGCCCAAAATGTCGACTGTGCACCGAACTCAACGCAGAATGTGTGTACCGTGAACCTGGGATCAAATTGGACGCTGGCGACAAGTTGATCCTCGAGCATTTAAACCGAATTGAAGGCATGCTGCAATCGAACCTGAGGGCTCGAGCAAACAGTTTCAGCGTCGCCCCGTCACTATCACCACCTTTGACCAACGGAGCCACGGTCGCAGAGGAATCCGGACATCGACGACCAAGCACGATGTCGAATTTCGGTGTTGCCTCTGGGAATGGAGCGAAGACGTTCAACAGTACGACGTCGAACATCTCGACCATGCCCAAGACGCATACCACCCCCGCCCTCAATCTATTACAGTGGCCCATGATTCGCGACCTAGTCTCCCGTCCATATGACCCCCAAGTCCTCCTACAGTTAGAAATGTCCCGAGAGCCGCTTCATTTACCACCAGTGCACACCATCGACCTTGCCGGCTCCGCGAACTATATTCGCGCATTCTTCGAACGGGTCAATGTGTGGTACGCGTGCGTCAATCCTTTCAGCTGGACAAGACTTCATCACGCTGCACTTTCTCAAGGCTTCCAAGAAGGACCAGAGAGCTGCATCGTGCTACTTGTCTTAGCACTCGGCTGTGCAGAGTGCGCTGGCAGCATGTCGCGCCAGCCGCTTGACCGGGACCCTCCAGGGATCCAGTACTTCGCGGCAGCATGGGCTTTGCTTCCAAGTATGATGATTCGCAATAACATTATGGCTGCACAATGCCATATCCTCGCGTCCGCTTACCTTTTCTACGTCGTCCGACCGTTGGAAGCCTGGAATTTGCTTACCAATACGAGCATGAAGTTACAACTTCTGCTCAGTGGTTCGCGACTCCCCCAACACGCCAAAGTTCTGACTGAAAGAGTGTATTGGAACACACTGCTCTTCGAAAGGTGGGTGACTTGCCTATTTTTAGACGTCTGAATATCGATGGTTTTAATGACAAGCAACTGACTCCTCTATTCCAGCGATCTCCTCGCAGAACTCGACCTTCCGCATTCGGGGATCGTTCAATTTGAAGAGACCGTTGGACTCCCTGGCGGATTTGAGGACGAAGGCGACGAACCAGTTGGCAAAGACGAGCTATGGTACTTCCTGGCGCAAATTGCTTTGCGTCGATTGCTCAACCGCGTGAGCCACTTGATCTACGCGCGATCATCGGCAACGAAGAGCCCATCTTCCCTCGACGCAGTCGTTGCAGAGCTGGATTTCCAGCTCACGCAATGGTATGATGGGCTGCCTCCCGCCGTGCGGTTCCCACAAGGCATGAATCCTGGAATGGCAACGGCTGCACCAGTTCAGACCGTACTAAGGTTACGATATTATGCCTGTCGAACGATTATTTTCCGACCGTACATTCAGGCTGTCTTGAACGACGAATCAGCAGCGATCGACCCATCTGTCCAGGATAATTGCCGGAAGTGCCTGGAGGCGTGCATCAGGCAGCTCGAGCACATCACAGCACAGTATGTTCCCTCCTTTCCATTTCTAAACCTATCGCCCTATCCATACAATTGAAATGAAAGGATACTAAAAAAAGTATCATCATAGTCACGCTGGCCACCTTCCGTACTTGTGGCAAGGGGCCCTCTCGTAAGTCAATCCATCCCTGCTGGTACCAAGCTGCCACAATATAAATTCAATATATGCTAACCCGGAAATTTGAAATTGCCACAGCATCGTTTCCCAGGCTCTGTTGATCATGGGAGCCACAATGTCACCTTCACTTTCCGCACTTTTGCCCCCACCGGACCAAATGGACGTCATGATCGAGGAAGTCATCCGCGAAATCGAAAGATATGCCGCCCTTGCTCCGAGCATTCGACTTTCTGCAGAAATTGTCCGAGAGGCCGAGAACCGACGACGCGTATTTTTGCGGTCACCATCGGCGCCCTACAAGGTCTGAACTAGGCGTGCCTGCCACCCAAATTTCTTTGGCGAACGGGAATAGCAGCACGCAATTTCCATTCCCTGGCTTTCCAGATTACGGTGGCTGGTATTTTACGCTATCCTCATATGCGGCAGTTGCCGAATATTGCACGGGATGCCTCTACCACGGCCTCGGTATGAAAGCGATCGTCCTATAATGATCTTCTCCTTGGCAGTTGGCTTCCCACCGGCGATCATCGATCATCAAAGGATTCAATTGTGCCACGCATCACGGACTCTCCAGAAAACAAGCAACTTCTACCATATCCGAAGAAGTACCTGTCGTCAATGGACCGCTCTGGGTTCCTTTATTTTATTGTAATCCTCAGTACCTTGTATGTTAAGAGTACGCCGAAGAAGGAAAGCAAGATTACTCCAAGTCGACCGTGGCAGTTCTTCACAGGTTCCCACGACACTCATGGGCCTAGACAGTTCCCTGTGGAGTGCTACACTTTGGTCGGTGTTTCAGTCACTTCATCTGACGTCAACACTCGAGACAGAGTTACTATTTATCAGGCACAGTCGAAGTGGTGACTCCCTTCAAGCTGAGGGTTCTTCCCAATACGCCTACTTTACACGTCTGGAGCGGATACTTCTCCGATGTCACTTTTACACCAAGGGAAGCACAACTAAGCCGTGTTCGGTGAATTGGCTGTCTTACGTATAGGACTTGAGATGGTGATTGCCTTCAGCGCTGGATCTCGATCGCGTCTTGTTTTCACACTGTATTTTTTCGTTCACGATTTAGCATGGTTGGCGTGGTCATTTTGGGGAAGTGCGATCAACTGGTTGGCCCGTATTTTCATTGAACTAAAGATACCCTTCGTTTCATCCTGTGAGAGCGACTTTTCTTTGGTCTTTTAGAGCGCTACTAGTGTACGCCAAGGCAACTGTGGATCAAACCTGTTTTGTCATATCTTGAGAGTTAAGACTATTTTGATTACGAGGTTCAATTCTGTTGATACCCAAACTTTCGAGCTGAGCTTTACCTATTTACAAAATGGTTAGGGAATGGTTATACATTTTGTCAACTGTGCACGGTTCCTGTAAGAGGCATGCCAGGAACAGGAAAGGCGCATTCGAAGGGCAGGACGAAGTCCTCAAAATCTTTGATCTTGAAGTCCCCGCACATTCGCCATCGCCCTCAGCGCTCGTGTTCCGAAATCTTAGCTGGAGTCCCGAGTCCTTGACGTGGTGTGCCGTGCGCATGACCATTCTCGATGTGGATGGAAAACGAGCAAAAGCTCGCTCAGGATCTGCAAGGAGCGCCAGGAGCAGCGTAGGCCAGACTTTGATCCAAGATATCCCCGCTGCGGGCAGAAATCTGAGGGTGGGGTGGAGTAATCGGCAGGTCTGAAAGCTCCTCCTGGCAAGGAGTGGCAGCATGGCCTGCGTCAGCGGGCATGTACCGGTCAAGTTCGTTGCAGCCATTACGGCATGAAGCGGGTATAGGATATGGAAGTAGAGATCGGTCAGTGTCTGGCGGTTATCAGGTTATGTTTTGTCATTGGGTGCACTTCTGATCGCACTCAATATCAAGCACGACCCTTCAATACCTGGCTTGATTGAACCCAGTAACCTAACGGCAGCACCCTGTATTAGCTTCACTTCCCCCATGCCGGCATGGTCCGCGAAAAGCCTGTGCGACGCCCCCGCCAGCTGGAATTCATGGATAAAACATGGAGATCCCGGCCCTCGTCTGCCACTATCAGCCACCGACTCTCCCTGCCATGCCACGTTCTGACCCTGCCCAGTCTCAATTCTGCTGTCTCATTTCCCCTGGGCCCTGGCTGACTGGCTGACTGGCTCTGCAGACTCCACGCTGGCATAGAGTGTTTGCTCTGCCGTTCACACACTTCTCCTCCACATTGAGCGAATGGGAATTGGAATCTCTCAACTCACTGCTCCCAGCAGTTTGGTTGCGGATATTGCCTGCCGCACGTTCCTTCAACTCCAGGGTGATGACTCGAGTGGTGAACAGGATTACAGGAATACAAAATACATGCTCAAGGTTCATAGGGATACGTTGGACCTGGTGACCTACCTAACAGGCTGTTTGTTCATTTTGCAGAGAAGGAAAATATACACTGAGATAGCGTGGCTGTCTGGTAGATTCCAGAGAGGCACTGAATTGCCAGTTCCCCGCACAATGGTAACCTAGCAAAGCATTATCGGAGGACGGCGTAGAATCGAAGTTAGTCTCTTTTATTCACGATCTCCGTTGGACTGTTTCGCAAACGGCAGCGCCCATTGCCGCCTCCATTGTTACTAGTTACTACTGTAGACGATCTTAAGCGAAACCTTCGAATTATTTCTAGAAACTCGCCATCCCCACAGAATATCAAGCCACCGATGCATCTTTTCGACCTCTCAGAACACCTGAATTCTCGTTCTTATCCGAAATAAGTATGCAACAGTTTCTGTCTTCATGCATCGATTGCGGGCCGTGAAAACTAAAATTGCTTCAACGTTGATCTGATATCGCCCATACGCACAGTTCATGGTCCGCCCTCAGCCTCGCATTCCCGTCCGCACAGACACGCTGTTCCTTACTTCCCCTTTTCATGCCTTCTGCTACCCCTCTCCCGGCGTCATTTGGTCTCCGAACTCCTCCGCAGTGAGCGACACTTGGAAAGTTTTTATGTGCTTAAGCCTTAAGGGGAATTGCCGGAGATTCATCCCGTCAGCCTCCCTGCTGCAGGCCACTTCGCTAGCCAAACACTGTTACGGTTTACGACACAAGTCCTCGGTATCCCTGGGGTCGTTGGACGTCATTCGCCAGTGAACGCCATGACAGTCGATCTGTGAGGGGATTCCCTACTCATACATAGAATAGTGGAGAGGTCCTGGTAGAAGGAGCAAATGATCGGTGAAGGGATTGAAGAGGTGAGAGCTGGGGACAACGCAGAATTCAGAGGCTTGCATGCAGGAAGACACGCTCAGAAGGTGACATGTAGATGGTATCTCTATCGGATATTCGGATGGGTAGCGATGCACCTGTTGCGACAACGGCTCAAAGAACCAGGGCTTACGGAGTACTACGTATGTGTTTCTTAAGTACGTAGTACTGTCTTGGATTACATCCCCGTGGTCTCAAATTTGAAACAACATTAACCTAGCGCCTTATGAGCCCAGACATCCATGAATGACCATGATCCACGAGAGCGAGCGAAGGATTGTGTTTTTGCTCTCCGAATGGCATGTGGAAAGGCCGGAGATAAAGAAACAAAGATGATACACAGGTGGTGGCGCGAGCCTGACTCAATTCGAGTATTTCTCAAGACAACGATATAAAGGTAATACTGTAACAATAGCATTTCGAACTGGGGGATCAAATCCATTCTGGAAAATTGCGATTTGGTAATACGAAGTTGTAGCTCTTCCGTAGAAGGCATGATAAATTAAAATGCATTTGCCGATATAATGATATCGCAATTTCTAACCACCGTCGGCGGTAACATGAATGTGTAATAGATGGGTTCAACCCCATCGAACTAACATAGAACTCTGAGGAGCCATTATCCGATTTGGCTCAGTAACTCTCAGAATCGTAACCCGATGTTGAAACTCCGACATAACCCATAATTCAGAACCCATCTGATCTTCCGGGAGGACTTCTCCCTCTTACCCAGATAACGCCGTGCCACTATTGCTGGCGATAGTAGCCCTTCAAAGCATGCAATACCACCGTTCCCTAACGCCTTCCGAAATCAACGACTCTTCCTCCTGTCTCTCAACCCCCAATCCTGAGCCGCCAACTCCCTCGCCAGCCGCTCACTCTTCATCTCGTCCGTCTCCTCCTCAATTACCTCCTCTAACCTCTCCACCTTCACCCCAAAATCCGTCGCGGCCTGTCGAGCCATGCTCGCCACATTGGCTCGTGCCGCCAAGTCTCCAGAGAACGACACCGAGCGACGCTGGGATCCTCGCGCAGTCGTGGGGCTCGTGGCGGAAGGTCTCCGCTTCGACATGCCCGACTTCGCGCTGCCGTGAAGCTCGGGGCTCTTGCTTCTCGCCGCCGACGTCCCAGTTGACATGGATTTTCTGCGCGCTAGAGTCTGGTGCGGCGTCTCGAACTTGGGCGGTGCGAAGCGGTCGACTGGTTTGATGGCGCGCGACGAATGTCGTGATAACGACTGCGGGTCACTGACCTGTCGTGTGTCCGATGCGCGCTGGTCCGGATGTACGGGAGCAGTTCCAGGCGAAGTGCTTGCTGCTCTCGCGGGCTCGGTTAGTGTAAATTGACCAATTTCTGCTTGGGTAGGAGTAGCCATCTGCAAAGCATCGTGCATAGGTCTGCCTTCGAGCTCGCCGTTTGCCAGCGCAGATAATGCTTCCAACGGCGAGTAGGCCGACTGACCATGGGAGCCATTTTCTGTTGCCAAGCCCAAGAACGGCGGCACTGAAGCGCCAACCTGGTCCCCTACCCCGAATGCGCCGTTAATCGCGTTCGGAGTCGAGTCAAACATTGCGGTATCATCTTCAGGAGGAATCTTGATGTCATCTTCAAAGTGGAGACGTTTGGTTGGATGCTGATCGGTATCCTCGCTCGTCGGTGCAGATCTCTTCTTACCCCCACTAGAGCCTCGTGGGATGGACTTCTCATTGAGTTTCACGACATCGACATTCCCATTCTCATCATGTATGCAGCGCCGCTGTGGGAGTCAGTTATCTGGAAACCGAGTGAAGGGTGAAAAACGAAGATTCTTACCTTGCTGACTCGACAGGTTGCACACGCCCGATTTCTGCCTTTCTTAGAATCCGGGCTGGACCCCATTCCCGCATCGAGCTGAGGGCCGTTGCTTGGGCTGGAGCTTTCCTTTCGCACAATGGACGTTGTTGCAACGTCTCCCGTGGCAGATGATGGCTGGCCACCGTTCGAAGGCACGACCATCGCAACCAATCGGTTGGTCACAGTGGCATTGTCTGATTGAAGCAGTTGTGAATCCTTCGTGCCCGGTGGCGTAGCGAGTTCATCCTTATGCTTGCACCTGATCCGGCGTTTTCGACACGCATCGCAAGCAATTCGTTTAGGCCCGAGAACTGAAGTTTTCGGCGATGCGACATGTTTCGACATGGCGTCTGGACTCTCTGGCACCGAGCCACTATTGCTTGCCATTGGTGGTTGCTCGGGGGCCGGCGTCGTTGCTCGTTCGACCCTTGGGCTTTCTGCTTTGGTCTTACTCTTTCGTCTCGCACCTTGTCGCTCCGGAATTGGTCTTGTTGCCATCCGCTCTAACCTCTTCAGTGCCGCATCACTGATCTTCTGTTGCCCAGTCTCCCCGTTGCTTGTGGCTTCGACACCAGGTAATGTCGAGTCTGGATGCGCCCAGTCTGGAATCGGCTCGTTGCCGCGTTTCCACGCAACCCACATAGCGAAGAGACGGATAGACTCTAGTGGATCTAGATCCAGGCGAGATTTCGGGATCGACCGACAGACCGCATTCCGCGTCTCTGCTTTGATGCCCTCGACGCGACCCAAAGAAATCATAACGGTTCGGAAAATATAACCAACAAGATCTGGGAGTCCGTCCAGCTCGGCTTTGGAATAGTATCGCGCGTTGTAATTCTCTGGGCCGTGGTCCGAATTGAGACCGAACTTGTTTGGCTCCTCGTAGGTCGGTGTAGCCCGAGGGAAGACTTGTTTGGATAGGAAAAGATCGCGGACGACCTCGGGTACAGGATCCGTTTCAAGATACTTCATGACTGCATACCAAAGCACCTTTTGGAAGAACGGGTATCGGAATCGCTGCGGTACCTTCGTTGCTTTCTCAATCTCCAAGATCTTGAGCTGCATGGAGTAGCTCAGGCGGGTGAGGAAGTTACCACCAATCACAAGGCTGTCTTCGGGCGTCCAAACAGAATGTATCCAGCCGGAGGGAATGAACGCCGTGTCCCCAGGATATAGATCGACTCGATAGCATTCGCCGTTACAGGCATCGCCAAGCCACGTCCAATTTTGAGCCGGGGAGCTTGACCATTCCTCGTACTTCTTGAGATTCTGCTTGGTCGGCGGGATAAAGAAGAAAGTCTTGCGGCCCTTGATGATGTGGTAGAAGACGGACGATCCACCAAAGTCTATGTGAAAATCCGTGTAGCAATCCGCAACGGACATGAGACAGTAAAACTGGACATTCGGCGACGGTTCTTCTTCAGGCCAGACTTCCTCTTGGAGATCCAACTCTCGTGCTGCTGTTGGTCGCTTCAAGAGACGCCCCAACTTGCTCATAGAGACCTCAAGACTGATGACATTGCGAATGGGCTTCTCGCCTTCGGCCTCGTAGTAGTCTGCCCAGCGGCTGAGGGTCCACACCTTGTCGGTTTCTTGCGACTTGACGTCGATAACGTCGAGCTTTTCGTGCTCTCCATAAAGTTGCGCCACTCGCCTTACGGTTAAACCTTCGGGGATCACCATGCCGATTTTGTCTTGTCCCTCGTCAAGGGCATAGTCGAATTCAAAATACTCGTCGAGCTCTTCGTTAGAGAATCCAGTTGGATTTTCTTCTGCAAGGGCAGGGGCGTCGGCTCCCTCCGTTGGTTCAGGCGACCGTCTGGTTCCGGGGATAGTTGGACGTGGGTTCCAGGCTGCTGGGACGACGAAAGGTTCCTTCATGCCTCCGCATTTTTCGAAGTATTCGGCGGTCACCAACTCAGGGGGAATGCGCGCGAACTGGTCTGGACTGTAGTTCAGAGTACCTTCCTTGATCGGCTTAATATAATGGTGTTCATGTTCATTGTCCTCGGTGGGACGAAGAACGCCTTCATTGAGACCAGCGTAGTCAACGGCAGCTTGAGCACGAGAGGATTTGCGGAGATCTAGACATGGTACGGTTAGCCCCGTATAAGCAACCTCGCTTGGTCCGGACTTACATGTTGTAGGCCCTTTCTTTGGAGTGCAGTCAGTGCAGAAGAACTTATCCACTCTTCGCACCTCGCGTTCGTTTTTGAACCCGGCGCAAGCGATGTGAAACCATTGATTGCATCCATTGCATTCAAGCCATGATACAATTTCGCCGTTTGAGGTGCTTGGCTTGGCTTTGCAGCCAGCGCAAGTGGTAATATCTTGGTTCCGGTTCCGTCGCCTCTGCCTGCCATCTGCTTTCTGAGGACCGCTTTCGGAAGACGGAGTCACTTCAGGAGGTGCGGAAGCGAGTCGAGTATGGCTTGGTGCCTCGGAAGTTGCTCCAGGTTGGCTCGAGAGTCCGGAAATCGACTTCCGTCGAGTTCGTTCTTTATTTTCGAGTTCCCTTTTAGTTTCCATCATCTCAGCTCGGAGTTGGCCCGTACTGCGTGCCCTCGGTGCTGAGACTTGACGTGTGGTAGACCCAGGAGGTCTCCCGACTCTTGCCTTCGCTCCAGTTTTCGATGTCCGCTTAGACGTGCCAGCTTTCGTCCGGGGCCCTCGAGGTTTTCCTTTGGGCCATCCTTGGTGTGATTTCTTTGGCGGAGGTGCGGCATGTGGAATGTGTGCCTCCTGGTTATCGAGTCTGGGTGGTTCGGACTCGTCCGGCGGCGTGTGGGTCTGAATGATGGAAGAAGTCCGGTTGTTCAAGCTATATCCATTGCTGGGAACCGAGTTATAGGAATCTGGGGGTGTGAGGTCTTTGGCCGGGCGGTATTCACTAGCCTGGTGGCTCGTCGGATTCATGCTCTGGTCGAACTCCGGCCTCACCCAGTTAGTACGGGCGTACATCTCCAGGCGCTGGACTGCGGTTGGGTATTGACCTGAAGGGAAATGATTCCCCATTCCTGGGGGGCCTCCGCCATTGAAGAGGTCGAGGAGGATGCTCCCAACAAGCAGATCGTCATTATCGTGGTTCTCCGCTTCGTTGCCGGCCGTCCGAGGATCCACAACTCCAGATAGCGCGGAAACTTTGGCGGAAGCCTCCGTGTTTTGCGACAGACCATAGGGTGGATTATAACTTGTCGCGGGCCGAGAGGATGATGACTGAGGCAAATCGCGCAATGTGATTGCCTCCGACCTTGCTCGTTTCGACGGACGTTCGATGGCGCCGTTGCTGAATTCCTGGGGTAGCGGTCGGCGCTGAGTATTCTGCGCGTATGAGAAGTAACCGTTTGCGAATTGCGGCGACGATTGTCCATGCGATGCGCGTCGCGAATTGTTGTCGAAGGTAGGACTCGTCGCAAGGGCGACCGAGGCGAGGGTATCGATCGGGGACTCGGGGATTTGGGATTGCGGGCGGTGTGCATGCGTACGTTGGAAATTGGAATACCGGAGGCCTTTAGATTCGTTCTCTGATTCCGTTTCGTCGTCTTTCCGTTCGAATGACAAGTTCGGTATGGTGGGTACGGATTGAGGCACACCGGTGGCTATAAGGTTAAGGGTCGGCTTGAGAACCGGTGATATAGGCTCTACATTCGCAGTAACCCGAGGAGAAGGCTTAGGGATGAGGCCCATTAACTGGTATTCTTTCTTGAAACTGTTGAGGGCCATGATGGTTGATGACTAGAGGTGGGGTGAAGTTCTCGAGCTTCGGAGGTCGGACAAGCGGGCGCTAATGCTACCACGCCGTCAAAGTCATTTGGAAAGAAATAATATTGTCAGGCATGATATTGAAGGCTTTATGATCGACTGAGATCCGACCTGAGGCAAGAGAAGCGGTGGTTGAGTGAGCGTTCAATGGGATACTAGGCGGGGAGATGGATTCACGATGATACTGCGCCGAGTTCAACAAATGAAGTTGAATCACATTCACGTGACTGCGGTTGATCAGCCCTGAAGTGTATGCCTTAGGCATTATTTCCAGTTCCTGCAGAATTCGAATTTGAAAATGGAATTTAGAGGGTCGATATACGCTGTATCGGCTTCAATTGCCTTACCGGTACGTATCATATATAGGAGAGAATATGGTTCATTCTGACAACAACTCCGGATGGACTCGAGGACAAAGCTCTGAGATATTGAAGTCAGAATGCGGAGACACAAGCCGAGAACACTGCGGATGTATTCCAATGCTTAGGCCCAGATGTTTGGATCCAGTTGGACAGATTCTCGCCAGTGACAAACAAAACTGGCCTATGGAGACTGGGAATAACTGACAAGGACAAGCAACTATTGGAAACTTCATCAAAATGTCATCAGTTCTTTGTTCAACATAAGTTGATGCCTCATGATAGCAAGCACGTGATATTATCGCCACGGCGCACGTGCCTCCTTGCCAAGTCACTCACTCTTCCCGTCTTCCCCTCGTTGTTCCGCCGTTCGCATCGCACCATCAATCGTTCCGACTCCCGGTCAAGGTATCTTCATTTCCACTTCCTTCTTTCTTTTCAAATCCCTCGAAACCCAGTGTCACTACAAGCGCCTATCCAAGCTATGAGTCGCGGTGGGAAGCTTGCCCCAGAAGTCAACCGGTATGTCTTGCAGCCCCAGCGCTGGTCGAATGCAACCATGTGTGGCATCAAAGGAGAATGTTTCGCTGACGGTTAGGGATCGCCTACAGTGCTCTATTCGTCAAGAACTTGAGGTATGTGCATATTCCGTTGGATATATCTCGGTATCGCTCCAGTGGCTGACTCTTGTGTCCAGCTACAACGTCACCCCGGAAGAGTTATTCGACCTCTTCGGCAAGTTCGGCCCTATCCGTCAGATCCGTCAGGGCATCGCGAACAACACAAAGGGCACCGTCTTCGTTGTCTATGAGGATGTGATGGACGCCAAAGGCGCATGTGAGAAGCTCAACGGCTTCAACTTCCAGAACCGGTATCTGGTTGGTATGTGTCTGCCCCTGCCTCCCCCCTCATTTCTCGCCGGCAAATTCTCATTCCGTCCGCAGTACTCTATCATCAGCCCGAGAAAATGGCCCGATCAAAAGAAGACCTAGAGGACCGCAAGGCCAAATTAGAAGCGCTGAAACAGGAACATGGCATCGAATAGCATGAGGCGCGGCCCGTCGACCAGCCCGCGTCCGCGGGCCGCATACCAGAGAAGAAACGACACTGTTCGAGTTCGACAAGTTCGACGGCGTCAAGTTCCGGCTCCCGTCGTCATCATGGGAGTGCGAATCCGAAGCCTCCTTACCCCACCTCTGACACTCGCCGATCTTCTAATTCGAGTTCGGAGGGCGCAAAACATTCGAGCGAGCGGCAGAAGAACCAGAAGATGTTCTTTTCGCGCTTCAACTACCGAGCCATTACAAGCAACAAGCTTGTGTCAAGGGCTGGATCGGTGCTAAAGAAGGCATCCGGAGGCCCTGCGCCTGTGGCTATTTAAAGGGGTTCGGAGTATGCATGCGGGAACCGCATGTGGACTTGTGGAGTTCTGAATTACGGGTGGAACATGTTTACATTCATTATGGCGAATGGAATGGTTATGTGACACGCAGACGACGTGTCTTGATTTATGTCAAACATTATCCGAGACTGCGCAAGGCGGTTTAAAGACGATAGCTGATGGGCTCAAGTCCCGATGAGATATTCTTCAACTCAACTTACATAACATTGATGCTGTACTCAAATGAATACTGTACTCTCACCATATTAACACCAGGCCTCGAGTTTATTGAATGATCTGTAACGCTTCCCTCGTTGGAACTAGAAAGTTGCGCGTCCGAATACCCCTAATTTGTTTGTGGCCCGTGACTGATATCGCGAAATCACTAGAGTGGATGACGACGATATTGATCCCGCTGGGTTTTTGATTCCGAAATATATATACACGAGCAATGATTGCAAACACTTTTTGGTCCCCCTCGTCACTTCTCAACCCGAACTCTCGTACCAGAACGGAGTAAACGGCCGGTAACCTTCAACAAGCTCAACGCCAGGAAGTTGTGATCGCCCATCGGAAACCACCTCGCCATAGGAAGTATACCTGAGCAGAGCAGAGAAAAACGGAAAATGGAAAATGGAGACCAGGGACCAGCAATTAATCACGAAGCTGATGCCTGCATATTTATGCGGCCGTTACCATCGTCGACGCCGGTCAGTCCTGACAATCAGCCGCTTAGTTGATCGAGATCATCTTGATGTCGAACACCAGAGTGGAGTTCGCCGGGATGCCAGGGATAGACTGTGATCCATAGGCCAAGTTGGCGGGGATCGTGATGCGACGCTCTCCTCCCACGTTCATTCCGACGATACCGATGTCCCAGCCCTTGATCACCTCGCCGGTGCCCAGTTTGAACATGAATGGTTTGCCGCTCTTGTTGGCATCGAAGACCTTGCCATTCTTGTCAAGCTTCCCGATGTAGCGCATGCCGACGCGATCGCCCTTCTTCGCGTGCGGACCGGTCCCGAGCTTCTTGTCGTCGATTTTGACGCCCTGGATGGTCTTGACGCCGAGGACGGGCTTTCCCTTCTCCGCCTTTGCATCAGCCTTGCCGTTCACGCCGTTGGCCTTGGCATCGGCCTTGGTAGCCTTCTGGTTCGTCGGGCCTTGCTCGAGCTTCTCCGCGAACTGGACCTTCTTGTCGCTCTTCCCATTCGCCTGTTCCTTGACCGCGTCTTTCTTGTCGGCGGTGCTGGCGGCAGCGACGGCTTGGCCAGCGTTGTTCTTCAGCTTCTTCTGCTGCTTCTTGCTCAGCGGCTGCTCGGCGGCCTTGGCCTCCGGCTTGAGGGACTTGTTGATGATATCGTCGAGAGAAGCATTGATATCCTCATCCTCCTCGGCGGGGCGCTTCTTGCCTTTGCTCTTATCCTTGCCTTTGGCCTTGATCAGCTTCGGGGCCTCCTCTTCGTCCTCATCGACCTCGGTGACGCGCTGAGCCTGGAGGTTATCGAGTTCGTCGAATTCCGAGTCGTCTCCCGACTCGCCCTCGAAATCACCGTACATGTCCTCCTCGTCGGATTGTTCGGTCTCGCCAATGGCTTTGAGGATGGTGAGGAGCTCGCGATTAGGGCCGGTAGGCATGCCCTCTTCGTCTTCCTCCTCTTCCTCCTCCTCGGCGTCTTCCTCTGATAGGACATAGTTGCCGGTAAGATGGACGTTGAAGTTGCCTTTGACTCTGAATGAAACTCCGTCAAAGTGGCTGATCTGGACGTCCAGCGGCTGTTGGCAATGCTAGTGGATGTTAGCAAATGAAAAATTCCTAGGGGTGTGACAGAAGAAACGAACCTGATTGGGGTCAAGAGTGCAGATCACAACTTCTTCAGCGAAGTCGTCATCCTCCATGTCATCGGACTCGTCGTCATCGGAAATGTCCATATCGACGAGCTTGCCCTTGCCCTTATTGACCTTGGTGCCGTTAACCTCCGCAAGCAGGTCCTCGTCCATGGCATCTGCAAGCTCCGAGTCCGCCAAGAGAGCTTTCCTCAGCGCAGCCTTAGCCTTTGCCGGGTCGCTGGGGCCAGCGTTTGACTCTTCATCGTCATCTGACATATCCTCGTCCGAGTCCATGCCGAGAGGCAACCTTCCCATGATCCCCTCGATGTCGTCGGAGTCCAGGGACTCGCCATCCATATCAGGGCCCAGTTGTCGCCAGATCGGGTCCCGAACCATATAAAGAGTGGCGATTTGCTTCGCCGAATCGTTTTCTGGCTCATCGAATGGGTCAATCGCAGCCATGGTAAGACGGATCTGAGCATGGTTAGCACAATCTGATCACCGTTTCTCGACATCCTGAAATCGAGGACCTAAAGCCGGAATTGGAACTCACCTTCATGGGCTTCTGGGTGGCGGGGATCTCACTGCCATCACACGGGATGGTCAGGCCGAAGAGGGCTCGGGGAACGTGAATGGCGGACATTTTGGATATATGTGAGGTTGATGAAGAAATAGGAATGTGTGTAGAAGGCCGTTGACGGCTATTCACTAGATTATATCCTGTAAAGCAGAATCTGCAATGCTCGATACTTATCTTTAGTTGAAGAAGTGAGAGGAAGGGGTGGAAGAGGAGCGGAAGGATTGAATTGAAGTAAATAATGTGGATAATTGCCTCCAAGGCCGTTGATAACAAAATTTCGGTGCTAAGATTTCAAAAGTGGGTACCACAGGGCGAAATGGCGGCGTGGTCATGTGATATCGCGTTGGCCCAGCCACACGTGCAACACCTAATGCAAGACAAAGGCGTGTCGTGATGTCGCCACCATATATCATGCAAGCTGTACCCGTCTAGATAGTGTTCACGAGTTATATATACCGGTTGGGTATCTTTTGTCGCCGAAACCAGATGATGGTTCCTTTCTAGACTTGACATGAAAAGGTGCCCCACATGGCAAGACGCGATAGCAGGATAACCATATGATGAACGACCACTCTGATATTTGGGTAATTTCGTCTCTGTGTGGACAGGATCATTGAGAGCAAGATGGGATCGCGCCTGGAAGAGAATTCTGCACGCGTGCGGAAGCGCATCGAAAACCGTAAGGAATCTATATCCCCGAACCGTAATGATGGATGTCAGTCATAGCTCACAGGTTTTAGATACATTTGATGCTGAAGATGGGGATGAGTATGACGCCGCAGAATTCGGAGGGTTCGGAGACTATTTTCGGCGCAAGAAGATTAAACTGCAAAACCTTGACGCGGAGCTGCGGTCACAATCCAACGACACGCCGCAAATCTTCCGCGGGGTTGTGGCCCACGTCAACGGGTACACACAACCGTCTCTAAATGACCTTCATAAATTGATTGTGGTCCATGGGGGCGGGTTCCTGCAGTACCTAGATGGGAAGACTACTGCGACTCATATCGTTGCAAGCAATCTGACCCCCAAAAAAGCGGTTGAGTTCAAGAGGTACAGGATCGTCAAACCGGCTTGGATTGTCGAAAGTGTGAAAGCAGGCCGATTACTGCCATGGGACTCTTTTCGACTCTTGGATGAAGGAGCCGGGCAGCGGGTGCTGGGATTTGACAATGGCTCCGTTATCAGTCAGAGCAGTCGAACTCGTCGGAGTTATAAAGAGGAGTCGGGTACGAGTTGGTACGCCAGCCAGCTTCGGAAAACTACCGAGTCTCCTTTTCAGTTGTCCAAGCAAGACTCCACCTTAGATGTTGATGATCTGGAGGCAGAGGAGCTCGATCCGATCGTTGATTCCATGATAGAAGATATCAAGCAACCTCCATCAGGGGAGGACAACCACTTATCAGAAATCGATCAAGCTGACCAAGTGTTTGCGGTTGCTTCAAAAGAGGCGCCTAAACTGCAGGCCAACGACACCATCCAGGAACAAATGCGCCCAGTGGCTGGTCCATCAGGAGACAAGAAAAAATTGACTGCAGAAGAGCATAATGCCATTTTGCTGGCTGACCCTCGAATACGAAAATCCACCGTTGTCAATCCAGGGTTCTTGGAGCAATATTACCGGGAATCGAGATTACACCACCTCTCAACGTGGAAGGCAGAATTGAAGTCCCAGCTACAAGCCGCAGCACAGAAAGCTAGTCAGTCCCCAAAGCGTAAACAGAAGTCAACAGCTGGATCTCGCCGATATATCCTTCATGTCGACTTTGACAGCTTCTTTGCCGCCGTCTCCCTGAAGAAGCACCCTCAATACAAAGATAAACCGGCAGTTGTCGCTCACGGCCAAGGATCCAGTTCGGAAATCGCCAGTTGCAACTATCCTGCCCGCAAGTTCGGCATTAAGAATGGCATGTGGATGAAGCGGGCAATGGAGCTCTGCCCGAACTTACAGATCCTGCCCTACGACTTTCCTGGCTATGAAGAAGCGAGCAGGGCATTCTACGATGCCATCATTGTCACTGGAGGCGTTGTCCAGAGTGTTAGCATTGATGAGGCGCTACTTGACGTCACGGCCATGTGCGTGGAAGAATCAGGGAGTGACGGAAGGCATATGACTGCGGAGAGTATATATCGCGAGCAAGCCAAAGCCGACGATCTTGCACAGCAATTGAGGGACACGGTGAAGACGAGCACAGGTTGCGATGTATCCGTTGGAATCGGCGGCAATATCCTTCTGGCGAAGGTCGCTTTGCGCAAGGCCAAACCCGCCGGCCAATGCCAAATCCGACCGGAAGAAGTGCTGCGCATTCTTGGCGAGTTGGAAGTCCAAAGTCTCCCAGGGGTTGCTTGGAGCATCGGTGGGAAACTCGAAGATTTGGGCGCGAAATCTGTCAAAGACTTGAGGGATCTATCCAAAGAAAAACTGGTTACTGCTCTAGGTCCTAAGACTGGCGAAAAGTTATACGAGTATGCCCGTGGAATTGACCGCTCCGAGGTCGGCGAAGTGGTTGTTCGCAAGTCGGTCTCTGCCGAAGTGAATTGGGGTGTCCGGTTCGAGAACCAGCAGCAGGTCGATGAATTCATCGAGAACCTGTGCGGTGAATTGCACAAGCGGCTGCTAAAGGAACAGGTTAAAGGTCGCCAGCTGACTTTGAAAATCATGAAACGCTCAGCCAACGCGCCACTCGATCCTCCGAAACATCTCGGCCATGGAAAGTGTGATACATCCAACAAGAGCGTGGCCCTAGGGGTCACTACAAATTCACCTGATATCCTGACTGGGGAGGTACTATCAATGTTAAAGAGCATGGGATTCCCCCCTGGTGAACTACGGGGCATAGGTGTGCAAATGACGAAGCTTGAGCCATTGAAACCCCCGGGACCTTCTGGTCAAGATGCTAGCAGCCAGAAGCGCCTTCAATTCAAGCCTCTGACTTCTCATCCAGCGAAGACTGCGGCGTCCAACGATCCCATTCAGGACGATCCGATTACCCCCAGAAAGCCGCGATATGAGGAGGACTTCGCCACGCCAACGAAACAGAGCGCAGAGGACAAGGAAATCAAATCTGCTGCCCGCCTTTTCACATCCGGCAGTCCAAGCAAGAAGCGTCTCAATACGGCGGGAACCCAGTTCATCATGCCTACCCAAGTGGATCCTGAAGTATTGGCTGAATTGCCGGAGGATATTCGGTCAAAGCTCACGAAGACAAAAGAAGCTGACTACGCTCCTGCTGCTCATCCTGACAGCACCGATCGCCCAAAACCTGTGACACAGTCAGCTTTATACGGCCTCCCAAACCAATCGCAATTGGATATGGACACCGTCAATGCTCTTCCAGAGGATCTGAGAGAAGAGATATTAAGGCAATACGAACAACAGCGAGAAAGGACCAAGTCTCCATTGCAAATCTCAGCGGCAAAGAATATAAAGCAACCGGCTCCAAAGAAGAGGGGCAGGCCGCCGAAAGGAACGACGTCCTCGAAGACCGGGCTCTTGCAAACCAACTTTGTCACTTCCCGTTCGATTAAAGATGCGCTGCGTGGAGTCAGCTCCCCTGAACCGGAGACAGCCCGTGAAGTGGCCACGGAAAATGATCCCGACATTCCCGAAATCTCTCAAGAGTTCCTCGCAGCCTTACCCGAAGATGTGCGGCGAGAAGTGCTCGAGGAGCACCGACGCCTCCGTCTTCAGAAGCGGTCTTTGAACATCGGTAATGGTCGAAGAAACAAACCCAGGCCAGATCCAGTGCAAACTCCCAGTGCTGCGGGCAGAGACAATAACCCATCAAGGACGGTTTTTCTCCCTGCGAAACCAGCAAAGCCCAAATTCACCGCCCAGAAACTGAGTGCGCTGCCTGATTTACGAGATGCAATGAAAGCATGGTCGGTGGAATTCAAAGAGGAAGGCCCGTACTTGGAAGATGTCGATGCCCTTGGGGCTTACTTGGTCAAGGTGATTGAGGATGAAAGAAACATGGACAAGGCTGCCAGCGTCGTGAAGTGGTTGGCTTGGGTCCTTGGGGATAAAGCTAATGAGGAATGGGGAAAGGCCCTGGACCGGTTACGAGAAACAGTTCAAGACGCGGTGAAAAGGAGGAGATTAGGTACTATTGACTTGGAGTGACGGCCCTTACGCACGGTGTTAGATGGTTACGATACCCACAGGAAATGAGTTTGCAATGAGTTCTACATATAATCATGTCTTCATGACGGCGTTAAACACGTATTCAATCACCACTTCTTGCTCGCGCTCTCGGTCCCGCCGGAGGCGGCGAAGGAAACACGAATGGCTCACTTCTCCCTGTGGTCGGAGTCATTGCCCTTCGCGCCTCCACCGGACTCCAATCCCAATGCCCAGTACTCGGCACCACACCCGCTTCTTCGCTGGTCACCAACCTCACGCCCCCCATCCTCTGCCTATCCCGCTCCCGCTCCCACTCCCTCGCTTCCTTCATCCCTTCCACCCTCCTCTTCTCGAACTCCGCGACGAGGTTCTTGAAATACAGCTCCGCTGCCGCGGTGGCGGAGTACTGGATCGGGGTCCATCGATTCCGGTTCTGCGCGAGCGGGGAGGCGCCGTGTTGGAGGAGTAATCGGATCGCCTTCAGCTCGCCGGCGGCGGAGGCGTGGTGGAGTGCGGTGTTTCCGTCTGCGTCGGCCTGGGCAAGGTCGGCTGGATGGTCGGCGGCAAGGAGGATCGGGAGCAGGGGAAGAGCGCCGCTTTTGCAGGCGAGCATGAGCTGAATCATATATGAGAAAACATAGACCGCTATACGAGGATATATGGATATACGTACTGCATCCTGTTGTTTACTATTCGCCCACGGTACGCATCTTGGGAAGGTTTCGATGAGCATTTGCGCAATGTCGACATGGCCGGCCTCAGCTGCCGTCATCAAAGGGGTGTTTCCGTCGCCATTATAGGATATCGTTTCGTCGTCATGGCCGGCTTCAACGAGGAATTCCTATGTACTGATGAGACGTCATTTCTAGTACAAGGGAGTTGCTTTAGGTACTTACAGCTATCTCAATGAAGCCTTGTTTACATGCCAGATGCAATGAGGTGTTACTCTTGTCACCATAGTCGGGATTCTGCAACACATTGGGGTTGCTGCGAACTATCCGCTGTACAAGACGGAGGTCATTGCGGACGATGGCGCGCCGAAGACGCGTGCAAACATTGATCATAACGGTCTAGAGCATGCTATCAGAGAAAGACTCTTGAAGTTATGCATTTCTACGACCGATCTCCAGCGTTATGACACCAAAGATCGCGTGCATGTGTGTTTAATTCACCAATATCGACCTGATCAGATCAGGGGAAGGAGGATGTTGATGACATCACGTGTTGTGGTATGTCGACCGAGGGACGAGCTATCAGGAACTGGTAAATTCCCCTGCCCGACATCGAACAATAGTTGGTACTATTATTAAGTGAGCTGGAGGTAACCTAGATGGATTCATATCTTTGTGGTAACTATCGTTCTTTTGAGATGTAGTTCAATTGCTTGCCTTGACACCATATTAGGGGGGATACAATATCCCCAGCTGCCAATGGCACCGAAACATCGCATAACCCCTAATGCACAAAACAACATGGCCAGTTCAGGCTTTCTAGAATTTCAATACATCTTCTATTACTGATAGATCAAGGGCTGCATTACATGGCTTTGTATAAAGACATTCTTGAACAAGATGCCACCGAGCCCTAGTACTCCTCTGTACAAATTCCAAGCGATGTTCGGGGGCTGGAGGGGGGATGTATTTCATTCTTAGTCGAAGATGCTAGGACGACCTCCTTCAGTTGTCATTAAGCGAGGTGAAATGTAAAAGTGCCATCGGTTCGCGTGCAGCAACCAGCATACATCAACCTCCGGGGTCCAGCATGGGGTTGCGTGCCTGTTGTTCGAACACCGTTCCCCCTCGACGGCACTGTTTGTCATACATACATATCTGCAAGCCCCCTCTCTTTCTTCACCAATGCTTTAACGGAGCAGCAAATATCCTCCGCCAAATCGAGGATTCCACGGGACGGGTTGGCGGGAAGCAGTTTCAGTCTGTGCTGAACGGATAGTCGATTCCACAAGTTCGATGTTTGGTTCAAATATTGACCTGTAGTAGTTTTAGTGAAAAGCATATGATGTATGGACCACGTTATGGGGAGGCTGGGTCCTGGGGGGGTGCCGGTCCCTGGACTTTCTAGACGTCGTTTCCAGAGGACGATTCCCATGTAATTATACATGAACCAATACTCTGTCTCGGAAGGATTTCCAAACATTGGTGTAGTGATCTTAGTGGTGAATGGTTCCTGGGAAGGAGGGTTCCTGGGAAGGGAGACTCAGGCATTATCTCATTCAAGTTTGCTCTTCATGCAACAATCCCGCGTAGCAGACATACATACCGATACATTCTTTTAAGTTCTATCGGAATACCTTATGGTGACACCAAATGCTCATAATACAATCAGTGCACGACAGACGGATCGGGTCTGGTCATGTGGTACTCAGGCATGAGGCCTGAAGGTCGGCTAAGGCTATGATGGGCTCACCCCTGGAAGCTTCCGCCCACCAATAGTCCACAACAAGCCGTTCGTGCCCTGACTCCTGAAGGTTGACTGCTGAGGGACAACTGTCGGCATTCTCCTAGCGAGGCAGATCCAAGGTGAGCTTCATTATTAAATTGCGAAGTGATGTTCTCCCACGCATGACGTCGATCACAAGCCTTCCTTGTCTCTCAACAATGGAGTCGAAACCCCAAAGGTGGTTGGTACCGAATGGAGACTACAGACACGAAGGAGCTGCCTGGGGCTCTGGGCCTTGGCCCTTAGGGAGCGAGGGGCGCGGGATGAGAATTGAAGAGGGCTTGCAACTTGCAAGGGCTTGGACACATCGGCACATGCAGTTTGATCGAAATTAGGGCCCATCACAGACCCCAAGTCCGGAATTTTTCTATTTTGGTGTCTGACTGGTTGTCGAGCGGAATTCTCCTGGCAAGAGGCATGCCTTAGCGGAATAGCGGCGAGCGACATCTTGGTGTCACACATACCAACGCACACATCCTCCACCCACACACAACGCTCATGTTGTAGTTCGTTGTGCCATTGGCCACGAGATAGGAACCTTATCCATTGCTTTTTGTGTAAGGTGTGGTTCGGAGGTTTTGCGACTTCAGGGCTGACAGTTGATTCAGACCGGTAAGCAGTAGGAATGGGGAAACCCTGTATCAGACTTAGGTACCATATCGGGCGGGGACTTACTATGTAATACGCCCAGGCAGTGGCTGAAGCTGGCAAGCGCCATACTACGTATGCATCATGACTGGTCAAATTCCTTCTTGCGAACTGGGGGGAGGATACGATTATTACGAGGGCACTGCGCGTCGCTCGTTGGAAGCCATGGAGGAGATCCCAACAATATTACTCCTAATCAGAGCACGAAACCGAATGGCGTTCCCAACCCATGGGGTATGATGGAACAGGAAATGCTTGACAGATGGGGCAGGTCTTGGACGACAGCAATAATACTATCTGTCACATCTCACATCTGACTTCCATTGTTTACTGCCAGTGTGATCAGATCTTCAATTCTCCACCGACCACCGACCACTGACCACCACGCACCCCTACTCCCTCGAGGTTATGCTACCTAGGGTTGCCGAATCACCTTTCACCATCCGTAGGAATAGCACATCCACTGAGCATCCAGTATTATCCCCCGATTTCCAGCGCCATCCCACTAGGTAACAATTAACGAGTAACGACCAAGACAAACTCGTGTGGAGTGGTGGTGGTCTGCGCTGGAGGGAAAAAGCATTGCGATCTGTGCTCCATGTACTGCACAGCGTAACTTGTATGTCCAACCACCAACGGTCCCTCGTGTTTGTCCAGACTTTGTCCCAGGCTTCCAGACCTTTCTCGCTCTCCACCTCGTCTTCCTTTGTAGAACTCCCCACGACATGGTCATTCTGCTTCAACTTCTAGATCAATCCGTGGCCATATGCTTCGTCTAAATTCCATTGGAGACGTTGCATAATACTTGCATCTCAAGAACACACCGCCTACGTCGGATACTTCCTCCCACTACCCTTGACCTCGGACCCTGCGCTCCCTGCCACTGGCCGTCGCGCTTCTTTCACTTGCATTCTCCACCACTGGCCAAAACTGCACTGCTGGACCGTCGAGCCATTTGGAGTTAATTGACTCTAGCGGTATTATACCTGACACTGCCAGGCTTTCTGAATCGCGCATCTGAATCGCGCATCCACTGATTTGCACGCTCTCTATCATCATCGACCATTTTTCATCCTATCAGATGGTCCAATCTAGGCGCATTCCTCCCTGCTTCCCTCTGTCTTAACTCTTACTGGGTATCTCTCTCGCTCGTTCATTCTCCTTACAAACCTGCTCCTACGATCGCTATTCGCCTCGTCTGGTCTGGGCCATCCGCTTCCCTGACCTTGACTTGACGGTTCCTCTCACTCAAAAACACCCGATTTCCTGTGGCTTGGCCTAAATTATTGCCCGAGTCACCGCTAATCTTGGCCCGAATATCATTAGCTTGCGATCAACGCACGTATTCGGTGTTTTTGACCCGCATCTTGAAAATACTTGCCGACTCATCTGTTGTGCGGCTCGTTCAACGTCGAGTACCTACTGGTTCACAGTTTCACACGAAGTTGGGGAACGCGTCTCTGGGACGATTTACTATCTCATATTCATCTGGGTTTCAGGACTGGGGAGAGATCTTCTGGATTAACAAGCCGGCGTGCGCCATCGATACCATTCATCTGGGTTTTGGACCTCACGGCGTCACTACCTGGACTTTGGAACAACGTTCAAATCGCTAGGATATCAGGGCACCCAATCGCGAATGTCTCAGCTTCACCATCATCGAAAGAAGCGTCATTCTCTGTATCCATGTCCATGGTAAGAGAACGCTGGCCGAGGGATCTTTGCCACGTTGTTTTAGTCTGACCCGTCCTTTACCGTGGACGGCTTTGTCCGGTTGGCCAGCACAGAATATACTTCTTCTCCACCTCCATTTGGTCGAACCCTTGGGGACAAGAGCGACCTGACCTCGAGGAACCCTACTTGACTCAGATCAACTAGTCCAGGATACCCTCGCCCGCCTGTTCAAGGTTCTGACTTCAGGCCTGGAGTTTGAACGTCGAAGATTCTCCCTCCAACTTTGCCGGAATCGACCGTCAGGAGGAGGAAAAGGAAGTCAAAGCACTTGAGCGATCCCCACTCGTTTCCATCGAACCGCTCACAGCGTTCAAGCCCTCCCCAGGAATTGCCACTTTCATCGAAGCCTTGCATTAACCGTTAAGGATCGCCGTGGTTGCAGGCTTGCAGGTTGCAACTCGACCGCTTGGAGACCTTGCTGGAAAAGAGAAACCTCCGTCTCTTTAAGAATCAAGAATCCAACATCACCCCATTTTCGATTCCTTCGTACCGGGTCCGGTTTCCTTGCACATTGGATCACCGAGCTTTTTCCCCGCCATATCAAGATTGATCCAACCTGGAAAATCCTGAAGCGTGTCTTACGTCGGTATCGCTTGTGCAACCACTCCACCCGTCGAACCGGTCTGCGATTCTCAGCATCATCTGCCTCTTGCGTTATCCTGTGTGAATTGTCCCACACTGCGACACGTGCATGATTCACCAACCTCTCAGCCCTCAGTCCTCAGCTGGTTAGAGCGTCTGGCCACAGCCACCCCAGTTTTTCCCAACCTTTGACGTCGGCTGTGCGGATCCGATTCGGCAGGGCGCATGGCATGGTTCATATCTTTTTATAAGGATGGTGGACGTTGATCCGCGGGACATCAAGCGCCCGCGTTACGAGAACTACTATCCTCCTGCGCAACATCAACCACCCAATATCGGTGGCCCTCAACCGCATTCATCTTCCACTCCAGGACCTCCTCCACCACCTGGCGGATATCCATACGGTCATCCGCCACCATCGTTTGCCTCACGTCCGCCGCCCCCTCCTCATGTGCCCGCTCCGCGTGAACCCAGCCGCGAACCTCCGATCGCCAGTGAACCAACTGTGACTGCCTCCGGTCCCGATGTTAGGCTCCATGGCGCGCCAGTGAACAATCCGGGGAGGAACTTTCCGATCGAGACCCGAGTTCCTCCAAACACCGCCCAAGGCCCACCGGAGATGCAGCGGCCGCCGTCGGGTCAAGGTCCGCCTCGCGAGCTACCCCCTCCAAACCTTGGGCAAGGCTTTCCGACTCCAGGACCGCCGATTCCAGCGCCGGGACCGCCAAATATGCCACCAATGGAGCAACCAGGTCCCCATGTTCCGTTCCAACCCCCCCCCGCCTACCCTCCTGAGCAAATGCCGAACGGAGTTGGACCCAATGGCTTCCATGTGGCCCACCATGCGGAAGGATTCCATCCCCATCCCCCTCATTTCCCGCAAACGCAAGGACCGGTGATGTTCGCGCAATATGCAGCCCCTACGGCAGGAGAGTCGGCGTCGGCGTCCAAGAAACGCCAGACTCGAGCGCAAGTGGCTTGCACCAACTGTCGGGCAAAGAAACAGCGGTGCGATGAAGTGAAGCCGTTTTGTTCGTACTGCAAGCAAAACGACTTGACGTGTCATTACACCGACGTTGCGGCGCCAAAGTAAGTGCCGGGTTCTGTGAAGTATCACGGCGGGAATGCTAATGCGATGCAGAGCGGATAAGCAGCTGAATGACCTGCAGGGCTATCTAAAAGACGGTTTCGATATGATGCAGCAAACGCTGCAGCATTTCAATCGAAGATTTGAGCGCATTGATGAGAAGCTCAATCTACCGCCGATGGATCTGGAGATGCAATCCCCTCGCAAGGCTGACCCAGATCCGGATTCTGATACTATGGAAGACGTGGATGAGCCAAAACCCCTCCTTGGGAAACGCCCACCCGCTCTCCATCGGCATTCGATTGCGGAGGGAATGGCGGACCCATCGCAGGCTCGTCCCGAGTTTGCTCGACCGGCTGAATTACACGGCACTCCCGGCGTGGCCAAGCAATCAGTGGATCCTGATACGGATCCATTGGCAGAAAAGCGTGCCGTTGAAGAAACCCCGGCGGAGGGTTCAGACGAACACAGGACGGGCGTCCATCATCTGGTGAAGGAGTGGAAAGCTATTCGAGACCTGTTCCGCGCGTGCGGTATAGACAGTAAGAATTATGCATCGGACTCTGAGGTTCGACAGGGAGCGATCCGGTTGTATGGTATCGGTCAGGGTCGCGAGACGGACCTGAATGTCATTCAGTCGCCCTCTAGTACGCATCCGATGGAAGATGTCAGTCCGGCGCCGTCCGGGCCCGATCGAGACGGGCTGTGGGGCGGGTTATTCCAGATGAAGCCGAATCTCGATTTCCGATCCGGAAGCTCGATGCAAAGTGAGCATATCGGCGGGCTCAATCCGGATGGATCGCTGAATCTGGATGCGGCGGTCGTTCGACGGCTAAAACTATCATATCTCAACACGATGCATACCCTCCATCCTTTCCTCCCGGCCGACGAGCTCAACATAATTGTGGAATCCTTCATCGCACACTACAGCCCTCAAAATTCCCCCAGGTTCGTCCATGCGGGCCTATCAGGAGGGACATTCGAGGCTGCGGGAATGAAGCGGAAGCACTCGTCAGGTGGGTATACCAGCCGGCAAACGCCCGACCGTACGATCAAGAACGCCGTCGTATTGCTCGTCATGGCCCTCGGGAAGATGCTTGAGTATACGGAATGGCTTCCTCCTATCCCGCTTGGACCCGACGAGCACCCTCATCCGCAATCACCTTGGAACCACACCAGCGTCGAGTCACCGCCCGGATTCGTCCGTCCGTCGCCTCCGTCGTCGGGGAGTGGGTATCCCTCGCCGATGATGGACCACCACACACCAGGAAGCCGACGACCCTCGAGTGGCGGCTTGCCGCCCGATCGGCGGGATGCAGGTCATGTTCCGTATTCGGAGACGCCGAGGAGAAACGTGGACATCATCCCAGGACTGGCGTATTTTTCCCACGCGAGCGGGATTCTTGGGGACCACATTTCGGCGATCGGACTGGCGACCATTCGAGATGTCCATGCGTATCTGCTCGGTGGCCTGTACATGGGACAGCTGTGCCGACCGCTTCAGAGCCATAACATGATTCTGATGGCGTCTCGGCTGTGTCTGAACATCGTTCGATTGTAAGGATCCAGCAACTTCCTAAGTGCCCTTGACCCTGCTAACTCGGGAAGGGATATCGACTGCCTTCGAAACGAAGCTACCGAGGCGTACAAACCACCGAAGCCTACCACTCCATGGAAGGCTCGAGATCTCGAGAACATCAAATTCGTGTACTGGACATGTCTCCAGCTAGAGGGGTACGATACAGATTGCGCGGTCACGATTTTCGCGCCGACTAACGCTGCTTGTAGCGACATTCGAGCCGAGTTTGATGAGTTCGAGGCCAGCGGTATCACCAAATATAGCAGCGATATCGGCTTTCCACACAAAGTGACGCCACCGGCGCATTTGAGAGAGGAGATTCCGGTGTACGACGATAACTCCAGCCCAGAGAATCGAATGATTAGGTACTACAGCATGCAGAACTACCTCCGAGTGCAGCTGAATCGGGTCCATTCGAACCTCTACACCATCGGTAAGACCCACCCTTGTCCTGTTTTTGGTTCAAATATTTAATCCAAGGCATTGATCGTGCAGATCGGAAATCGATGATCTATAACTCGGTGAAACTCCAAAAAGTCATCTACAACGGCGTGATCCTATGGCGGGATTCTCTCCAGCGCCTCGCACCATTCATGGCTTGGTCCGACGTCCACCACCTATCGACTGTGCTCAACGACGCCCGGATTCGCGGCAAGTTCTACGGCAGCGGCTACGTTATATCTCGGCCATATCTCCATCAAGCGATCCATAGCTTCTCGAAAGAGCAGATCGACCAACTGGAACCCGGGGTGTTGTCGTCTCAATGCGAGATGCTCCCCGATCTCCCGCCGTTTGGCTCGGAGATCACGAAAGAGCAGACGCTCATTCCGAAGCCGGAGGAAGTGGTGATGGCGGCCAAATGCTGTTTATGGTTTGCGCAGAAGAGTACGACGGTGTTTGATGGGTTGAAAGGCCGGTGGTTGATCACCAACGTACACGGAACCATCACTGCGTATGTATCCTTTCCATTTCACCTGGAGCTTCTGCATCTCCATCTTTCTCTTCTCCCTCACGCATAACCACCACACCGGGCTAATTCTCGACCAGGCAATTCGGCAACGTGCTCGTCCTCTACGCCGCCCACCAATCGTTCCTCCGCAAGTGCATCCCCACTCACGAACTAATCCGACTCATGGACCGCACCATCGACATTTTGGACCATCTCTCCAACCTCTCCAACATCATGCGAATCAACGCAATGATCTTAAAGAAGGCCCGCGCCATCATCTCGGGTTCCGAACCGACGCCGGATTACCCGGATACCCCGGTAGATCATTTCACCAACCCGAACCCGAGGGCGGCGAGCTTGCCGCACTCGGCGAATACGTCCTTCGGCCGTGGGTCGTAAGTTGAAGGTGTTGGTGATTATGGACCACCGTTTTTGCCTAAGTTCGGAAACTGACGGAGAGTGTCCCCTCTCTGATCTCAAACTCTCGCTTCTACCAAGCAGTCTGACCGCTATCGAAGAAATATCCTCCGCCTTGATCTCATCTTGGCACTCGAACCTCACGGCTTTCCCTTTAGCCGAATTAACGGCCTCATATTGTTTATTCGCGCTAGACTGGAACCTCCCACTCCGCATGTTGCATAGAGATACCCGGGAATCAGCATGGTTTGACAGAGTTGCTAGACTCTCTTTTGTACTTGTATTGGCCTGCTACGGCTTACCTGTACTTATATATGTTCGAGGTTGCAAGACCCATATCAGAACATCCACGCTCTCGGCGATTCTCTTCTCTTACTCCCATCCACACGAGATGTAACTGACATCATCATCCGACCCTACAGAATCTCTACAGTCTTTTGCTTGTTTACTATCTCCTTGTTTTACGGACCCATACGATAATCGAAGTATGCCGGGGATATCTATCGGTTCGTTTCCTTTCAGCTCCAGCTATTTGCGTTTCCTACTCCATTGATACCACTAGCGCCATCCGTACACGGTGTTGGTTGCCATTTCCTGACTCTCGTTGGTGGGCGGCTACCGTTGAGTTCTCGAGCGTCATGTTTGTGTTATTCACTGGGCGGCTTGCACTGAATTTTGATAGATTACAGCATATTTTCTCGCGATTGTCATGTTTCCTCTCGGTTTCTTTTTTCCGGTTCTCGTGGGTTCTGGTTGCGGCGGTGGGATTCGGGAGGGGGTCGGGAAGCAGATTGTTGAGCACGGGGGGTTGGGCCGGGTTATTCTACAGCTGGAGGAAACTGTGCGAGCGCTACTGTCGTGTAAGATTGGGTGGGTGATGTTTCTTATTGTTGCGGCTGTTGCGCTTGGAAATACATGCGAGGGGTCATGGAGTGGTCGGGAATGAACATGCGTTCCAGCGAACATCCCAGTGGAGGAATCCATGGCCCTGATACATGTCTACGGTCCGGTTGAGGCGAATTCAGGGTTCGTTTTAGCGGATGCTTGGGAATAGGGAAGCAATATACCACATCGTAGGCGCATAGTTGAGAAGCAAATGGGCGCTACATAGTCCTTTCGGCAAGTTCAAATACCAAAGCAGTTAATTAACATTCGCTATCGGAGCTCGTCCTACCACGAAATGAAACGTTTCGACAGTCCGATCCATTTTTTCTGTAGTCAACTCGCTACTGGACCATCCCACTCGAACTGGGCGCCCAAGAAACATCATCATCCAACAAATAACGTCTTAACGACCCATTCGGATCACTCCGGCGGCCATCAGCTTTTGAATCGACGTTTTCACTTGCGGGTTCCTCATATGCTCCGACAGGGCTTGCGGGTCACCCTTCGCCTGTTGGAGAATAGATTGCATGACCGGATCCTGCAAGATTTGAAGAATCTGTAGTACAGTTCGTTAGTCAATCTGGTTGTTATGTAAGGGAACGTTCGGGACTCACCTCTGGATCCCTCTGGATCCTCTCCATGGTCTGCTCCTCCGTCTCGCCCTCCCTCGCCGAAAACTGCGCCGCGATGGCCTTCTCTTTCTGCTGCTCGATCTCCCGCCTGTTCTTCCCTTCGGTATCCTGGTCCTCTGCCTCCGAGCACACATCCAAACACTTGTTATACTCCCGCATAGCGAACAGCGCCTGCGCCTTGCGGATGTACGCGCGAATGAACTTCGGATCCCGCTTGATCGCCTCATCGCAATCCTGCACGGCCGATGGGAACGACAACAGCTTGACGAAGCACGCCGCCCGATTGGAGTACCCCCGCGCATCCTCGGGCGCGCGCTTGATCATCTCGCTGTACGCCTCCACGGCGGCGGGCCAGTCGGCCTTCTCGAATTTCTCCTTGCCCAGCAGGCGCGCCTCCTCGGCCAGCGCAGGGTCGATGTACGCGTTCCGCTCAGCGGTGATCTTCGACTTCTCGGCGGCGCGTAGCTTGGCGAGGACCTCAGGGGTGCGGTGTTCGGTGAGGGAGCTCTGGTAGTTCTTGATGGCGTTGGGGAAGTCGTGGAGTCTCTCGTAGGCGGTGCCGATACGGCCGAAGGCGCGGGCGATGAGCTTGAAGTCGGCGAGGATCTCGCGGCCGTAGGCGATGGCTTGGTTGCAGGCGGCGATGCAGCCTTCGTAGTCGCCTTTCTCGAACTTGGCGGCGCCGAGGTTGGTGAGATAGGAGATGTCCTGGTGGAGGTCCCAGGCTTTGGTGTAGTGCTCGATGGCGGTGTCGAATTGGCGTTTCTTGTAGGCGTCGGTGCCGAGTTTCTTTTCCTGGTCGGCTTTTTCTTTGGCTTGGCGTTTCGCGATGGCGTCCTCATCTTCCGGTTCCGGTTCAGGTTCCGGCTGCTTTTGTGGTTTTGAGGGTTCCGGACGCGCGTCGGGCATCGACACATCTTCTTCTGCTTCCCTGGCCTGCCCAGCTTGTTGTGCAGCATCCTCGGGGTTTCCGAATGACATGTCAATCCCCAACAGCACGCTCATGACTGACAAGAACCTGGGATCCCGCATCTCCATGCCGATTGCCTGGGGGTTATTTTTCACCCGTTGCAGCTTCGCCATGAACTCGGGATCAGCCAGGAGTCCGCTCGTCTTCGGGTTCGCGGCGAGCTTCTGCATGAGTTGCGGGTCGTTGAACATGTTTCCTAGTCCTCCCATCGGATCGCTTTCGGCTCCGTCTGCTTTTGCCTCGTTTTCGAGGGCTCGCTTCACTGAGTCCAGTCCGTTCTTGGCTTGGGCATTGTTTGGGTCCAATTTCAGCGCCTCATCGTAGGCGTCGTGAGCACCAACTAAGCGAATTAGCACTTCATACTGTATATTCAAAGCAGTTCCAGCTTACTTAGATCGCCTTTGCCATGCAGCGCGGCACCTTTCCGGCCCCAACCCTTCGCCCAGTCCGGCTTGACCTCCGTCGTCTTCTCTGCATCCTCATACGCCCTGTCGAAGTTCTTCAGCGATGCATAGGCTCCGGAGCGGTTGGAATAAAGGACATGATTTGATGGATCGAGCTTGATCGCTTCGGAGAACTTTTCACTGTTCAAACCCGTCAGTATGTAATGAACATCTCTCATGATGTTGTGGGGTGCTCACATCGCCTCGTCGAACTTCTTTTCGGCGAAGAGCTTGTTGCCTTCGGCTTTGAGAGCATCGGCCATTATTGTAGAGCGGGTCGGTATTATTCTCGAGCTTCGTATTTACAGATTAGATTTGGGTTGTGGTGAAACAAGGAGAAGTGAGGGAGAAGTTGAAGTAGAAGCAGGTCGAAGGGTCGAAGCAGCTCCAGACTTTCCAGAGAATTCCATGAGACCCTGACGGAGATCTGGCCGCTAAACCCGAAGCGGTAGTGACATCAACGGCTATTCAGCGAACGATATTTCGATATTTCGATATTTCGATATTTCCATTGGCCTGCTGCTCCTCCGTCCCGACTATAGAAAGAGCTTGGATATGTTGTTTATGGTCTAAATACCGCACGTAAAATCATTCTTTCAAGGTGGTAAGATGGAGGGCGGCGGTAGACCACCTCTCATCGAAGAGAATAGAGATTCGGGAAATCATACAGTAGAGGGCATCCTCTCCGGGAAATATAATCGGGATTTGCGCCGGTCCAGTGGCACCGAGACAAATCCTGACCTCACCCCCATCGCAGAATGCGACATCCCTATAGGACCGCTTCGATTCTGCGACTCGATCGCCATTAAGAACTACGTACGCACGCTGTATTTAGGCGTCGACCCCTGGCGGCGGGACAACCATTCCGACCAGATCGTCAACGTCTCGGTTCGAGTATGGCGGAAACAAGGATGCCCAATGACTGTCTCCAAACGGGACGACGAAGCAGGGAAACTAGAGGTCAACTACTCCCAACTGGCGCGGACGATTTCGACGGCATTCGAGACGCTCACGGCCTCAAGAGAGCTCGCTGAGCAGCATGCGTTGCACCATTTCGTCGAGATCCTATGGCGCGAGATCTCCCAGAGGGCTGTCGACAATGACTGGAAGATCTGCGCGATGCATATCAAAGCAGACTTGCCCAAGGCGACGCATACGGGAGACTGCCTCAGCCTGGAGCTGTGGCGAGAGCCGAATCTGGGCGATGCCAACCCCAAGTTAAACAGCTCGATGGTGCTCTGCTTCCAGGGCCTCCGGCTCAACGCCTCGATCGGGTTCCACGCCTTCGAGCATCAAGCCAAACAGCGCCTCATCATCACCCTCTGGATCGACACCGTGGACGGCGGCAAGCCCCACGGACCATCCCGCGCACTGCTGAACCACATCCAGGAACTGGAAACCGTTGTCGTCAAGGTACGCTCTCTCCATAACCCCTTCCCATATCCCATACTCAGTACTCACCCACCCCGCAGTTCGTCGAGACCACCATCTTCAAGACTCTCGAAGGCATGGGGAACGAGCTCCTGGCGCTCGTCAAGCAGCGGCTCGGGGACAGCTTCGCCCCGGATATGGCGCCGAACCTACGGCTCCGCATCGAGAAGCCGTTGGCGGTGCCGCTGGCAGACGCACCTATGGTGGAGTTGTATCGGCCATGGATACGGCCGGAGGGGCTGGGGAGCGTAGAGGATGGACAATCGGGGAAGAAGCAGAAAGTGTGAGTGGTGCGGTCGAGATGTATTTGTGGATGATGGTATTATAGCGGACATATGGTAGACAAAATAGATATAGAATGCTTTACGAAGACGTCATGCGTATGAAAACAGGCTTAATACTTTCCTCCACTGCCTCTCTTCGATTCTCTGTTTCTTGTATTGATCCATTTCAGTCTTCAGTCTCCCCATGGCGATTACTTTTGACGGCGCATATTATTCGTAAATCCGTCCGAAAGACATATAACTCATAACTTACCTAGGTTGATCAATCATAATTAAGGGATTCAAGGTTGAGGTGCACAATCCTTCCCAATCCTCCCATTCAGCTGCTTCTCCCCACGTGTACCAACCACAGTCTCAAGCATGGGATTTCTTAAAGCTCCTCCGAATCCTGACAAGCCCCCATCACTCATCTCTCATCAGCCTCTCGGGTGAACATCCTGACATGCTTATGGGATATTCCAGGCGACTGGCCACTGGGCAAGCTGGTTGTCTGGTTCAGGCTCAGCGCTTCGTGTTGAATTTTCTGCTGACTGTGTACATCAGACATTCACACACTAGCTGGGCTCTGCGGATGGTACCGTGGTAACTGGTTGTAGGCGATAGGGTAGCAATTGAACGGTTTCTAAATATGACTTTTCACATCATGTTTTTCGGTCCACATTAATTAAAGGACCTGGGAGTGACTGGGACCATGAACTGAACCATCAGAATTCCATACTCCCATGGGTGATAGTCAATAGATTATTGAAGCGGCTAAATAAGTAAGAATCCTCTTTGGCTGGGTCGACTGGTGAGGTGGGTCGGATACGGGATAGAATACGGAGTCGTCTCCGGATATTAGTAGACAGTACGGATACTGTACTGTAGCCTATAGGTATTCCACATCTGGATAAATCTGGATTGTATCTGGTCCTGAATCACGAATTCTAGAATCCCAATCCATTGAAAAAATCCAACCTCCAAAGGTTCTAGATATCCAATACATTGCCAATGAAGCCACACATGGGCATGGTAAACGTGCAGCAATCACCAACAACAGCTCACATTGATTCAGCCCGATCATAATCCCAAGCGGTGAGCAAAGAGAAATTCTCCAAACGTTTTTCCTCGTTGGGGAGCAACCGGGCATCTGGACTCTGGACCCGGCTCAGCTCCACGCCGCCTCCACGGAAGTGCCGCCAATCCTTCCCCTGTTGGACCAACCCTTGATGGGTCTGACGCCACCCCGCTGAACCGCTGTCAGTCCGGCACAAATGCTCACGACTCACGATGGTCGGGCTGTTCCAGTTGTGATTTGGAGAGCATTGGGGGGGTTTGGGGGAATTTGGAGGGATTCTGGGAGGCGGTTGGGGCTATGGCGTCTTAGTTGCCTATCCAACGGTGTGGATGATTGGCGAAGGGGATGGGGAGTTGAGTTAGCGATGATGATGATACAGAAAAGGGAACTGGTAGAAGATTAAGGCGGTAGGGACGAGTGGGAGAGGTACAAATACACCGAGATCACCTTCATGGAATCATCCTCTGTATTTCGGTCTTCACTTCAACATAACACATAACACTCGTAATTTCATCTGATCCGATCCTGTTTCTCAATTCATCTGTGATCAACCACTTGCCTCCCATCTGTCTACCTCATCGCCACTTTCATCTCCCACCGGACTTTCTGCAGATAGCAAACCATCCTGGTTACATCCTGCGATTAGCCAAAAGCTTGAGAGTTTCTAAACAAAGGTGAGCTTCATCCCTGCTTCGGTGTTGCCCGCCCTGCTTCGAGCCCCTCACCCGATTTCGTCACCGTGCGCGTTGAGAATTCCTGTCTTGGGAGTGAGTGTGTGTTATGTGGGAGAGGAGGTGAATGGCGAAACCACCTGAACCCTTCTCGCCCCAATATTTATGACTTAGTCGTCGCTGACAACTTTCCCTCTTTTTCTGAACAGGACTCTTCGTTTCATATACCATCCAACACATTCACCGTCTGCAATGGTCACGATGACCTCTAAAGCTCTTCCAACACATCTGAAGCCGGCCGCTGCCCTTGGCAATGGCAACGGGGACGCCGAGTTTGCCAGGAAACATCATGGCAAGACGCAATCCCATGTGGTAAGTTCCAATCCCTTTGAATTTCACCATGGAAACGAAGATACACAGCAGCTCTTGTATAGAGGTACCAAGCTTGGGTTACCAAGATTGAGGTCGAGCAGCCGTTGAGGCTCTGAGAATCACCTTGGTTCTCCAGTCTAAACTTCTGGTTCGAGGTGCCAGAAAGTGGAACTCCTCGTGGAATCGCCGCATCACTCAACCAAAAGATCCACTCCTATCATGATCATTTCACCAGCTGCACAGCCTCTTCTCCTTTCCTTCATCCCATTTTCCTTCATTTTCATTCTGTATCTCTAGACCATTTCAGCTTTAAATCTGCCTCAAGTCTTGTCAGGGCACCACTCCATTTGGAAATTTTTACCGTCTCACCGCCTCTTGAGCTATCGTCACCATGAACCTCCAACCAAATGCACACGTCCAAATGGACCCAGCGTCAGCTAGAGTCCGAAATGCCTCAATTGCTGTATTCCATCACCTCCCTGCGTTTTGCAAGCTATCATGTTGCTCAGAAGTTTGTTTGAGTCTCGCACTGACGTGGATGAATCTAGGCCTTCGAGAATACCTCCACCTCCGTCGCCGCCTCGCAGATGCGAAATGCCCTTAACAACCTCGTTGAGGGGGTCAAGGACCCGAACGAGAAGGAGGTCCGTTGAATCCACCACAGCTCCGAGATATTTGGCTTACCATTAGTACAGCGATTCGAGACCGAAATGGACAACTTCTTTGCGCTCTTCCGACGATACCTGAACGACAAAGCAAAGGGAAATGTGATCGACTGGAACCGTATGGGTCCTCCTTCGGAAGGTCAAGTCGTTGAGTACAACACCCTTGGCAACTCCGAGTCGGTGGAATACCTCAAGAAGTTGGCTGTCGTCAAACTCAATGGCGGTCTCGGTACCTCCATGGGTTGCGTTGGTCCCAAATCCGTCATCGAAGTCCGTGATGGCATGTCCTTCCTTGATCTGTCCGTCCGACAGGTCGAGTTCCTTAACCGCACCTACGACGTCAACGTCCCCTTCGTCCTCATGAACTCCTTCAACACCGACTCCGACACGGCCAACATCATCAAGAAGTATGAAGGCCATAACATCGACATCATGACCTTCAACCAGTCACGCTACCCTCGTGTGCTGAAAGACTCCCTCCTCCCCGCTCCTAAGAACTACGACTCCCAGATCTCCGATTGGTATCCTCCTGGCCACGGTGACGTCTATGAGTCGCTATACAACTCAGGCATCCTCGACAAGCTCATTGACCGTGGCGTGGAAATCATCTTCCTCTCCAACGCGGACAACCTGGGCGCGGTGGTCGATCTCCGTATCCTGCAGCACATGGTTGACTCCAAGGCGGAGTACATCATGGAATTGACGGACAAGACCAAGGCCGACGTTAAGGGTGGTACCATCATCAACTACGAGGGATCCGTCCGCCTGCTGGAAATCGCCCAAGTGCCCAAGGAGCACGTCAACGAATTCAAGTCGATCAAGAAGTTCAAATACTTCAACACCAACAACATCTGGATGAACCTCAAGGCCATCAAGCGCGTGGTCGAGAACAACGAGCTCGCTATGGAGATCATCCCCAACTCCAAGTCCATCCCTGCCGACAAGAAGGGGGAAGCCGACCTCTCCGTCATCCAGCTGGAGACCGCTGTTGGCGCCGCCATCCGCCACTTCAACAACGCCCACGGTGTCAACGTGCCGCGTCGTCGCTTCCTCCCTGTCAAGACGTGCTCTGATCTCATGCTGGTCAAGTCAGATCTGTACACTCTTCAGCACGGCCAACTGATCATGGACCCCAACCGCTTCGGCCCCGCGCCGCTCATCAAGCTCGGCTCGGACTTTAAGAAGGTCTCCAGCTTCCAGTCGCGTATCCCCAGCATCCCCAAGATGCTGGAACTCGACCATCTCACCATCACCGGGCCGGTCAACCTCGGCCGCGGCGTTCAACTGAAGGGCACTGTCATCATCGTCGCCACCGAGGGCCAGACGATCGACATTCCGCCGGGATCGATCCTTGAGAACGTGGTTGTGCAGGGAAGCTTGCGGCTGCTCGAGCACTAAGCGCCACCGGGCGTTCCGTCTCGTTTCCGGTTTTGGCGTGTGGATAGGGGCGCGGGCAGTTGGTGAACGCGATTGGCGTGTCACGGGAGGAAGGATCCGCAATCGAGGCAGGCATGCGTACATACATTGCGAATATATATACTTCATCCCGCTGTAATGGTTGTTAAGGCTATGCGAGCCTCGAAAGGAGGAAAGTGGGAATGCTTAGGCGATGAAGCGAGGACACCACACTGTAGCACTACACTGCATTCCTTACTCTACAGTATGTATAGTAGGTAGCAGTAGTTACTCGCAATGATATGATTAGATTCATAGACTCTATGCCCTTCTGATTCACTATTATGCGGTGCTCGCTGACGCGCAGTTTGGTGCATCCATAGATCGGTTTCGTTTGGCCGTCGTCGAATAGGTTTTGTCACATATGGTAATTAAGCACATGCATCCGACCCAAGATGACTGGACCGGGAATGTGCCTGGACGGACTCAAACCTTTCGCAACCAGCCGTTTCAGTTCGCCTTGATGCGACTAGCAGACAGGTAGGTAGATATTCCGTTCGGTCTCCTTCATTCATCGTTGATCACGGGGCAACAAGGCGACTAAGGTCCGGCCTGGCCAGACATGAGACATCAGTAGAATACTCCGATTGATGAGAGTCATATTCAAATTTCAACTCAATCCGATGTCTGGTGCGACAAATGGGAAACACAGCATTCAATAATATAACAATTAAGACAGCGCCTTTAACCTACGCCAACCAACACACCACCGCCAGCCAAGACGGTTGGTCATCTCTCTGCATACGAAGTCGCGAGCTTCAGCTTGGCCAGCAGCTCGATCAGGTCATCCTGACTTCCGATGATGCCGCATGATGCGTCCCGTAGTGCTACTCCGTGCTAAGAACTAACCTGCTCCTCACCCCCGTTGCGTAAACTAACGACCTCCCAGTGATCGCTGGTCGGCCAACCCCATGTGGCAGCCTGTCGGAGCCCGTCGTCCTTCGCCCGAGGCTTTAATCTATGTCGAGTTTTCTTTTCGTGACACCTCGCGAGGACCGATCGTTCTTTGAATCTTTGTTCCACGCGTTGGGTACCTGCGTTGCTGCAGAGCATTTGTCCGTCTATTCTATTCTTTTTGAGTTCGAGTTTGGGTGATATGCTAGCATGCGGAGGACGTTGGGCGGGTTAGCGCATCGGATTGAGAGAATTTGTGGATTGTCGCTTGGTTTCACATGATTCTGGACGGAAATCGACCTGATTGTACGGACTCGAGGACTTTAGGATTACCGAGCTGGGTTACGGAGGTCCGTCTTGCGCGTTGAAAGAGTTTCGGGATGGCAGACGAACCGAAGCCCACCAGTGCGGCGCAGAACGAGGAGGATGGCCACACCGAGCCCTCGGAGGTGGAGACGAAGGAAGCAGTGCAGTATTGGGGATATCTGTTCAAGGCCGATAAGTGCGGGACGAGTAAGCTGGATCGCCTGCTCATGGGGATAGCGAAACATATCGTAAGTTCCACCCGTCTCGACTATTGCGCGAACGACGACTCATGCGCTGCGCAGACCACCACGACCGACCCCAACGACGACTGCACCGACATCACCCCTCACCAACTCGCGACCTTCTACCGCTCCGTCGGCGGCAACTACGACAGCCTCTTCCTCCACAAACCCCCCGCCTCCATCGCCTTCATCTACAAATCCCTCGGCTGCTCCCACTCCCTCCAACCCAGCGACCTCACCGACCCCTACTCGCCCCCCTCCGTCCCCGCCCTGAAGCGCCACGGCTACGTTACCTGGCAGACCATCCAGCTCCTCCTCGAGCCTGCAGAACACGTCCCCTTTCTCCAAACCGCTGTGCATAAATTCGACATCATCGACCCCGACGAGGGGCGCCGCTTTCCGCGAGTCCTGCCGAAAGAGGTCCTCCCCTCCAAACCCGACCAGGACATGCTCACCTGGTTCGAGAGCGTCTCGGAGCGCCTACGCCACGACGCGCAGGCGCTCTCGCGACCCCCCTGGGACTCCGCCGACGATCGCGAATACGAGACCGACGAGCGGGCGGATGCCGCGCGGTATTTCGACCACCAGATGCGACGCGAGCGGGAGCAGGAGCGGAAGCCTAGCCGCCCGGGGACGGCGCAGCGGTACAGTCGCGAGCCACCGCGGAGCCCGATGGACTTCATCGAGGACCGGGGGCGGGGCGTGGTGAATAGTATTCGGCATGTGTTTGGGCGAGAGGAACGGAAACATGGGAGGCGGAGGGAGGGGGGTGGGGAGGAAGGGGACGATGAGGGGGTGGGGTTGGAGCGGCGGGGGTATCGGCGAGGGAGCGCGAGGAATAGTCCGCGACGAGAGGAAGGGCTGGAGATGGGGCGGCATGCGCGCGGTGGGTCGCATTCGATGGATCTGAGGGATTTGAAAGGGTCGGGCGACCGGGAACGAGAGGCACGGCGGGCGTCGAGTCTGCGAGATGGGCGGGCGCCTCATGATCGAATGCCTCCCCCGAATCCGACCGCCAGCTACTCCCCCCGGCCTCGCCCAGCGGCCGCGCCCACACCATCGCACCCATCCCGCTTCCCATTCCGGCCCCCCTCCCCCGTCCAAACCATCTCGGACTCCGACACCTCCACCTCCACTTCCACCGCCCCCCACCCGGAGCCAACCCCCCGCCCGCCCCCCCGCCACCGCTCCCACTCCCCTGCCTCCCCCGACGACTACTTCTCCCGCCCCCTCCCCTCCCGCGACGAACGCCGTCACTCCACGCACGGTGCCCCCGCTTCCCCCACCATTGTCGTCCCCGACCCGGACACCCCCGCAGGGTTCCACCCGAGCGACTCGCCGATCTTCGCGAAGGTCGTCTCGAACGCGTCGAGCAGCGCGTCGAACCATCTGCACCCGCCGGAGGTGGACGGGGGCGCGCCGAGGAGGTCAAGGAGTCCCGGGTATGTTCCGCAGGGGGAGTATGGGGGTGAGGGGAGGAGGAGGCAGCGGGTGGAGGGTAAGAGGGACTATAGCGGTGGACCTGTGTATGCGGGGCGGAGGTACGAGTACGCGGAGGCGGGGAGGAAGAAGGGCGGGAGAGAGAGGGAGAGAGAGGGGGGGGATGGGAGGAGTAAAGAGCGGGAGTGGGAACGGGAGCGAGATCGGGAGCGCGTGCGAGAGTACGAGATGGATCGGGAGCGGAGTCGGTTGAAGCGGGAGGGTCGGCGGGCGGAGCGGGAAAGGGAAAGGGAAAGGGAAAGAGATGAGCGGGAGAGGGATGAGAGGGCGTATGCGTATGAGTGGGAGAGGGAGCGGCGGAGCAGGAGTCGCGAGGAGAGGGGGCGGAGTAAGAGTGGGAGTAGTTCAGCGTATAGTGGGGCGAGCGCGGTGGGTGTGGGGGGGAGGCGGTATCCGGTCGTGGGGACGGCGTCGAGTGGGAGTGGTCGACGGAGGGGATTGTTGCCTTGATCGGGAGAGGACCTCCACGGTTATGAAGTAATGCCATGATGACTGGATGAGCAGGAACAGTGTTATGTCCGCAATTGGACTACTGTTGGACACTGGTATATATAACGTCCCTACCTTAGCTACTTACTGTACAGCGATATATGATAGCCATGTTACTATTGTTCTTATATTCACTCTTTACACATTTCCCTGCCCCTAAGACCTTGACCGCTCCGAGCCTCATGAACGTCTTAACTCGTGACCGTGAGAGACAATCCCACCCACTTATCACTGATCACCTGGCCGGCTGGGCCGCCAACCAGTCGCCCATGTCCTTGATCATCATTGACGGTCCATGCCAGTTGCCAAGTCCCCAACAGATTCCGATCAACCCGATCTGCTCACCCAGCCGTCTGCAGCTAGTGACAAGTGACAAACTAGTATCGCGAAAGGAAAGCTAGCGTCGATCATGTGCAGGAAGGCAGCCTGAGGGCCTGAGGCAGGAGCCTGAGGCAGGGCAAGGAATGGGCAACGTAAGCTCTCCATGTCACACGTCACAGTATTACGATGATGATTACCGGAGATAATATGGTAGGTGCTAATTGATTGCTAGGAGAGGGATTATCAATCTTAAGATCATGCAACGGAATAACCCACGATACCATCATTTCCGTTTAGCGGATAGATGAAAGACATTGATAGTTTGCTTGGCGCAGCACTAAATCCGCCAGCAATGAGCTCACGGCTCACGGCTTTCCACCTTCCATGGCACAACAACCGAAGCTCATTCTCAACCAGACGACATCTGGCAGTCTGTCACTCTGGAATTCCACTGCGTCACCCCAACCCCCCCTTCCTTTTGCCATCCTTCTGTTCCTCTCCTCCACTCATTCCCACTTCATCCCCTCTAGCCTCCTCCACTCCGTCATCCCGCCCAACCAAGTGGAGTCCATGAACCCGAGCGGCTTCGGCGTCGCAAGAGATCCTAGCTCCACCGGTTAGCAGGCCCAGATGGTGCATACGTCGGCGCTTCATTTCCATTTTACTACCCTCCACTAAGCTGATTTGCAACCGGAATTCCTCCTCGCCATCTTAACCTCACGAATCCTGGCGATAAGCAGGTCCAACTACTCATCGTTGTGCAACATTCCCCCCAATTGAGCGTTTGCGTGCCGTACTATTCACCTCCCCGCTGCCATCTAACCCAACTGCCCATCATACACTACAATCGTGATATCACTTCCCTCCTTTGTCCACCTACCTTCCTTTGCTCTTCTCTTACACCTACGGCGCGAACGCAACTCCACCTCCTCTCCGCAGTCCTTAAATTCCTCGGACCCAGCCACTATGGCATCCACCACCGACGCACGAGCCTCAGAGCTCAAGGAGCAAGGCGCCATCGAAGCCGCCGCGGATCCCGCACAGCCCGTGACCGCCGCCGACGCAGAGAGAACGATCGTCGAAGAAGCGAAGAAGGCCGGAAGCGCCGCGTACCAATTCGATCCGGATGCCTCGGCCGCGGAGAAGGCCGCCCAGGTGAAGGCGGAAATACCCCCAGGGTTGACGAAAGAGCGGAATCCGCGGGCGTCGGCCCTCGTTACAGATATTGACGACGGAACCGGCGCGGAATACGACTTGCCTTCGCCTTCGAGGGCGGGGGTGGTGGAGCCGGGTTCGCTGGCGCAGGCCGAGGACGCGAATGGGGCGTTGTCGGAGGAGGATAAGGAGACGTGGGAGAAGGTGGGGTGGGCGCCGAGATTTGGGATGCCGAAGGTCCTAGGAGAGGACGAAGATGCAAGCTTGCTGGACCACCAGACGATGCTAGAGGGGAAGCTCTCGGAAACGCTATACGGAGGTATGCTGAACCCTTAAAGTGGGTGAATCTATACTCACTAATTGACTTCAGACTGGTACCACAATACGGGGATCATTATCTTCGCCAGTCTTACGAATTGGGTAGTCGGCATCCTCGGTGGTGGCTTAGGATGGGTGTTCATCATTCTGGCATTCTGCGGTACATACTACCGAACCTCGATCCGCCGCGTACGACGCAACTTCCGCGACGACATTTCCCGCGAAATGGCGAAGACGAAGCTCGAAACCGACACCGAAACCCTCGAGTGGATCAACAGCTTCCTACTCAAGTTCTGGCCCATTTATGCACCGGTACTTTGCAAGACAATCGTCAGCTCGGTCGACCAGGTCCTATCCGTGTCTACCCCTCCTTTCTTGGAAGGCCTGCGCATGAAGACGTTCACGTTGGGCACCAAACCCCCGAGACTGGAACACGTGAAGACCTATCCGAGAGCGGATGACGACATCGTCTTGATGGACTGGAAATTTAGCTTCACTCCGAATGACACGGCCGATATGACGGCGCGGCAGATCAATATTAAGGAGAACCCGAAGGTCGTCCTTGAGGTTCGCGTCGGGAAAGGCGTCGTCAGCAAGGGCCTCGACGTCATTGTGGAAGACATGGCGTGCACGGGTCTGATCCGGGTCAAAGTGAAGCTTCAGCTCCCCTTCCCGCATATCGAACGCGTGGATATCTCCTTCCTGGGACGGCCGGAGATCGACTATGTCTGCAAGCCGATCGGAGGCGACATTTTCGGTCTGGATATGGGGTTCATTCCAGGGCTGCAGAGCTTTATTATGGAAATGATCCACGGGACGTTGGCACCGATGATGTACGACCCGAACGTTTTCCCGATCGAGGTCGCGAAGATGTTGGCGGGAACGCCGGTCGACCAGGCCATCGGTGTGCTGCAGGTGACTTTCCATGGTGCGCAAGGGCTGAAGAACTCCGATAAGCTTGCAGGGACTCCAGATCCTTACGCGGTAGTCTCGATCAATAACCGCGCCGAGCTTGCCCGCACGAAAACGATTTATGAGAATGCAAATCCACGATGGGGCGAGACTATCAACGTCATTGTGTCAAGCCTCAAGGACTCGCTTACAGTTCCGATCTATGATTACAACCAGTACCGTAACGACAAGGAGCTTGGTGTTGCTACGTTCCCTCTCGAGAAGCTGGAGGACGACACAGAGCATGAGAACCTGCAGCTCGAGGTTACGGCGAACGGCAAGGCACGCGGTGTGATACAATGCGACGTGCGCTTCTTTCCCGTGCTCGGGGGCCGCAAGCTCGACAATGGGACCGTCGAAGCGCCGCCAGAATCTAGCACTGGCATCTGCCGCTTCAACGTGGAGCAAGCTAAAGCTTTAGACGGAACGAAGTCCCTCGTTGGGGCCCTTAACCCCTATGCCGTCCTTCTCCTCAACGGAAAGGAAGTGCAAACATCGCACATACTCAAACGAACCAACAACCCCATCTGGTCCGACGCTCACAAAGAGCTGCTCATCACGAATCGTAAGACGGCGAAGCTGGGCCTGGTCATCAAAGATGACCGCGACATTACCGTGGATCCGATCGTTGGCAGCTACCAAATCAAGCTGGACGACCTGATCGACCTGTCCGAAAAAGGCCAAGAATGGTACAACCTCTCGGGGGCAAAGACCGGCCGTGTCAAGATGTCCGCTCAATGGAAGCCAGTTGCTCTGAAGGGCGCGTTGGGTGGTAGCGGAGGGTACGTGACCCCGATCGGAGTCTTGCGCTTCCACTTCCGAAACGCACAGAATCTTCCCAACGTGGAGACCCTCGGAAAGAGCGATCCCTATGTCCGCGTGTTGCTCTCCAGCCTCGAGAAGGGCCGAACCGTGACGTTCAAGAACAACCTGAACCCGGACTGGGACGAGGTCCTCTACGTCCCGGTGCACACGCCGAAGGAGAAGTTGCTCATCGAGGTCATGGACTCCGAAAATATGGGACGTGACCGCCAACTCGGCCATATTGAGCTCTCTGCCGCGGACTACGTCTTCGAAGACGTGGAATCCGGCGAGTTCAACGTCTACGAACCGAAGTCCTACAGCCACACGCTTCGCAGCGGACACGGCGTCCCAGGCAAAGGCACGCTGAACTACTCGGTGGGCTTCTACCCGACGCTGCACGTCGTGGATCCAGACGAGGAAGAGGAGGAACGGGCGAAGGAGTCGATGGACGGCGCGCCGCGACCGAGCCACGAGACGGGCGAGTCCACCCCGAAGACGAGCGTCGAGAACGGCAGGAGGAGCGCCGAGTCGGCGGCGACGCCCGACAAGCGTCTCTCCTCGCTGAAGAGCAATGGAAACGGGAAGAACAGCATGGAGTCGGACGACGGGGCGATCGGGCACGTGGTGCGAAAGGAGCCGCCGAAGATCCGGCTGACGTCTGATGTGTTGCAGCAGTACGGTGAGTATATTGACGATCTACATCACGAGGCGGAGGGGCTCATAGCATCATTAGATTGTGGTCTTATTATTTTCAAGCTGATCGATGGTCGGTTGGCGGAGGCCGACTGCCATCTGGAGGTGCTGATGGATGATAACGTCTTCCCGGCATACACGAGCTCGAAAGTCAAAAACAGGACCCATACGTTCAACGAAAGTGAGTTATCCTGCATACCGCTTTTGCACACGACTGACACTCCTTAGCCGGCGACGCGATGGTTCGTGAGCTCGAGTCCTCCCAGATCACGCTCCGATTGGTTGAGGAGGTCGACAAGAAAGGAGAGGGCAAAGGCAATAATGTCGTGGCCAAACTGTCCGGCCCGACTATCGACACCCTCCGACGGTGCCTCTACACGCCCACCGAACTGACCATGTCCGATGAGGACGGACGGCAAAGTAAGGTGACCGTATCCCTCAAATACCTCCCCGTGAAGATGCGCCTCGACCCATCCGAGTCCTTTAACAATCAAGGCGAACTCCGTGTCGAGGTCGTCGACGCCGCCGACCTGCCCGCCGCCGATCGGAACGGCTACTCGGATCCGTTCTGCAAATTCGTCCTGAACGGCAAGTCGGTGCACAAAACAGAAACGCAGAAGAAAACCCTCCATCCCGCCTGGAACGAGATCTTCACCGTGTCCATCAAATCTCGCACCGCCGCCAAATTCGAAGTGGACGTCTACGACTGGGATTTCGGTGACTCGGCCGACTTCCTAGGCAAAGCCGCTATCAACCTGGACGCCCTCGAGCCCTTCCAGAAGCAGGAAGTGACTCTTGGCCTGGACGGCAAATCCGGCGTCGTCCGCCTCCGCATACTCTTCAAGCCGTCCTACGTCATGCGCACCCGCCAAGGCTCCTCCACCTTCCAAGGAACCTTCGCGAAGCCCGGCACCATCGTCGGCGCCCCCATCAAAGGCGTCGGCAAAGGCGCCGTCCTCGTCGGCGGCTCCGTAATCAAAGGTGCCAGCTTCATCCGCCACGGCTTCAAAGGCAAGAAATCCAAGCCCGCTGCCGTCCCCGACGAGGACTCCACCCTCCCCTCCACCACCTCCAGCATCGACGGCAACGGCAACGGCGCGGCCACACCCGAACGCCGCGCCAACGACCCCCTCCCCTCCATCGAGACTACCCCCTCGCCCTACGCCCACACCCGCCACAAGTCCTCCGGTGCCGCCTCCTACATGTCCGGCATCGGCGGCTCGCCCGGCGGCGCCGACATGGGCGTTGCGCACGTCGCCATCCTCGCCGCTAGTGGCTATCCCACCGGCACGAACGTGCGCGTGCACGTGCACACCGTCCTCCCCAAAGCCAAAGAGATCCTCAAAACCAAGGCGCAGAAACTCGGCGCGGACGGCGGCGACGTGCGCTGGGACGGCGCGGCCGCGGAGGAAGTCAAGCTATCTGCGCCGGCGGACGCGCAGTTCAAACTTGTGGTCAAAGATCACAGCACGTGGAAGGTGGACGACGAGCTCGGCGAGGCGGCGTTCTTCATCGACGATCAGGGGACGAGCGAGGGGGTGGAGCGGAGCGTGGTAGTGGGCGGGGGGACGGTGGTGTTGAAGACGTGGTTTGTGGCGGCAGATGCAGAGGAGGGGGGGAAGCATGGGGGGAGCTTGAGTCCGGGGAAGGCATTGCGGAAGGGGCCGAGCGTGTTGAGGAGGGATCGGAGCGCAACCCCGGCGTAGGGGGGTGGAGTCGTTGACGGCGGTTTTGTGAGACGTCTTGTTTCTTTTTTTCAAAAATTTCTTAGTAGGAGGGGGGACGGTGTGGGGCTTCTCCGAGGATGAATGGTCTCCTTGGTTCGGTGATGGGTGTTCAGCGTTGATTACGGATACCATTGGTTTTTTTGCTATGATTATTTATCGGAGGGGCACGAGCGTTACGTTTGCGGGGCAGGGTTGTGTAGCCTTTCAAAATTTCATAGTTGTTCTGAAAAATAAGCGATTAAAGCGAGAGCCGAGCAGGATGAGATGTCGTGAGATCGGTATATGGAGGTGGTATCTGTCGTAATGAATTTCCCAAGCCTATCCCCATCATATATCAGGTCTACTCTTAAGGCACGCCAAGCAACCAAAGATCGAACATCCCCTCTCGAGTCTCCTACCAAATCAACCCCCCACCACCCCCCATCCCGACTCTATGCCACTCTTTCCACTCCTCTCCCCTCAACGTCCCCAACGTCCCTAACGTCCGGAAATCCACCGGCTCGCCCATCTCCGCATCGCCCTCTCGACCCGTCGGCTCCAGTTCGCCAACACCGTCGGCCTCTCCATCCCCGGTTTCTACGGGATGCGCCTCCTGAAGCAGCGAGTCGAACTCCGGGAATTGCTTGCTCGCGAACTTGGCGAGATTTACTCTGTTAGTCTCGATGTTCGCGCTCGTCCATGCGGGATTGCTGCTGGCGGCCTGAATCTGTGTCCCTTCACCTGTCATCTCATGATCCACCTCCTGATCAACGGGGGTAATTTCGAGGAAATACTTTCTCGCGAACTTGGCGAGGTCCACGCTCCCATTCTCGATATCCGCGCTTGCCCATGCGAGATCGCTCTCGGTGGGATACATCTTGTTTTCCCCTATCATCTCACAATCCACACCCTGGTCAACAGGGGTGATTTCGGGGAAATTCCCGCTCGCTAGACCCGCGATATCCACTCCCCTACTCTCCATGCCGAAGCTACCAAAGGGGCCGCTGACTATGTTATTGAGCGGGATGGGGTTCGGGTCGGCCACGTTGCGGTGGACTGGGATACCTTCTATCGCCATGGTTGGGTGGATCCATGAGGTGGCGTTGCTCCGCGGCGTGACGACGAAGCCCTTTGGTTGATCTCGGCCGACATCACTTGGTAGGAGGGACGGGTGGAAGCGGTGGAGGTGGGAGCTTCCCTGGGTGAGGGGTGTTATGTTCGCGAGAGTCGGGTCCGTCTGCCAGTTTAATGGCGCGCTCCATGGCGCGGCGGTGTTCGAGCTATGGCGTTGATTGAACCCGCCATTTGTTCTCGACCGCTTGACAGCGCCATCCCCTTGAGAATCGTTATGAGGTATGCTTCCCCGTCGAGTGGGGACGAGGCTGAGGCTGGGTTTTGCGAAGCTGCCATTGAATGGTGATTCCCCGCCACGGAGCTCTTCCATTACAGTGCGCAGGACAAGCGACATGCGCTGTGCAGGCTGGAAGGTCACAGTCATTTCTTGGAGGGCGCCGTAGAGGATGTCGAGGTATTGCATCTTGGCTTGGCGGTCCGAAGAATCTTTGATGAATGCGAGATCGACGACTAAGGCGGTGGCAGCGGATACCTATTGACTGATTGTCAGTGAATTTCATAACGGAACCCTTGGAGTGGCTTACAGCATTCTGCATTCCTGTGACAAATATCTGCTTTATATCAAACCGCTGCCTATGTGTCGAGAAGATCTTCGCAATCCTGATAGCGTGCTTGGTGCAAATGTCGCGGCTCAAGGATGAGCAAGGGCCCTCAAATCCGCTATTTCTTACATGGTTTCCAGTCCCATTTTCATTTTCATTGGGATTCGGGCCTGCATACATAGCGTATGGCCGATGAAGGCAGATGAGCAAGGCGTGATACTGCTGATGGAGTACGAAGAAGGAGAACGGCGCGCTATCGATGTTCGCTTGAGTCCATTTCAAGATCTCTGGCAACCGCTCATACCATCGGTTAAATTCTCGGTCAAGAGCAGCGATTCGACGATAGGAATTCCGCGCTATCTCCGCATCGATCGGGGACTCCGAGTCTATGTGTTCCGTGATTTTGCCAGCCAGCTCCAGGAGATCGAGAATGGCCTCGTATATCTGGGTTTCCCAAGACTTTCCAGGTCCAGCCGGGCGATAGGTGCCTAGTCGCTCGAAATGTCTTGAAAGGTTGTTGATCTCTAGGTCGGATGGTTTCATCGACGGTGGTCTGCCAAGGAAGAGCGCCCAATGTTTATCGTAGATGACACAGGACCAAAATGCTAACCGACGGGTCTCAACTTCGCGTTCGGAAAGGGCGGATGATCGAATGTCGAGATGCAAACCGATATCGAAAGCTTGCCTATACGGCGCATAAGCCTCACTGGACACTTGAGTACCAAGAAGGACATCTTCTCTTACCGAATAGCCATCCCCGTATAAAGCCAGCCAACATTTTCCCGTCCAACACCGCACTCCAAATCGCTTACGAGAAGTAGTGCTATGACAGTCGGTATCCCCCCTGGCCGCTCCAGTTCCGAATCGAGTATGTACTTCGCTTCCCGATGCAGAGTACTCTCTTTCCGTGGTAGTGTGATTCGTTGTATATCTGGACGAGTCTTGTCGGCAAATCGAAAGCCCATTGCAAGAATGCATATGTGCAAGAACCCGCTGTAAAACTGGGTACGCCCGCTGTTTCGATCTTCCAGGAATGCGTCTTGATGAATCACGTGGACTACATTGTTATAATACTTCCAGAAGAGCCCGATCAAGTAATCATGTGTATCAACGGGCAGCCGTTCGATGACCTGCTCTGCTCGTCGAGCCTGCTCCGCCGACCCCGCGGAGTCTTCTAAGGACGAGCCAAATCCCGAATGGACGTGCGGGATGGTCGTAGGGCCGTAGTACCGAAGCCTTTCGTTAAGTTGGTCGAACGAGAGATGTCCACTGGTCCCTAGGAGTCGGTGGATCATGCCTTCGCCCTTGCTCTTATTTAAGCTCACTCCTCGGTAACTTGATGCGCGGTCCGCATCACCAGTCAATTGCCACTCGGAGCCAATCTGTTGGCCGTGATTCTGCTTGAATTGCTCCATGGATATATGTGTGAACTCTTGTTGTGCGTGACTAGAGCCTGGACTGGAGTCCCTCTCCTTAGATTCTCCACCAGGAGAGGCAACGCAACTTTGGGCAACGGAAGGAATTTTCAGCAGTTTTGCTTTGGATGATGCTGCGATTGCAGATGTTCGATTCGTGGTCGCACCAGGGTTAGGTACACCGTGAGAAAGAAGGGAAGACATATAATTTCCTGGGATTTGCCGGCTCGGAGATATCCCCTCATTTTTCATATGTCTGGACATTGGTGGATATTGAGCTGGTGGAGGTTCGATGTTGTGTTCCCGGAGCAGGTTTTCCAAAAGAGCGACTCGGTCCGTCAAGGAACACATATAAGCTCGCGAGATAGGTCTTCAAATTGTGAGAATGTGTTTAACGGTTGCTCGAGATTTGGGTCCCACTCACCTTCTTCTTTCATCGTCATTCTTGATGATGCATTCAGCACCGGACTTTTTGCATTGAGTGCATACTGTCTTTCCAGGCGGTACCACGCACTGTGGAAGATTAGTTGCCTATCTTGCTCGCGAAGACTTCAGTGGCCGTACTCGTATCCGCCTGTCTCTACATGAAGCACATGCGACGGACGCCCTATACCTCGACTTTTGCCGTTTGAACCCTTCTGACTGTAGGTCTATTTGAATCTGCTCTTCTGACTCGCCTGGGTACTCCCTAGGGTTATCGTTCCCATTTGTTTCTCCGGGCATGTTCAGGTCGCAGGTGCTGAAGATGCTTCAAATTGAAAGGACAGAAGGACGACAACGATATCAACGCTATTATATATAGATGTTATTGAGGGGTGCAACGAAAACAAGATTCGGAAAAGAAGGAGAAAAGGGTTCATGCAACTGGAAGGAACCCGTCCAAAGTTTTCGATCTGTTGCCCGGAGGTAGTACCGGCTGATGAAGCGACTAGGTTAGCCTAAGGTAAACCCCTCCATGTCGCATTGCTCGCAATAGCCCCTGCGGCCTGCGGGGTTCCCCATGGCGACTGGACAATGGTCTCTGGAGGTCCAACATGTGCCTATAAAGTGTAAGGCTGCATCGTGTACGTAATAGTGTAGTTTGTACACGGCGGACTCACAACCCTAAAGTCTGGAATTTCCTTGCCCAGGCGACTGACCACAGTGCTAGAAAGCTCGCATGCGATCGACTGCAAAGAATTGAGCTGCTCAGGCGCCCAATCGAAGGCGGCTTGGAATCAGTGGATCATAGCGGCAAGGGGGCTCGGTTTAGAGAGACTACTATGGTAAAGAGGCGAGTTCGGGTAACTTTGGGAGCCTGCTCGACATTTACTCCTTCTACCCGTCGATTGGCTGTGGATGATCAGATCAGTCGAATGGCATTTAAAATGATACCTTCTCCGTACTTTCTCTTCAATACCTGGCTCGGCCGTATTGTGTACCTAGTGCTCTGGTATCCCATGCGTCAATTGCATCCACGGTCCCCGCGCATCGACGGTTGCGAACTAGAGGCAAGACATCCATTCGACCATTCCAGCGTTCAGGGTCGATTTCCGGCCCTTACCGAATCACTCGGTTGTTTGCCCTCCCGCCTCATTAGCGTTATGACCAATTCCCTGCCACGAACTCCCTACGCTATGAAAAGTGTTTGAGTTCTTTGGGAGTGCGGGAGCCGACCAGCCGAGAGATGGCCGTGAGGTTGAGAGGAGGTTGACAGATGAGCGATGTGATTGGTCGATGCTACGAGTCAAGGCACTAGTGCGCGAGTCATGTTCGAAAATATCTCAGCGATTCCAAGTCAAGTAATAATTAACTATCTACTTGCAATGGTAATAATACCGTACGCTTCTACGACGCTAGATATCTACACCACGGACATCATGGTGAGATCCTCTGAAGGAGGATAAGATGGTGGTGACCCTAAAACGTTTGTAAACTATAGGATTGCTCCTAACACGTCTCCCAAAAATATATCCAGTCTATTAACAGTCTATCAAACAGAAGTTGGACCGGAACTACAACCTCGCCTTGAGTTTACCCTCTTTCTGAAGAATAGGTGCGTCACGCTTCGCCCATTCCTTCATGACCTTCCGCATAATCTTCCCGCTCGCAAGTTTAGGGACCTCGTCAATGAAAGCAACTCCACCGACAAGAGCCTTGTGCTTTGCAACACGTCCAGCAATCCACTTCTGGATATCCTCTTCGGTAAATTTGCCTTTATATTCGTCTTTGAGAGTCACGTATGCTCGAGGCCACTCCTCTTCATGCAAAGTAATGCCAACAACAGCCGCATCGGCGACGGCATCATGCTCTAGGAGTGCGGCTTCGAGTTCGGCCGGTGCAACTTGGAGGGCGTTGACCTTAATCAGCTCCTGTATGTCGTCAGCTAGGCATATAAGATGAGGAGTTCGAGGACTGTACCTTCTTTCGGTCAACAATCCAGAACCAGCCTTTCTTCACAATCGCAACATCCCCAGTCTTGAACCATCCATCCGGGCTCAGGGACTCCTTTGTGGCCTCCTCGTTTCGCCAATAACCCAAGCAGATATTAGGTCCTCGGACGAAGATCTCACCAGGCTCGCCTTCTGCCACCTCCTTCCCGTCGTCGTCAAGAAGCTTGCATTCTATATTCGGGTGAAGTTGACCGACGCTTCCGGAACTGGCAACATTTAGAACTCATCACTTAAGAGAGGAATAGGCGTAAGGCATACTTGTCGCTGATACCACCAGCCACGAGCGTCGCGCCGCAAGTGACCTCCGTCATCCCCCAACCTTGAATAACCTCGATGCCGAACCGTTTCGAAACCTCATTTTGGAGCTCGCGTGATAGGGGAGCAGCGCCGCACATGCAATCCGTCACGCTACTGAGATCATATTTCTTCGTCTCAGGACGCTTTGCAAGCATGACGAGCATCGGCGGGGCAGCCTGAAGATGCGTAATTCGATGAGTCTGAATCACACGAAGGTACGGTTCGAATCCGAACTTCTCCATGACGTAGATCGGGACACGGAGCTTGATGCACATCATCATGGCCCACAACTGTCCATACGCGTGGTAAAGGGGAAGTGCCCCAACCCATCGCTCTGGAGGATGATTGTGTGCCTTCCACTTCTTGTGCGCGTACTTCATAATCAAGTGCTGCTCCACGTTGGCTACAAGATTGGCATGGCTGATCATAACGCCCTTGGGAAGTCCAGTGGTCCCGGACGAATAGTTGACGGTAGCGACCGTAGTCGTGGATTCGGACGGGGTCATTGGTCGGAATTGATAGGCGTCTGCTTCTTGCTCGCTTCCGAGAATAGCTCTCCAGTCTTTCATGCCGTCGAATGATTCGGTCGGTCGTTGAGAGAAAAGATAAACGCTTTCTCGAGGGAGGCCAGCTAGAACGGCACCTTCGACAGTTATGCTTGCGACAGAGGGGTGCGCAAAGACGACTTTGGTCTGCGTGTTCTTGATCTGATATGCCATCTCTTGGACCGTGTAGATAGGATTAGCACCACTGAACACTCGTCTAGACCCAACGATTCCAAGATAGGCAACAGGAACGAAGATATGGTTGGGAGTGTGAATCATAACCGCCTCGTTCTCTTTGATCCCCAGCCTGTCTAGCCCAATTGCCAGGCGCTTCACCCATTGTAACAACTGCCGAGGGGAGAGATTTTCAGAGGTGTCTGCCGCACTAATCCAGAGAGGATCTTCCGAGGGAGTGCTCCCTGGAGGGAATAAGTATGTCAAGACATCGGTCTGGGGGAGATCGAGATCTGGGAAAGTCGATTTGAACGGCATGGTGAGCGAGTAACAATGGTTAGCCAGAATCTGGATTGAGGGATTGTGCTCGCTGAGAAGCATTGAGTTGCATCTCGATCGCCATTTTGACCCCACACTCGGACGGAACCTTCGCTTGAGATACCGTCCGTCTTGTTATCAAGCCCGAGGGTGTGTTGTGTACAGCCGAAGATACCGATTTTGTTAGTACCGGTATCGGGAAGTTAGCCGGATATAAGCCGGTAATTAGTTAAAATCACTACAGAGGGAGAGGCTTGGCGCGGGGCATCATCCCCAGACCCTAGTGGGGAATATTGACATATCGAAGGCGTCAAACTTCCAAGGAGAGGCCTAACCTTTAGATTATGTGAAAACGACATGAAAATCATCTATTAACTCCGTCCAATTGAGGTTGCCGCCTATTACCTATGCCGTGAGCCCATCGCGTGGTGAGGGGAGGGTGGACGAAATGGATGGCCCCTGCCTTTGATCTCTAGCCTAAGGTCAGAAGAAACTAACAATTGAGCGTTTTCAACGCCCTACGGGTACTTCCGCACATATGTGTTCGAGGTCAGGAAAAAAAGAAAGTATCGTCATCATCATCCATAATCCGATTTGCCTTATATCGATATCTGTTCGTTGAATGACGGTGGTAGAGAATCAAGACCCTAGATAAACCTTCCACACGGTGGCCTCAGCGACATCTCCTGATGCTAGAAGCGATGGAGTATCAGAAGCAGCCGGAAAGGAGACCTGGAGTAGATCTAACCCTGGTCGAGTTCCCCGTATACGATATATAGACTTCATAAATGGGATGTAATTGGAACAATATAAATGCTCGAATACGTGTATCAGCAGGTAAGTAAAGTTTTGACAAGGCCGTTGCCGTCATAATATCAAAATCATGCAACGTGAGCAGTATTACCAAAAGCCTTCAGAAGGTTGAACGTGGAGACCTTCTTTGCTTGCTTTCGCAAGTACTCCGCCGCCTCCTTTTGTCCTTCAGGAGTGGTGAATTCCGCCTATTGACTGTTAGCACTTAAACCAGGATACTGTCTCTAGTACACTCACAATGTAAAGATGCTTCGCCGGCGGCGGGGTCTCAGTTTCCCCCTCTGCACCTCCCATTATCATCGCAAAGTAGTTATTGTACTGTCGCACACGCGCGGGGTTGCTCGGCACTTCGTTTCCGTTTAATGGCGAGTCGAGGTCAGCAACAGTGATGTATGGTGCGGGACCTAAGAGCAACGTTAGTCCAATGATGTCGGATCATGGCACATCAACCTACCTGAAGCAGATCCTTCGGGCTCGTTGACATCGCCGAGGGTATAAAACCTTGTAGCGAAGTTCGCCACGTCGAAGATGAAATTATTTGGGCCAGGCAAAATGTCACTGTGAGCCGGAAGGGTGAAGAACTCCTGACTGCCCAGAAATTTCACATTTCGAAGCGGATAAAGCGCCAGATATGGGCGTTCGACAGGCTCCGACTCGGTGGTATAGTATCTAAAGCCCGAATCGAAGCCATCGGTTGATGCCTTGAAGATTTGCGGGATATGGACCTCTTCGTACCATTTCGTGAACAACTCCGGTGACAAGTCGTCCGGTTTAGAGATTTTGGAATTGACGTAGAACAGACCAGGGCCCGTCGGACCAGTTCCGGTCTCCGCCATCGCTTCAGTGGTTTCCTTGACTGAGTCGATTTTCCGAGAGGTCTTTTGACCTGATGTAGCGGTTGATCAGGAGAAGGGCTTTGAGGAACAACCGCGAGGTGACTTTTGATAGCGAGGAACCCAGGGAATTCGCATCCGAAATACCTACTGAGGGGTCGCATTCATTTAACTAGATCGCAAAGTCAAAGCGGGATGCATGTGACGTGAGCAACTTCGGACTGGCACAAAGCATATGCCATAAGCGAGATACCAGGCATACCTTACCACATACCGCATAGGGATGTACAATGCCAGATGGAGTAGTATCATTGGTATACTGATTGTAAAGTGACTAGGAAAGCAGACGAAAGACGCAACTAGGACTGAATTGAGAGGATGGATAGATAGGGTGCCGAGCTGTCGGAACTGGACAGCCTAGGATACTTAGTCGTGGGCATATTTCTTGCCCTCTATGAGGAGGTCATAGGCCAAGGACACTGAAAGCGGACTTTGAAGAACGATGAGAGGCTGGAAACTGGGGGTGTCTTCAAGGTATCAATTGCGCTCTGAGAGAGAGATACATATTAGATATGCGAAGAGACAGGGCTAAAGGAGAGAACCACTTAATCAGGAGTTGTGGACACTGGACAGTGGTTTTCTCTTGCCAAAGATACCTCTCCACAGCGGGGTCGTCCCGACTTGCAGCAAATCTATCTACACTTCCGCAGATGGTGGCGATTTGCTGCTTGTTCGAGAATTATAGTGGTATGCTTGTGCCTCGTACCGATTACTAAGTTAAGTAAGTCGATTACCTATTCTAGAAGGCATCGAGATTCGAGAATTGAGATGTCATTAAGATTTAAGACAGGAGTGTTGTTACTCCAAAGACTTAGGAGGGACTGAACTGCAGGACTCAAGGTTGGTACTACCCTCCGGGGGGGAAGAAATTGAGTTACGTTTCTTGGCATTCCCGCAACCATCACCACCATTACAGGCAGGCCCAATTCGCTCAAAAACAACATAATACCAAAAAGTATACTCTTTTCCTAATTAAGCAACTACTAGAGGCCTGTTTTGGTGAATTCTCCGCCGCGTTCTGGTTAAGATCGTGGGAACTATGCTTAGGGGAATGCCAAGAAACGTAACTCAATTTCTTCCCCCCCGGAGGTACTGTAAATGACCCCGGCCATGTAAGCGCGCCACCACAGTCCACTATGAGGCATGAGCGCGTCTTTCCCCAAGTCCCCCATCTTCCGGCCTTACCAGACTGTATTCAAAAACCGAGACGGCAGAACTACGAATAATGAGCAGGACCAGTGGGCCGAAGCCCGAAAGCTCCGTTCAGACTCCAGACTTCCGACCTCAGGTTGTCTCCGGGTTAGAATACATACTATAATCGATGGAATGCGATTATGCGAAGGTGGAGATGCGCCGACCATGTCCACTTGATTCGTATTAGCCTGTGCACTATGTACATCGATGCAATTTCATTTTCCAATCAATACAAACGAGGCGCAGCCCGTGCATTGCTTGACCCATCACACCCGTGGGCCATGGTAAGACGGAGACGGGAGAACCTCCACGATCGGCGGTTGGCTTCAATGCCTACTACGTAAACCCTTCGCTTAGGAAACTCGAGGTCGAGGATATCTCGTCGCGCTTGGCATATATACATAGTAAGCAGAGCCGCACTGTGAGGTCCTAGTATAAAGGAGGAGCGTGCCCCTAGGAGATGCGTGTCAAGACGCCAATCCACGACACACGCAACCCATCGACACAGTTGCCCTGCGCGGACGCCTGATTGAACGGGGACGTTTTCTTGATATTCTCCTCACATCGCAGCTTGGGGATTTGGGATCATAATAGATCTTGGACTTTCGCTGATATAAGAGAAAATCCGCATAAGCCCTGCTTCACACGATATGAATCGACGGATACAGAAGCAGTGACAAGTCATCGTCGGAATCATGCGTACATAACCGCATTGAATCGCTTTGAAGGAAGAGAGAACTCGACACTTTAGCGCTCTGGATATCGAACCGTCCCCCGAGAACAAAACTATCTGCACACCCCAGCGTTCCGTGCCCAACATGCACCTCCCAACCACCCTCACCCTCCTCCTCCTCCTCCCCCTCCTCACCCTCACCGCCGACATCCACATCTCTGTCTCCAACCCCCGAACCGCCAACGTCTTCACCCCGGCCAGCACCACCGCCTCCCCCGGCGACGTCCTCATCTTCTCCTTCCTCTCCGGACCGCACGACGTCGCACAATCCTCCTTCGACTCCCCCTGCCACCCCGCCCCAAATGCCTTCTATAGCGGCCTCGTTTCTTCCGCCTCCGACCGCACTTTCCGCGTCGAGGTCAACTCCTCCGATCCGATCTTCTTCTACTGCGCCGTCGCGGGACATTGTCAGGCCGGGATGGTCGGCGTGGTTAATCCGCCGCCGGGGCAGGCGGGGGACGCGTTGACGAGGAGGGCGAGAGGGGAGGGGAGATCGGGGACGCCGGATGAGGTCAGTGGCGGGACGTTTGGGTCGGCGCAAGCTGCGAGTGGGAGTAGTGTGTCGGCGAGTCCGGCGCCGACAGGTCCAGCGCCCGCGTTGGATATTCGGGTGGTGGGGGGAGGGGTTATGGCGGCGGCGCTTGCGTTTGCGATGGGGATGATGTGAGAGATCTGGATGGCATTATCAGTAATCCCCAGGATTTGAGGAAAATCTAGACAGTTCGGTTAGTACGCGAGGTCGCATATGGACGACTACGAAAGCGAAGAGACCGGAATCTCTTTTGGAGTAGGTGTAAGTTAACAATGTTAGTACATGTATAGTGTATATACAAGAAGTGATTGAGTGGTCCCTCGAATCGGTTGAATGCGGTATACCAATTCCAACATGAAATGTGCGAGGCCATGGAGTCATAAATGTACAGATGCGTCCGTCGCCATCTATTGTCACCGTCTATTTTCGTCGTTCCAGAACTTTTTTGCACATGTTGATTAAGCCTTGCTTCGCTTCGCTTTCCGGGAAGATGCTGATCGCATCAATTGCTTGGTCGACATAAGACTGCGCAAGTGCGCGAGTCTGCTCGAGTCCGCTACTACTTGCCACCATCTGGCGTGCCTAGTGTCTGGTCAGTATGCGAAATCGAGATGTTCAAAGTCCCTGGGACACTTACGGCCTCGACGTCTCCCTCTTTTGAGAACTTTCGTCCGATTAATGCGCCTAGGGCGCTGTTGTCCTTCCATGCGAACAGTAGCGGTGCGGTCGCCAGACCCAACTCTAAATCAGCACCAGCAGGCTTCCCTAGCTCTTGCGCATTCACCGTATAGTCGAGCATGTCATCAACCAACTGGAACGCCAAGCCTAGATTCTTACCATACGAATATGAGGCTTCGACGACCTCCGGAGCCGATCGTCCCAGCAACGCAGCCGCGCGGCATGACTTGCTGATCAAGCTCGCCGATTTCAAGTATGTCTTTTGCAAGTAGTAGGTCAACGCGTCCTCCGACCACACCGGGTAGCTCTCATCCTTGGACGTGTTCTTTAGCTGCATGAATTCGCCCTCCACCAAATTCGCGATGACCGTCGCCAGGAGTTCCGTGACTTCTGGATCGCGCAATCGAGCCAATGCGACGGATGCGCGGCCGAGCAAAAAGTCGCCGGCCAGGACTGCCATCTTGTTGCCAAACTCCAAGTTCGCGCTCGCCGCCCCTCGGCGGGACACGGAGCGGTCGATCACGTCGTCGTGTAACAATGAAGCGGTATGGATCAGCTCCGTGATCTCGGCGAGCCGACGCTGTGACGGGAGTACATCGGACCACTCTGCGGGCCATTCTGCGTCTGGGGTGGAGGAAAAAGCAGTGGAGGTACTGTAGGGAGGAGCGGATGGGTTGGTATCGGAGAGGATGCTGGAGGGAGATATGGGGACGTTGACTGTGGATTCGGTGGGGTTGATGGAGGAGGTTCGTGGACAGAGTGCCGTGGCGCGAGCCATGAGGAGGACGAGCATCGGCCGCACGTATTTGCCTTCTGATTGCGTGTAGTATTTCGCGACGTTATCGAGCATCGGATGCCCGGATCCCAACAGTTGTCGAATATTGTTCGTCAGCAATTTCATCTCCTTGGCCACGATCCTGAGCGGATCAATGCCGATGGGAGAGCTCTGGCTAGGGATGGTCGCCGTGTTGAATGCATTCTGAACCGCAGATACCGCCGCTCCCCAGGAGGATGCGGAACGTCTTCTCGGAGGATGGTATAGCGAACGCGACGAGGGAATGATCAGACTCTGGCATTGTCCGCATGCCAACGACTGGAGGTTCAGCAGCGACGTGACCGGTCTTCGCACCAGCTTGGCCTTTGCTGCAGATGACACTTTCATCTTCGTCAACAATCTGCCTCTCCGTGGGTTGTGGAACGAAGGGATGCCTCTGGTGGAGGCAGGTATAAGATTGCTGGACAACGATATCTTGATAGAAGATCTAGTTCATAGACGCATTTCTAATCCGTGAGACTCAGCCGGAACTTCGGTCAAACACAGCTCGATTCGACTCGACTCTGGAGGGAGGAGTGGAAGAGTATCCAGGAAAGAGCGTCGATGATGGAAATGATGTGCTGGAACTGAACCACCGGTTACCGCTAAGGTACCTGTAATGATCCAAAAGGATCAATTGATAGCGTGTGGTGGTAGCGGAATTTGCAGCTGGTGGAATGGTCGATGAACTTTTTTAGATGATGCTAAATGGGTCCAGCCGGCATCTACCGACTAGGTATTAAGGTAGTATTAACTACAAGGCTACTACATTCCTCCGCTACCATACAGCTACCAATAACCAGAGTTCGATAGTCGATTACAGTGTTGACTACTTCCTATTATTGACCTGGAGCTCAGGACGACAATGGAGTACCCTTTGGAAATGCTTTGAATCAAGACAAGATGGTGCTGCTTACGATCACACCCGCAACCAAGGACGCGCTCCAAGCGTACCAAGCTCTAGGCCACCGTGAGGACGATTCTGACTCTCTTAAGTTTCCCGTGGATGGAGATGTTGGGCAGCCGATTTCCCATGGAGACGTTGTCTTTCTGTCGCAGTCGCTCCTTAAATACTACTCTGCTACGGCACCCGACGGAGATGAAGTCGAACGCAAACGACATGCGTCCCTATACACTTTGAACCAGCTACTACGAGGGGCGCGGATCTATGAGGAACCCCCAAAGCCCAAGCCGCAGCCCGTGAGTTGAACATCTAATGCTTATAGTGCCCTATATCAATGCTAACCCCTCCCTAAAGTCCTCAGAGTATGTCAAACTCATGGCGCGACTCCGCCGCGAGCAAGAAGCGAAAGACTACGAACGGATGACCTTCCACCCATCCGACCCGTTTACCAAGCCGCAGTTCCTCGGGACAACCCCCCGCCCTACCGACTCCTTCAGCGTAGGAAACCAATGGGTATCCGAACCCGACGACGTCACCTACGCCGACGTCAACCGCCAACTAGCGCTCATCTTCAACGTCCTCATCTCCATCGTCGCATGTGGCGCTGCCATCTGGGTCGCCGCGAGGCACATGGACGTGCCCGCGCGGTTGGCGTTGAGCATGGTTGGAGCGATCGTGGTCGCTGTTGCGGAGGTGGTGATCTACTCCGGGTATATTCGACGGATCCAGGAGAGTAAGGCCAGCGAGGCAAAGACGAAGGAGGCAAAGGAGATCTATGAAACTTGGGTCACAGAGCCGAAGAAGGAGGCGGAGAAGCTCATACGGCCGAAGGAGAAGGCAGGAGACTTGAGACAGCGGAAATTGACCTCTATGTGAGGCGAGAATTGGCCGTTTACGGTGGACCTCAGGATCCAAAACTCCCCCAAGAGGAATTTCGGCGGACAGCACCTTTGCGGCCTAGCAGGAGGAGTCTTGCACCATCAACACCGTCGACTCTTGTCGAGAGGCGCATCGGTAGCGATACCAAGTTCAAGGGCTACCAACAGAATCTACTGGGCTCAGAAAGAAGAAAAACGCGCCACCGCTGCGGACCTACACAGCATACGTGCATTTGCTCCCCAGACAGCACCTTGCAGGTAGTCTACTACCAGCAGACCAGACCATTTACAACACGCAAATGGTTTATTCAGACAAGCTTGCTATTGTCTTGAGCTTAGTATTGTCCTGTGATACAATAGCTTAAACGGCGAAGGTAGATAAAGGGCTTTCCCATTGTCTGGTGATGGACTGACAATTGTCCTACCATATATCTGTTGTCGGCCTCTGTTACATCTATGGACTATTGCTGCCACTATACCGCCCCAATTTGGGTCACATATTCGATTGGCAAACCTACCAAGGTCGCCGTTGAACAATGCATGGTCAATACCTATATTGTCTCTTACTCAGAAGTCTTCTTGCATTTATATTTCCTATTCGTTTCAGATATTGTGATGAAGGACCTATAACCCTCGAAACTTCTGAAAATCATTTCGTCCTGGCAACGGAATTGTCGCGTTGCAGCTGCTCGTGCCCAGTTCCAACAGTCGGATTTCAGCCAAAATTGAAAGATTCAGACCAGTTTGCATATGGATGCCAATAAAAAGTTGGTCGGGTACCTGGATGTATTCATAAATTTTGTTCGGAGCCGGAGGACGCGCCAGCTCTGTCGCAACCACTTGGAGATGGGATCTACCTTTCTCTAAGACGAAATGACGTCGTTAAAAGGAAAGCAAGCACGCATAACAGCATGCCGATCCCGCGCCACTAACTTCATCATATCCAGTTTACGAGAAACGAGAGGATTAAAGTCTCTTATTTCCTTTCTTCCCTTCCTGACCTTCTTTAGATTTGGTAATTTCCCTTATTGTTGTTCCAATTTCCTGTTGTCCGATTGTCGCAAGCGTTTTTAGAGCAACTCCACGAGTTCGCCTCTCGTGCGCGGCCCCTACCTTCTGTGGATTTCTCCAAACCAATTCGAGGAACTATTCCCAGGAATCCCTTTCGCAAATATGGCGCTGTCAAAGGCGGCATTATCCCTAGTGATCGCTCAATTGTATGGGGGCGTGTCCGGCTCACCAGCACCCCTTCCAAACGCTGCTCCGCATCCCATGATCACACCCTCGCCCGCCCTGCATGATCCATCGAGGACATTTAGAGCGAGAGGCATCGTCAGCGATGTCACGGAAGGATTCGGCGGCTTTACCTCAGGAGTTGATTCGGTGTTTCGTAGTCTTGGATCGGCAATTCCGTCCTACGTCGCATCTGGTTCGTCTCACCAACTTGCCCAAATCTTCCACCAATTCTGACAGGCCGTAGGTGTACCCAACTTCTTCCAAGATTTCCCCGTCGGCGACAAGGTGCAGAGTTCGCTCGGAATCGACGACGAGCAGGTGCGGGCACTGCCTACGCAGGTTCTGAACGTTCCGCCTTACGCGAATTGGAGCAATGGCGCATGGAATATACGGTTCAGAGGAAATGTAAGATGAAGTGTCTGCGGAATATATGTACAGTCGTTAACATGTGGTCAGGTCTACAAACAACCCAATACCTCCGAGGGGAAGCTGAATGAACTTGCGAATATCTTCCTCATCGATACGGATGTCCAGGACTTGCCTCCAGAACAACAAGCGCAAGCCCGCAATGTCACCGCGTCCATATTCATCCTGCAGCAAGATGACGAAAACGTTACCATGCATATGGAGCCCGCCGATTCGGCGGGTTCAAGCGGCGAACCTGGTGGTGGAGGTGCCGTCACACCAGAGGGTGGCGTTCAAAACGCCACTCTCCCCGACCCAACCACCGAGCTCGGCGATTTCGATGCCTTCGTCCCAATTGAACTGAACGGATTGACCGCCGGCGACGAAGCGACCGAAATCCAGCGACTCAATGTTTACGCGGAGGGTGCCACTTTGGGAAACGCAACCGCATACCTGGTCCCTCCCACCGGTCTGACCATTATATCCGACATTGATGACGTTCTCCGCGTCACGAAGATCTACAAGCCCGATGAAGGTATCCTGAATTCGTTCGCCCGCCCCTTCACCCCCTGGTTGAACATGCCCGACATCTACGCCAACTGGAGCCGCAGCATCCCCGACACGCACTTCCACTACCTCACCACGACCCCGGAGCAAGCGACGCGCATCTACATGGACTTCATTTACAAGACCTACCCGGGCGGCTCCTTCGACACCCGGCCTCTGAACTTCTCCGATGTCTCCGCCACCCTCTCCATCCGCCAACACCTCCTCGACCGCATCTTCCAGACCTTCCCGGACCGCAAGTTCGTCCTCGTCGGCGACACCAGCAACTCGGACATGATGAAATCGTACCCGGGCCTGGTGGCCGCGTATCCGAGGCAGGTGCAGTGCATTCTGATGCGCAACACGACCGCGACGGACGAGGATATGCTGTTCCCGTACAACACCGATGGGTTCAAGGACTTGGATCAGCAGATGTATATGTTTTTCAACACGCCGGACGACCTGACTGGGCTGGATATCGCGGGTGGGAATTGCTATAATGCGTCGGTGCCGCAGCACCTCACGTTTGGGTATCAGGCGGAGCGGTTGGGGGTGCATGGAGATACGGGTGCCGCGGGACGGGTTGGCGTGAGTTGGTACGCGGTCGTTGGCCTTGCTTCATTCATTGGCGCCTTTTTAGCGTTGTAGGGACCTCTGTGATGAGGCAGGATAAGTCTCACGAGATGGTTATACGTTTTGCATCGGCGCATTGCTGGACGGCGTAATGGACGACTTGGCTTTCGAGGCTTGTATATGAGAGATAGTGTATGGTAGTACGAGTACGCAAGAACGAAGTAGACATGATTCAACTTCCTTGGGTCGTAATCGATCAATTTGAACGACCGCGCTTCCGACTTTCGATATAGCTAACAACACATTAGATCCGCACCGAACTGCAGCACGACCTCGTACTCCCGCCCAACCCTTCTCAACAAATTCGGAATTCAACGAAATAAGGGAATGAATTGGCCGCTTGTCCAGATACACCGGTGCCGAAACTTACGCCGCATTCATCACCACCCTCGTTCGGGTTACTCTCCCCATTATATGGATATCTTCCTCCCCTTCCTTAGTGATGGCTCTGCTACAGATCCTGCATCTGCGGCCCTTAATTCTTCCCTGTATGCTGCGGATACTGCTGCGCGTTCTGCGGATACGCCGGCAGGCTCTGCTCCGGATACATCATTTGCGGATGCTGCTGCTGCGGCGCATACTGCTGCGGCTGGGGCGAATAATGCTGCGGCTGGGGAGCATACTGTGGCGGCTGGGAAGCATACTGCGGCTGCTGGTGCTGGTGCTGCTGTGGCGGATACACCATGCCGGTATCCTTCGCTTCGCGGGCGCCGGCGGGCTGCTGGGTGATGAGGCTGCGCTTCTCGTTCTCGCGGAACTCGGCCTCCTTGTCTTGCTGGACGAGATCGCAGGGTGTGCAGCAGCAGGCACAGAGGCAGTCTTTGCAGCCGCCGCCTTGGAGTTGGTACTTGGAGCGCATTTCGCCGCGTTGCATCATTTGGAGGATCCAGTGACAGCCGCACATGGCGATGACGTAGTAGCTGGAAGGGGGGTTAGTTGGGGAGATGGGGATGGGTAGGGCTGGGGAAGGAAAAGGGGGTGAGGAGAGACGTACCCGCAGCATGATCCATTGCACCAGGAGAAATCTTTCATCGAGGAATCCTTACGAGTACGGTGATAGACTTTGCCGTAAAGAAAGCATGGGCAGCACCATCCTAGGAAGCCTGTGTGGAAAATGTATTAGTATGATAGACTCAATGGACCAGAATCCCTCGACATTAGGAGATCCGTCAAGCACATACAAGAGGAAATCGGACTGCAGCAATCCGACCCTGAATGTTCCCAATTCCGCACTTGACTGGGAGCCATCTTCGGTGACTTTGTTGTGATCGGAGGATTTTGATATCAAGTCTTGCAAGTTGCAGCGATTATGCAGTGTATTTCCGACGGATTCGAAAACGATCGAGGACAGTACTTTGGTAGAGAAGAATGGCTGCGACAGAAAAACACGCTCAGAGAAAGACAGAAAATTGAAAAGATAATACTATTCCTCGTCACATTGTCGCGCTGTTCTCAGCGGCCGTGCTTCTTATGAGTGCGCCCCATCTGCTTGTCGACCCCTTCTGTTGGAGTTTTGTATCAGCCAGTCATGCAGCCACCCCGTGCCCTCGCCGCAACTCGCTACCATTCTGGGGACTGATTCACCAGTGGTCCAGTGCACGCTTCATAGCGTAGCACGCGTTCTAGTGGGTCCCATTATTATGGGCTACGTACTTCATGGTTGACCGGAGGATGCAGGAGACTTGGAACTCTTCGAATCCATCCTCCTCGGATAATCATCCATCGGTGCCCGAACGCGTCGCACATCTGTGAGCAAGCGGAACTGGCACCGTCCCGTATCCAGCGCGAACTAACCATATCCAGCGTTTTTCCTGACCGGTGTCGCGCGTGCAGTAGAAGTCCCCGAAGCAGTAAGCACAGGTAAAGAATAGAAGAACCAGACCAGTCGATCACAAGCAGAAGCACCGAAGTGTCCGAAATCATTGGAACTGTGCACCAGTTGCTCAGTTCCGCACATAATTCAGCCAGGAAGGCGCAGGGGATCCTGGCTAGAGGTCCATCCATGATCCAAGTCGGGATCTGTCGCCGGTTTTGGGCGCAGGGCTGAGCAGCTCCCTCTATTTCCTAAGTTGAGTGGTGGCGCGTACGGGCTTGTCGGCTTAACTCAATGATTCTTGAGGCTTCGGAGTGATTACTAGAATAGAAGGGGATTGGCAACCAATGGTAGAGAGGCGGGCAGGGAGAGGGCGAGTGGTGAACATTGAACAGGAGAGCAGTGCCGAGTTCTTCGCTCGAACACGAGATGGAGTTGCGCAGCTGGAAGCGAGAGTTACACTGTGATAGGAGCTGAATACGTACTGAGAGATCATGGATGAGAGGACGGGACTTTGTATTGGAGGGACATGCAAGGGATCGGGAGGGGGGTCGAACGAGTATCGTGCGATTTTAAGAGCAGCAAATTCATCTTGTTTGTTTGCTTGTGGGATTGCATTTCATGATAAGCTCAGGTACGAAATAGGTGTTTATTCCCTAGGGTCATAGACTCATGATTTAGGAGGGATTCTGCCTGTCACATTGTGATCTGATCAAGACGATTTCTTTTTTCATGAAATTACGATCCTCGTCATCATGCTGGGGCCAAGTCTCGGTGGCATTGAAGTGATTGGCAGGGTGATGTCAGCAATCACAAGAATAATTATTCCATTGTCTCCGTAAACTCAGGCAGATTTTGATGATTTTCGAGTTTCGACCAAGCTCGTATTCCGCTGGTTTACATCTGGAATAATACATCCCGATCTTGCAAGAAAGCAAATAAGAATCATTAGGGACATGATCTTTGCTGCCTTGAATCGATCAAACATAGTCAAACATGCCTCCATCGGTCTCTTCGTTTTGAGCCTTGACTCTGTTTATAGATCCCCCTAGTTAAGCGCTGATCGACATTGAGCATCGTCATAATAAAATATGGAAAATTGGAAATCCTCCGTCGCTCAACTTACCATGTCGGGCTTAACCCCAGTGCGTCCCTCCGCAGCCCATATTTCTTCTCCGACTCCTCCATTCTTCGCCATACTTCTGGAGGAAGGACGACGAATTTCAATTTCGAGGATAAAGTTCTCAACTACAGTAATGCATGATGGAGCGGTTATACGTTCATTGAAATCTCTTTCTGCGATCTCTTCGGTTTCCAGCTGAGGCCAAGTCGTATTTATCAATCAATGTCTTCGGATTAGCGTCCATAATATATCCTTCGCCCGGGCTAGTCAAACTCCGCTGAAGTCAGAAGCGGTCTTCTGCCAAAGCCATCCGCGTGCGAAACCGTACCGACATCTATTATATTGGCTTTTATCACCTCTTTGATGCCGTCTTGACCAGCCGATGCCTGGAGACATAGACCACTGACTAGCTGGAGCCTGTCGCTCGTCGGTGACATCGCCATCTCTGGCGTCAGCAGCCGGTTGGTGAGAGCGGCGACTTGGTCGAAAGTATCCAGCGTCGGAGATCCGTTCAAGATCGAGCTTGTGATGGCCAAGTTAGAGATGCTGCTTGCGTCGATCACGAGCCCGTGTTCCCTTCGTTGACCGTGGCTTCTTCCAGGACTCGAATACACAGCGATGAAATTGACTCTCGTAGTAAGACAGACGACGAGACGAGACGGGCTAGGAAATAGAAGACAGATGGAGAAGAGAATACTATCGTAGCTGTTCCTCGGTGCGTGACGTGAGCTCATACACCTCGTAAGAACGAGTCGACAGAATTCCTCCGAATCTGCATGGCATACTTAGGTATTCAGTTCTCTTGACTTTACAACCCACTGCAGTAAAGAAGGGAGTTTGATACCGAACCCCAGAACGCAGAATGAGATATAGCCGTGCAGGTATGCCGAGAACACACCATTTCCGAAAGATTGTCAGACAGTCGGACCTCAGGTTTCGATGCAATCAGGGTGCTGCTTATATAAGCTCTCATTCCGGTCATCCAGGTTCCCAACCTCAAAGAGGGGACCCTCGGGATACAACACCGCATTTGCAGAGAGGGGAAAGCACGGCAACCAGACAGGGTCGCACAACGAGTCACGCAGGACATGCGTTCCTGTTCAGGGAGCTGGGCCGGCTGTGACCGAGCTATGAATTATACGTCGATTTATTTGATGTTTCGCAGATCAATGTGTACAGTGTAGGATTGAAGCCACTGATTAATACAGGTTTGACAGTTTGACACCATGGCCGGAGCAGTGAGACAACCAATTGATATAGCATCGTTCGAGGATTATGTTAAGGCCAATGTCCCTGAGATCAAATGTCCCATTTCATTGAAACAGGTCAGCAATTGTCTCGAGCAAAAGATGTAAACCCCGTCACTGACTTCATCCAGTTCGGCTACGGCCAGTCCAACCCAACCTACCAAATCATTGACAGCTCCGGCAAGAAATATGTCATGCGCAAAAAGCCCCCGGGCAAGCTCGTCTCCAAGACTGCCCACAAAGTCGACCGCGAATACCGCATCATGACCGCCCTCGCCACCACCGACGTCCCCGTCCCCAAGACCTACTGCCTCTGCATGGACGACACCGTCATCGGCTCCCCCTTCTACATCATGGAGTTCCTCGACGGCCGCATCTTCGAATCGCCCGACATCCTTAGTGTCTCCGCCGTGGAGCGCAACCAGATGTGGCACGATGCGATCCGCACGTTGGCGAAGCTGCATCGCGTCGACCCGAAGAGCGTGGGGCTGGAGACGTACGGGAAGCCGGCGGGGTTTTATGATCGGCAGCTGACCACGTTTAAGACGCTGTCGAAAGCGCAGGGAGAGACGGTAGACGTAGAGACGAAGAAGCCAGTCGGTGCGGTGCCGAGGTTTAATGAGATTGTTGAGTTCTTCGGGCAGAAGAAGTACCAGCCGGAGGATAGGGGGACGCTCATCCATGGAGATTATAAGATAGACAACATCGTCTTCCATAAGACTGAACCTCGCGTCATTGGTGTTCTGGAGTAAGTTTTCTGATTTCAGGTACATCATGAACAACTTACTAACGATAACAGCTGGGAAATGTCCACCATCGGCCATCCGCTCTCCGACCTCTCCAACCTAATGGTCCCTTACTCCCTCACGGCGGCACACTACCCCACCGCGCTCGTGATCCCCGCCACCTCGGACTCCTCGCAGCCTCTACGGCGAGGCACCTACTCAACCTTCCACACAAGCATTCGTCTCGGCGGTCTGCCGCCTGCAGAGACTGTCGTCAAATGGTACAGTGAAGTCGCCGGTTGGGACCCTACCCCCGATCTTGCATATGGACGAGCCTTCAGCTCTTTCAGAGACACAGTGGTGTTCCAGGGAATTGGGGCGCGCTATGCCGCGAGGCAGGCGAGCAGTCCACAGGCAAAGTTCGTGGGGCAGGAAATTGCTCCGTCTGCGGAAGTGTGCTGGAGGCTGATTGAGGCGACGCGAGCGGCAAAGGCAAAACTATGATTTCTGATAGTTAGCGAGCAATGCATTTTCACTTGAAGTTATAAATTCATGAGCCATATCGGCATTGGAGAATGGATGTGACGATCGGTGCAGGTGGATTTTAAGAGCCGACAAACCCAAAATGTATCTCTAAAACCTAGAATATATCTTCCTCAACATTCCATTGTTTGCACAACTCATGATACCTCTGCTGGTATTGTTTATGCCTCGTCTCGAAGCCCTTCGCCGTCTTCATCTGATCTCGTCCCACCTGATGAGCATGCGAGCTATCCGGTCCATCCGCTAACCTAACAAACCTCGCATACGTCCACATCTCCGGCAGCGCCGTATACTGCGTGAGCCCCTGCCCGCCCCAAATCTGCATACACTCATCGATGATATCGGCCGCCATCTTCGGAATCAGCACCTTGCTCTGCGCAATCGCATACCGCCCTGCCTTGTTCCCCATGATATCCATCGTGTCCGCCGCGTTCATCACGATCTGCCGCATGCTGTCCAGCCGCATCCGCATGTACGCCACCCGCTCGATGTTGCTGTCGAACTCCCCGATCAGCTTCCCGCGCGGTTTCTTCCGCTCATCGATGCACCGGATCAGCGCCAGCTCGAACGCCCGCTCCGTCTGCCCGATCAGCCGCATGCAGTGGTGGATGCGGCCGGGACCGAGCCGGCCCTGCGCGATCTCGAACGCGCGCCCTTCGCCGAGGATTATGTTCGCCGCGGGGACGCGCACGTTCTCATAAACGTACTCGCCGTGGCCTTCGGGTGCGTGGTCGTAGCCCATGATGGTAAGATTGCGCTTCATGGTGAGGCCTTTGCTACGGGCGGGGACGATGACCATGGTGTGGCGGGCCCAGGGGTTGGGGTTCTCCGGGTCAGAACAGCCCATGAGGATGTAGATGCCGAGCTCGTCGTTCATTTGGGAGTTACCATAGAGTTTGCGACCGTTGATGACTAGTTCGTCGCCGTCGCGCTTCATGCTGCAGGCGATGGTGGTGGCGTCGGAACTGGCGCGGTCGGGCTCGGTCATGCTGTAGGCGGAGGACATGTCGCCGTCCATGAGAGGTTTGAGCCACTTCTCTTTCTGCGCGTCATTGCAGTACTTGGCGAGCAGTTCGATGTTGCCAGTCTCCGGGGCATGGCAGTTCATGGTCTAGAGAGCGTTAATTCCATTCTATTTTCATATATTAATGCATTTGACTTACTTGCGCTGCCCAATAGCATCTTCCCATAATCTCTGCACAGCATGCGTACTCGAGGTTCGTCAAACCTGGGGATTCCTTGAAGTGGTTCGGCAAGAAAATGTTGAAGAGGCCTTGGGCCTTCGCCTTCTTTCGCAGTTCGTGAATCAAGGGGGCGGTCTTCCACCGGTTGTTCTGCAATTGTGCCTGCACGACGCGCTCCGCAGGAATACACTCGGTCTCAACCCAATCGTAGACTCTTTGGATGATCTCGATGGCCTGTGGCCTCAGCTTCGCCTTTACCCACGGTGGGATACGGTTGAATGCAGGGTTGTTTTCCAATGAAGGCGCCATTGTAAGGACTCGGGACTTGAATATATAATACTGCGAATGGAAAAGCTCTCGGATGAGGGAACAAAGTAAAGAAGAGTAAACGATACCAACCTTAGCTTGACATTAAACAAATAACATTTCTACATGTCCTCGGGCTGGGAAAATACCGTAGCCAATTCAGGCACCGCTACACCTCTAGCCGTTGCCCGAGGTGGAGGCTTGCCGTGCCCGCACTGGATTGAGGGCGAAGTGGAAGAGATGACGCTTAACGGCTGGGAAAGATGTGGATTGTGGAGGATCTTTTATTTCCGGGGGATCTAGGGGTGACAAGCGGGGACCCTGACGTTCCACACAATATCTCCTATTTCGAGTCCAAAGAATATCACGAATAATTCACGATGTCCCGGAACTCATCTAACCTAGATGTCGGTTCGAAAACGCACTTGAGCGACATGCAAAGGGTTGGTTTAGAATGGCCGTAGAAGATTTAAGCGTGGATCACCGAGTAGCAAGATGGTTTTCACAAGGGTTGAGTTTGGAATGTTTATGTTTGGGGCGTCGCAGCATGGCCGCCGCCAGGTAGTTATGCATCTATAACTCATGCGTACATGTAAACAAACCAAGGTCATCGAATGTTCGTCGTCCATCTATGTCCCGTCATACTCATGGTCCAACGTAAGATGGGCAGAAAACCTTGAAAACCCTCAGCAATGCACACGCCTGCCAATGAAACCATTCCGAACAGCCAGAAGCGACTTCAACGAGGGCGGTTGTCTCCTCATAGTCAACCGCTTCACTCGTCCCGATAGAACTTCCTCATCAGAAGATGAACCAACAAGTTCACGTTCAACCGTAACGATCCCTCCCCGCCCTTTCCCCCCGTCGCATCATTCCCACTCGTCCCGAACAAGTTCACAAACTGACAATTGTTAAACTGCGCCTGCAGCAAATCATCCAACGGCACCATCGCGCTGGCACCGGGGATCATCATGCTCCCAACACTCCCCTCGACATGAAACACCCCAACCTGATCGCTCGAAATCGTGATGTTGATCTTCTCCCACTGCCGCTCATGGTACCCTTTCCAGCTCACCAACACTCCCTTGTTTGCCAGATTCTGCGCCGAGTACTTAAACGACCCGAACTTGGGCACCCGACCGGCGCGCTGCAGCTCCTTCTCGTGGTTGTACTGCTTCGTGAACGGCAGCAGGAACCGCTTCTTCCCCTTCTTGTTCTGCAGCGTGATCATCGCCTGCTCGATGTAGTCGTTGTAGCTCTTCAGTTGGCTGTCTAGCCACTCGGATTTCTCGTCCAGCGCCGCCAGCGTCGCCTTCACGCCTTCAAGCTCGCGCGTGCGCTGGATGCGTCGTCGGTGCTTCGTGCGGATGTCCAACGCAATGCTGTTGAGGAGGTCTTGGTAGTTGTTGTGCCGGCTCAGTCGACCGTGTCGTTCGAGCGTGACGAAGTTTTCCAGCGCCGTGCGTTTGAGCTCGGCGTAGGTGAGGGCGGTGATGTCGAGGGCAGAGGTGGCATGGCCTGTGGTGCTCATGGCGTCGGAGGTCGAGGTATTGGTGTGTCGTCGGTGGCGGCGGCGGTCGCGCTCTTTCTGGGCAACCTCTTCGGAGACGAGGGCGGTCCAGCGATCATCGTCTTCGGCGGAGATAGGGCGGACCATGATTTCGAGAAGGCTGCCGCCAGTTTGCACGCGGATGATGTAGAGGATGCAGCGTTTGGTTTCCATGAACAGGGACTTCAAGGCAGCGTCGGGGTCTTGGGGATGTCAGCGTTGACCTTTCAAAGTTGGACCATAAGAAGAGTATACCTTCCATGTCATGCAGCTTGGGATTCAGGGTCAAAGTGATCTCAGTCGAGCTGACTCCGATCATTTCAGACTCGTTATTTTTCGGGCTACCGAGTTCACGAATCACTTCTCTCAGTGCATCATCCTGGCCCCCCGTCAGGAACGAGACGTCCTGAGCAATGAGCTGATGTATCGCGAAGATATCGGTAAGCTTGACATAGAGCGTCGGCTTCGTTCTTGCGTAGAGGTCATTGAACTCATCAATATCGAAGTGAGCCTCTGCCTCTCGAATGGTGATCACTAGCAAAGTCAGTGCGATGTTGTCGATCTGGAACGCCAAAACTTACTGCTCTCCCAAATATTCGCCATACGCGGTAAGGAGTCGCTGATGTACGGGTTCATAGGCTGCAAATAGACGTTGTCTCCACCAAACAGCCTTCCATTTGCAATCTGGCCCACAACCTTCGCAACCTCCCCCAGGTTCCTCTTGTGCATCGGGCTGAGACCACGATCTACGACGCTCCAGTTCTCCGGCTGCGTCAACGCCGGATATAGATACGTCTTCCACACCCAATTGCCCATGAGCTGAAGGATGCCCTCCTTTGGCTCCGATGGGAACCGCTGACAGAGCAGCTCGAAGGTTTGCTGGGCAATGAAGCGTATTCCGTACGGCATCCGATGGATTTGGTCTTCCATCTGATGGAAGAAATGGTCGGCGATATCTCGAAGGTCTTGAAGATGTCGAATAAAGGTCTCCCGCGTCTCGGGGTCCCGGATCGCTTCCTCGCGGGGAACATCGGGTACGCGTCGACTGCGTTGGCCGGTGCGTAACTCTTCATTATTGATTATGGAGCGGTAAATCTGCATGGGATCGGACTCGAGGTCCAAGCCTTCAGTCTCGACGATGTCTTCTTTGATGATAGGCCCGAGGAGATCTCGAAGATACTTGCGGTCTCGAGGGGAGCGGATGTAGTTAGTAAGGATGCGGGTCCAGAAGAAGTTGCCGCGGAGGTATTCTTGGATGCTGTTGCAGGAGTCGATCTCTTCTTTGATCGAGCGGGAGATGAGCTTGAGGAGGTAGTACTCTTCTCGTCGCTTCTGTGCGAAACCGAACAGGCCGATCATGAGCAGTTCCATGCGCTTGCATTCCTGCTCGGGCATGGCTTGCTCACGGAACTTCTTGAAGAGACGGGCGAGGTATTGTGGTTGGGTTTGAAGGATGAAGAACAGTTCTTGGTAATGTTCGAGTTTGCGTCGGGAGTTTTTGTTGAGGGCCTTGAGGTCAAAGGGATCTTTTGATGTCACCACATCGCGGTTTGAGAGTAAGTTGCCGACATGTCCACCGAAGTGTTTCTGATGCTTGATGACTTCGTCGAGGGTAATCTTGTTCTTGACCAGAAGAGCGATCTTGATGTCCAGCTGATCAATATACACCTCGGCCATTTCGTTCTGTCGGACATGCTGGACGACGGTCTTCCGTAATCTCTCCATCTCGATCTCCTCCTCGAAATCCAAGTCGCTGTCATTGAGAAGATGGACAAAGTTCTTCACCGTCCCTACAGGAGGGTTCTTGCCGCCGACAAGCGTTTTGTATGCCTGGCCTTGTTGTTTCCCTCGGACAAAGCTCTGAATCTTGACTACCTTCTTCATGTTCTCCTCATAGAAGCGCTTCTTCTGGGCAAACCTCTGGCGGATGATCATACCCAATGAATGCGCTTGAAGCGCCACGATGGTATCTTCAACTTCGTCCAGCATGGTAAGGGTTCGACCAACACTGATCCGGCTGAGCATTCCTCTCGCCATCGCTTGCAGTTCAGTGACAGATGCGTCATGGTTCTCAAGCTCGCAAATGATATCATATGTCCGTTGGCGTTCCAAGTAGCCTTTCGAGGCTGCCTGAATTGTGACGATGCTCGATGATGCGGCTTGAAGCGACTTCTTGTCAGCGAAAGCTTTTGAACGGAGTAGATAGCCTCGTATTGAACACTGGAGAAGCGAAATGGAAGGTTGGCTGCCTTTCAAGGCTAGTTGAAGGGCGTCGTGTCGCTTCCTTGCTGCGGCCCCTCGACAACAAGCTTGCAGTGAACGGAAGATGGGGGCATTACTGCTTAATTCTTCCTTCAAAGTCTGAATCGAGTGTCGTTGTTGCTGGCCTCGTCGTTGAGATTGTAATGTAACCCAACTTGCACTTTGTTCTTGGACCTTCTGAGCAACTGCTTTTAGCTCCCTTCGTTTTGCTTGGCCTCTTGCTGCCGCTTGGAGTTTCGTAACCAGGGTTTGTGTTCGTCGGTCGTGAATGATATCCATCTGAGCCTCGATCGATTTCCGCGCAAGCATGCCCCGTACGGCTGCCTGGAGCCACTGAACCCCTTGTTCCGTTTGCGCGTCACGCGTCTCTTCGTACTGATCGGCCACCTTCGCTCGCGCGAGCGCACCGCGAATCGCCGCTTGGATATCTCGAATACCATGTTCATGGCTTCTGACCTCCGTCTTGATCATCTTCACGTCTGCACGGGCGGCTTTCGCACGGATGAGGCTCTGTAACTGTAGGATGTGCTTCTCACATCGCTCCCAGTTTTGCTGGGTCCGTTGTAACCGGCTTCTCGCGAGATAGCCACGAATCGCGGATTGAAGTTCGACAGCCGACCGGTACATCCCCATCCGGTACTCGAATATCTGCCTCGCAAAGTCACCGCGTATTCGCGCCTGGAGGTCGACGGTCCAGTCTTCATTATCCCAGAATACCTGCATCGTGTCGCCCAGCATCAGTCGTGTCGTGGCCCCCCGAATCTGTGCCTGAAGATCCACGATAACCTGTTCGTTCTCGGCAAGTTCGCGATTGATTCGTTCTTCGTCTGTTTCCACGGGCTCCGGCTCCGGTTCTGGTTCACCGAAATTGGCAGACATCCCTGAGAAGTTCGGCATGGCGACGCCGGACTTGTCCAGTCCTTTCTGCGTTTCTTCGAGTTCATGGTCTGCGAATTGCAGCTGCCCGACTAGATTGCCGATACGGAAGTCAACGATTCCCTTTCGGTACAGCAACCATGACAGAGCATGGATACAGTAGATGACCTTGGGGATGTTCTTCTTCTCGTATAGATCAACCAACTCGAATCGGAAAAGCTCTGGAAGCTCCACTTCGTGCAGGTAGTTGAAGAACAAGGCGATGTTGTCCGAGTGCCGGAACTGTAACTTTGGATGCCGAAAGATCCTAAACGGCTTGCCGGGTTTCAGTGCCTGCACGATCTCCGCGAAGGTTACTCCGTCTCGTAGCGCCTCCTCGAGGTGAACAATGGGGGGAATTTCGTTCTGCAGGATATCTTCAATCCATTCCTTCGCCTCGCCAATATGACAAAGGTACTCATAGGCTTGAAGAAACTGTCGCTGTGCATCGATCCAAGCACTCGCACCCCAAGCACTGACTGGCTTCACCATTTGTGCACCCGGTTTGACGCTGTCCGAACGTTGTAGTCGTCGTCTGCCGTGCAGCCCAGCTACCTCTTGCTCCCGGCTTTTGATGGTGAAATCCAGATTCTCTTCACCTTCCTGTGCGATCTTGGATAGAGTCCGAAGGTGGCGAGTAGTTGACTTCTGGAACGTTTGGAGATCGGGGCGTTCGACATGCGGACTGAAGTGAACATGGCTTGCGCTCGAGCCATTCGGACGGTCGCGCGAGCCTCGCATTGAATCACTTCTTGTGAGGGTTGCCATTGACAATGGACGAGCTGCCTTCGCGGACGGAGTGTTACTGCCGTCGAAGCGTGAACTTATCTCAGAGATATCCGCATGACTCTTGGTACGGCTGTGAGAAGTTCTTGGACTCGGGCTCTCCACAGGTAGCGGGGTCTTCGTGAGCAAGGAGTTGCTGCCATTGAAGCGTGCACCTATCCCAGACATATCTGCATGGCTCTTGGTACGGTTGTGAGAAGTTTGTGGACTCGATTTCTCCACGGGTGGCCGAGCCTTAGCAGGAGTTTGCGGCAGCGGACGGAGCGATTGACGCGCAGATTGGTAGGTTTCGGATGGGCTATGGTCGACGGTTCCGAAATAGTCTTCGGATTTTGATACCATATTGCGCAAGCCGGTCGCATCGCTCATCCCTCGTTTATGTCCGTGTCCTGTGGTGTGGAGAACATGGTGCATACCATTGGAGCTGTGGGAGGATACGGTGCTCGTCCGGCTCGGAGGATAATGTGCGGAGTATGCAGAGGAAGAGGAATTAGATGATGCGGTCGAAGCGTGTCTGAGGGGAGATGGCGAAGTAGCTTTGTGTCCCAGCGCAGAGCGCGGCGAGTAGGTAGAATATTGCGATGCCATGAACGGATGGAGAGGTATGAACGGAAAGGAGAGTCGTCGCTAGTCCTCAGTATCAAACTCCATATGTTGCACGGTGTCGGTCAAGATTTGGGTCTCTTGTTGTTTCGATTCCGTCGGGTTGGAAGAGGGATATCGTATTGCGTGGGACCCTCGATCCGGAACCCCAAGGAGTGTAAACAATGAAGTCCCGGTAACGAATTGCAGAGAAATCGGCGGTGCAACTCCAGTTGTACCAGCGTGACAGTGACCTTGGATGTATACTATGAGAGATTCTGGACAATCAAACGGTTGAGAGGGTGAACCGGGGATGTGCGACGATGGCGGGAATTGTTGTAAACAAGGAAGCAGCGAATAAACACTGTAGTTGCCACAACACTCAGCTGTAGCACCAACAGCGCCACAGTTAAATTTGGTGCGGCTTGACACTTCACATTTGTGGCTTGACCCTCATAGATTGAAGTTAATTGCCTTAGTGCCTTAGTGCCTGTTGTCAGCCTTATTGCCTGATCCGCACCACCGCCTCGCGAACCAATTCATTTTTGCTTCAGGTTTTTTTTGGTTTTGTTTCTGTCGTTTGCTCTTGGGGGGGGCTTAAACGCTTCGACCCAACAAAGGTTTAACACGGCAGTTACCCCTGAATTCCCTTTGATCTCGAAGCCTGCACATCTCTTTCTTGTTTCCTCCTCCAAAGTCACACAGCCTGAGCTCAATATTCCCGTGAAACCTCAACGCGACCCTTTCGTGGCTCACAGCGTCTTTTCCAAACAACCACCACCGCAAGGAACCATGTCTACCACTAACGGAGTCGCTCCTGTACATGTCTCGGGAACTAACAGCCCGCTTGACCATACCAAAGCCATGGAAATCCTCCAGAAAGACTACGCAGGCAAGGATGGACTCGATGCTGAGACGTTGGTGGACTCCAAGCTCCATGGTGGACTCACCTACAACGACTTCTTGATCCTGCCGGGCTACATTGGCTTCCCCGCCTCGGAGGTAAGCCTTGACACACCGGTTACCAAGCGAGTCTCCATCAAGACCCCCTTCCTGTCCTCGCCCATGGACACCGTCACCGAACATTCCATGGCAATCCACATGGCCCTGTTGGGAGGACTGGGCGTCATCCATCACAATTGCTCGCCCGACGAGCAAGCAGAGATGGTTCGGAAGGTTAAGAGATACGAGAACGGCTTCATCTTGGATCCGGTGGTCATCTCAGAAGGGACCACGGTCGGTGAGGTTAAGGCCCTTCGTGAGAAGTGGGGATTTGGGGGCTTCCCCGTCACAGGTACGTACCTTTTTTTTTATATCACATTAAGCATTATATGATGAACAATTCCTTTATTTATAACTTTCGTTCAACCACAACGTCTCTGGACGTGCTGCGGAGTATGAAGATATCTATCTGATAGATACTACTGTCACTGAAATTTTGGTATATTCACTATGGATATCGGACTGACTAGTGGAATAGAGAATGGCACTCTCCGATCGAAGCTGATTGGAATTGTCACCAACCGCGACATCCAATTCCACGACGAACTCGATGCGCCGGTGACAAAGGTCATGTCGACTGATCTGGAGACTGCTGAAACTGGAGTCAATCTCCAAGAAGCGAACGATATCCTTCGCCGATCCAAGAAGGGCAAGCTCCCAATCGTCGACTCTGAAGGCAACCTCGTTGCTCTCCTTTCTCGCTCCGATCTCACCAAGAACCTCCATTTCCCTCTTGCTTCCAAACTCCCCGATTCCAAGCAACTCATTGCCGCTGCCGCCATCGGCACCCGCCCCGACGATAAAATCCGCCTGGAGAAATTGGTCAGTGCCGGTCTTGATATCGCCATCCTTGACTCGTCCCAAGGCAACTCCATCTACCAGATCCAGATGGTCGAGTACATCAAGAAGACCTATCCCGACCTCGATGTCGTTGCCGGAAACGTCGTCACCCGCAGCCAAGCCGCTCGCCTCATCGCCGCCGGCGCCGATGGGCTGCGCATCGGCATGGGCTCCGGCTCTGCCTGCATCACCCAGGAAGTCATGGCCGTCGGTCGTCCCCAAGCCGCCGCCATCTGGAACGTTTCCCAATTCGCTGCTCGCTTCGGCGTCCCCTGCATTGCCGATGGCGGCATCCAAAACGTCGGGCACATCGTGAAAGGCCTCGCTCTCGGCGCCACCACCGTCATGATGGGCGGCCTCCTCGCCGGAACCACCGAGTCGCCCGGTCAGTACTACGTCAGCCGTGAAGGCCAGCTGGTCAAGGCGTACCGCGGCATGGGCTCCATCGACGCGATGGAAGACAAGAAGGCCGCTGGGGCGGATCTGAAGGATGCGAAGGCTGCGAATGCCGGCACCGCGCGATATTTCAGCGAGGGTGATCGTCTTCTCGTCGCCCAGGGTGTGAGCGGAAGCGTTCTGGACCGGGGCAGCATCACCAAGTTCGTTCCGTACCTGATGGCGGGTGTCCAGCACTCGCTGCAGGATATTGGAACCAAGAGCTTGGCGGCGCTCAGGGAGGATGTAAGGACCGGAGACGTCCGGTTCGAGTTGCGGACGGTGAGTGCGCAGGCGGAGGGCAACGTGCATGGGCTGCATACCTTTGATAAGAAGCTCTACTCTTAGGAATAGGAATAGAGCCGTGTAGAGTTGAAGGTGATGACTTTCTGCATGCAGGATGGAGTATCAGTCCGGATGAAACCGACTGCAAATGACATGACTGGAGTAGACCGTGGGTGCGAACCCTAAAAGTACATCTGATTCGGGAGGAGGAGCTCAGGTTGAAGAGCAATTTCTCTTCATTAGGAGACGTCCGGTGGTTGTAGTCTAGGTTTAACTTGATCAATTTACTGGCTTTTCTATGAACCCTGTATGCCGTTGTTATTGGCTTCATTCTACGTGAACATGCTTAAGAAGGGAACTCAGGTCTCGATACAGTTGCTCGGGATCCGATGTTTAGTTCAGACAAGTCTGTATTGTTCGTGGCATGCAAAACCTAGCAAAGTATATACTTCATCCTCATAGCTTCAACTCCCCCTTAATCTCCTTCAACGCCTCCTCCTTCGTCTTCACCTCCACCTTCCTCGGCCCCTCCTTACTAAACCCAACGAACACCACCCACTCCGCCGTCCCCTTCCTCTCACTCCCTTTCAACTCCAACCCCGGCGTCGCCAACGACAACACTGCCCTCCCATCCTTCGCCACCACCCCACCCATCCGATCCGGGCTGATCACCTTATCCTTCCACGCCACCCCCAAATCCCCCTCCCTCACCACCCACTCCACCAATCGCCGCCTCCCTTCTTCGGCGCCCCGCCCCGCCAGAAACCGCGCCACATGGAACAGCAAAAACACCTGCGGCGGAAACACGATGATCTCTCCGCTCGCCGCCATCGCGAGCCATTTGTCCGCCGCCAGGAACCGCGCCGCCGTGTGCTCCACCCCGCCATCGTGCGTTGGCGTCGGGATCACAACGTCCTTCTCCGTCGCCAGCGGCCCGATCCCCCCCGCCCCCGCCGTCGCCACCGGCAGGAAATACAGGTACATCTGCGTCGTGAACCGCTTCGGCACACCGGTGGGCGTCACCCATCGCGTGTACGGCACCAACCCCTCCGTATCCGGCTCCCCGCCCTTCGCGCGCACCCAGTCCACAAACTTCACCTTCCCGGCGTAGATGTCTTTCCGCGCCTGCTCCCGCTCCGCCTCGGGCACCTCGATTAGGCGGCCGGTGGGATCGCGCGCGAGCAGAATGCCGCTCTCCTCGAAGGTTTCGCGGATGGCGGCGAGGCGGTAGGCGGGGCCGTCGCGGTGGCGGTCAGGGTGGAGGGGGTCCGGGACGAGGCCGTCGTGGGCGGCGGAGACGTTGCCGCCGGGGAAGACGTGGGCGGAGGGGAAGGAGGATGAGGTGCGGACGCGGCGGAGGAGGAGGACTTGGTTGTCGGGGGAGAGGAGGAGGACGCTGGGGGGGTTAGTGGGATTTGGTGGGGAGGAGGGGTTGAGGTCGTGGGAGGCGGATAGGCCATGAGACGAATCGTCGTGACAGGCTAGGGGACCCCGGATTGGAGACATGGCAGGGAATAGGTTGCTTACCTTGCGCTCGGCCTTGGAACCGGAGGGGCCTTCTTTGGCTTCTCCGCCCCGTCCTTGTACATCGCCTTGGCTTGCGACATGTTTCTAACTTGTATTCTGCTCGCCGTCACAGGGGAGATATGAGAACCGAACGACTGCCCCGCAAGGATTCCTATACGTGGTGCGATCTGAATTGCCCCTCGATTGACCTGTCGATCAGAGAGATCTGCAAATGTGATACCGGGCTGCGAGAGAAAGGATCTAATCTTTGAGAATGCAACCGATCTATTCGAGGATCTAGATAGCGAAATCCGGCAATATGCAATCGCGTGAATATGCTTTTTCGATCCTGCAATCCAACTCCGGGATATATGCCAAGTCTCCAATCGTACCCAAAACGTACGGTGACTAAGATGCGGTCTATCCAAGCTCTTTCTCAGGAGTTTGGGGTCTTGGTCCCAGCGATCTACAAGCTCGGTCCCTATCCGCCTCTCTCGCCACAATCTGTTCCTGTCCGTGGCAATACCTCGTGTTTCACGTCCAATTCCCTGGGTCGTTGGATGTATATGACGACTGAATTGAGGGGACAAGCAGCTTCGCACTGCGCTCATTTCAGGGCCCCGGGTGCGTCTCTTAAGTAACAACGGGATAATAGACGAGATATACCGAGAACCTCCTCACATTGGTGCCGCCATCCGTGGACCGGGGAACTGGGAGCCCGAAAGGAGGTTTCACGGATCTCTCATGCCTTTGCCGAGGTTGGCCGTGACCGCCTTATTGCCTTATTGCCTTGGACTGGGAGCAGGAAGGTTCCACATCCGTCATCTCAATCCTGCCTCCATCAACGAAATTTTGACATTTACTTGCGTTGAAACATCTGAAACCATGGCTTTTAATTGATTGACATAGACTCGGGCCTATGGAGTGAATCGCAAGCCTCCATAAAACCCCGGACAAGCAAGGCCACCTGGGTGAGGCGAACACCTTGGGTCGCTCATTACAATTCGTCCGCAGATCCCGCGTTGGGCTGGTTCTCCATGCTATCGCGGTGTAGGATTATGCCTGCATCAACCAAAACACATGGCGTCAAACGGGGATTTGGGCTTGTTTTGTTCGACGGCAAAGACAGTTGCGGGTTGTGGGAAGACATGCTGCTGAGCCAATCGGCGAATTTATTCACTGCGGTAACCTGTGGTTGACTATGGCATTCGCTCTGCTGGCTCCTCCTCCGCCATGGTATCAATTAATCGTCGGCGATTCGTGCCTATATCCCGCCTAACATAAGGAAAATCCAGAATTGACAGGCGACCCGAAGGAATGCTGGACTCAATGGTGATGCAACTCGTCATTCCCCCCGAGTATGCCAGGTCCGACCAACGCCGGAAGAGCAGATTGAATCCTGTCCCAGCCGACGAGCCAAAGGAAACCAGCGAATGATCCATGGTATCTCGCTGTAAACCTAGACATTGCTTTAGAAAGCAAAAAGACCCGTCCGCTGCTGGTCTCTGAGACCGAAACAATTCGGGATACAACTCCAACACGACCATGTGACCGAAAACCGCCAACCCAAAACCGAAAAATAATATGAACTCCAATGAGTGTATATATCAATCCATCCGAATATTTTGTACATATCTGCCCTTTGCGCCAGACGCATTCCGTCAAGTGAGCGGAGCTCAACTGTTTCGATCCGGGATATCCGCTAAACTGAAAAAGTGAAAGACGTAGAAAAATAACAATATGCTGAGTCCGTCGATATAATTCCGCAGACCGTTGACTCCGTTTGAAATCCCGAGAAAGCGAGTAGACGCCCCATTAACACCGTCCTCTCGTGAGCTCAGTGCTGCCGTAGGGCCTTGGTCTGGTAGACCCTGGCGGATCTTCGGGCTCCATTAGAGCAGTGATGAAGTCAACGTGCTCCCCCGGCGCATTGCTACTCGGTGCCACTGGCAGTGGCTTCCTCACCTGCTCCATCGGCCCAATCGACTCGGACTCCACCGCCCACTCCTGTTGCACGACAACGCCCGTCTCCTCCCGTTGACTCGAATCCCGCGACACCTCCGGATACGCGACTGTGATCTGTAGATTTTTCTTCGCATTCTCGCGCGCCTCGCGCTCTTGCTTCGAGTTTTTTCGGAACGGGAGGTGGGCTAGCTGGATGTCTTTGAGCTTCTCGCCTAGCTTGCTGGCGGTGGCGGCAACGTCGCTGAAGGAGAGCTTGCGGCGCGTGCGGCCGTGCTGGTCGAGCATTTCTCCTTCCCCAAGGGGGCGGCCGGAGATGGAGACGCGGGAGAGGGGTAGGGTATCACGGTGCGACTCGGCGGAGAAGGAGGTGCTAGGTTTGGAGTCTGTGCGGGAGTCTGTGCGGATATCGGCGCGGGAGTGGTTCCGGGATTGGGACTGATTCCGGGATTGGGAGCGATTGAACCAGCGTTGTGAATTAGACAGAAAACGATGAGCCGGTACGATGTCGTCGTGTTCGTAGGCCGTTTCAGTGAGGTCGGATATAGAACCCAGGCCGGCTTTTGCATCGGGCTCCATGTTCAGGTTGTTACGGACCATCGGTGACTTTTTGAACTGGCCGAGACGGATTGCACCGAGGCGCTGAAGGACGGACTTGAAATCGTCTAGCATGATGTTGTCTGTGAGACACTTGAAGACGAGAGATAACTTCCAGTATGGATTGATGCCGTCCGTCGAAGAAAGCGACGTGGTTGAAGATATGATGTCCATGAGCGTGAAGATCAAGGAGATGATGATGGATGCGAGAAGAATTCCGAACCGAGGCGTCTTCTGAACCAGAAGGAAAATATTCATCGAGTAACATTTTCGAATAACATGGAACAGAGTCATACAACTGAAGACCCACCAGGGGTCGCGCATTAGAGTCTCATACGGTCGAACTAGTGAGTAAAGGGTGGAGATATTGTTAAAGAAACGGAAATTGTTCGCAATCTGAAAGACCACGATCGGAGCAGTAATAGACAAGGAGACCAGGTACGTCCAGCGAACTGTCCTTGAAACGTTTGGAGAGAAGGACGCATGTGGGGCGGTGAAGAACGGTCGAATTTTCATCCAAGCGATGACGTTGTGGAGGAAGTACGAGGTGTAGAGCATTGCTGCGGTCGTGGATAGATACCAGCCATATCCATCGAACGACATGAAGCAGAACGTTCCGTGACTCGTGGCGAGGAGAAGCTGGATGTGTCAGTGCCGTGTTTCGAAGGTGAATACGACATACCTCCAACAGGATGAGTTTGTGCAACAGAACTCCCTTGCGCATGTTGGCAACCGTGATGATTGCCATTATAAGCAATGCTCCAACAATAAGGCCTTCGCTCCATCCCTCCACAATGAATACTTGAGGGTCTGTCTGATCGCGCCAGTTTCCAAACGTCTTCGGTTCGCCATCTCGAGGAAGTAACAGCTCCGTCACCTCTTGGGGGACGGATGAGATAGGGGCCATGATGAAATTTCCATGGACAAATGGAGAGGATATAGATGGGGAATGAGGAAGATGGAGGTATCCTAAGGTTGTGCAAGAGGGCCTCCACGACAGGTAGGTCAAGATTTGGGGGTAGGTGACTTGATAAGAGGTACTTCTGAAACGTTCAATCTAGGGATTCGGTTTTGCCGTCGCCAAGTCATTCTAAAACAAAGATTCTGTAGTTCGATTCCTTCAGGCGAATGTTTCGCTAGTGTGAATATATGACGATTATTCGGAGTCCGTTAGGATGTCCAACCACGGCACAGAATCGCGTTACCAGGCCAAGCGGACGGAAACATAGAAAGAAGGATGTAAGAGTAAGAAGCAGGAAACTACGGCAGATGGCTATGACGAGAATAATAAATAATCGATCGCTTACCGGAATACGCATGCACCATGACGAGGCTGAAAGGCAAGACTCGGGACGTGAAAAGACGGTCAATGCCGGGCGCAGCCCTTTGTTGTGCTGTCAAAGATGCATGAAGTATTGAGGTTGGATTTTCCTCCGTCGACCTAAAATAATCCAATGGCAACCTGACTACCCTCACTATTGGTAGGCAAGGGAGTACAGGGCAGTATATCCAATCCTTTAGGTGTGGAGGTGCATGTCACTCCCCATGTCGAGGCGGATGCGGCCAAGAGACGGCAACGTGGAGAGGGTGAAATGAGAATGGATCCTTGCTCCCGCGTGGACTATTATTAAGATCTGAAAGCGACAAAGCGAATAGCCGGAAGATGGGAATACGAGAATTGCACTTGATTGTCGGGACCTACGCAGGGTCCATTGGAGAATAACGGCAAGAATGTGGTCTTTATTCGAGGGAGTAGGAGATAGAGAGTTTGGAGGCCAGAGGCAATATGGATATGGATAGTGAGGAAGTTTGGTTGTTGACAGAAAAGAGGATCCAGATCAGCCATCCTAGGCACCAAATAAGGCACGAAATCATGACGTATATCGGATGCTACAGTGAGCTTGACCGGATCACTACTCTTGGACTTCATCTTCAACATTCTCCCTCCCAGTACCCATGGTGGTATCTATCGCGCAACTATCAGACTTTATGGAATCTTCCTCTCATTTTCGCTATCATGTGCGGTAGTACTCTTCGACAGATGAGCCATGATAGAGCCCCGAAAGCAGCGACTGGAATCTGGATCGATACAGATGGCGTCTAATTCGGGTACTGTTCCCTTGCTTTCGGTTTGCCTGTTCTGAGGCACTCTCCAATATCGTATTTCCAATGCTCTGGATACAGTAATTTCGAACGATTGGCCTAGATTCGGTCGAGCATACTGTGGATTCGATATGGTCCAATCACCCTTAGGTTATATTTATATCTAGCTTATATACGAGCTGGTTCAATATGCGCTCGGATTTCAAGTAGACGTTGATAGCATCGACCTTGCTCTCATTCCGCTTATACACGTACTTGGCGCTGACTCTCCGTTCCGAGACATACTCTCTATTGGGAGCGGCAGACAAATCGGCGGAACATGTCGTGATCGATTGTTGAACGGGCCAGTCCGCCGGTTTCTTGTAGATCTGGATGCCATTCAGTTGGGGGATGGGAGGGTACCCGAGCGGGAAAAGAATCACGATGAAGATCGCATCGACATGGGGGGCGTATGGCCGGCATAATGACAACAAAAATCCGGCGGCGATATCATGGGTAAACGCCAGTGGTGTCCGCCCTAGTCGCATCGTCAAGGTTTTCGGATCCCACGTGGAATTGACGCCTTTGACGTTGGCGAAAGAAACCTCGAAACTGTCGGATGGGTAGGATAAACGGCAGAATATGCCAGTTGGCCGTTTATACAAGGAACGGAAATGGCTCACGATGTACAATGATCGGACTTCAGCTTGGGCAACTCGTCTGGGATCCACTGATCCAATATAAGAACCCTGATATACACATCGCTCATATATGGATATACCAGGGGTGACTGTTTCTCGAAGATATATCCCGATTTGTTTCGCAAAATTGTTCTCAATCTGGCATTCGAGGACGCCGGTTTGGATATGTTTTCCGCTAGAATCAGGACCAGTGGGAAACATTGGAAGGCGGATGCTCAGCCCCATATGCGTCATGGTGAACGGCCCATGATCAGGGTTGCGAGGGATTGGTATGATATTCGAGGAATTCAGAAAGTCGAATGGTGTCTGTGCGAGGACGGAGACACGGTACGGGTTGGTGTCCAGATCCCACGCCAAAATCGATTGATCGTCCGAGATCTTGATGATTTCTTCCTGGAGTCGCAAGAACGCCTTCTCCCCTTCTCCATACAAGAGAGGCATGTTCACGCCGAAGAGCCCAACGAGGTAGTAGGCCATATCTTCGACACGAGTGGTCTTCCGCTTAGCAGCCCACGACATCCGGCATGCGATGCTGGTCGACCACAGGCTGTATGCGTCAACGAGGATTGTTTTGGGTATCCCAGTGATCGTCGAAATCTGATCCGCGAAGGATTCCTTCTCGCCAATATAGTTCCAGTCCGCATTGTAAAACCCCATGCGTTCCGGTGCAATCAATTCTTGGAGTGTCCATCCTCTCGTGAACCAACGGCCGTTGGAGAGAACGGTCCCGCCCTTTGCGGGCACCATGTCGCTCAGATAAGCATAACACACCTCAGCATATCGGTACCATTTTAACATGGAATTGATGGCCTCGGAGAGCTCCGCGCTGCTACTCTTATCGATGCAACATGTGTCAATCCATATATATTCGTATCCATGCTCTTTGGCTTTCTCGCAGACACCGTGAACCTTTGCCCAACCGGCCTTATTCACCGTTCCTCCAGGCGCGAGGATGTCTTGATATGTGATTTCATCTGTGTCCCAAGTGTGGGAAAGGACAGTATATTGAAGGATGGAGTCGACAAATCCTTTGACCGATTTGGTGGACGCGTTGAGCAGGCGCATCGCGACACTGGGAAAATTGGAACTGCAGTCGTATACAGGGCAAACCAGTTTTCGTACAGCCGAACTACTCTAAGTCTATAACGCTCCCTACAAACAGACGCTCGAGCTTAAGAGGCCGTGTGACCCTGCGATAATGAAACTTGAATGTACATACTCATTATTCATAACGGTAATGAACCACGGCAGATAAAATTAGTTCAAGAGGTACGGAGTACCCAGCCATTTCATGCAGGACTCAGCCATCCAACCGTCGGGTATGGATATGCAACAGCGGAGAATTGCCAAATCTAGTGATCGTCCATTGTAAGTAAACATCAATCCGGAAGTAACAGTACGTAGGCCCTATCTAATCCGCAATATCATATTGATATCTCCATTGTAGGACAGTTGTAAATACTCTCCAAGCATTTGGCGGCAGCGTTGTTTATGACAACCATCGATCGATATCGTTGACGGTACCTGGGGTGGGAAAATTTATGGGCCTCTGCCTTTTAATTTGACGCCCTCCTCTAGCCCACGCAAACGGAGATTCATACATGTATTATTGACTTGCGTAATTAAAAGAAGGTAAGACATACCTCAAGAGAGGGAATGCGAGAGTAAAAGAAGGTAACAATCGAGAGATTTTGAAGCTTTGGGGTATGCTTCTGGATGCGATCAAAAACATATATCATACGGCATACGCATGGAAGACCTATCGAAAACGCCAGTGAACGGCCCAGCAATTTATTGGTAACTATACCTTCGGTCATTAAGCTGCAAGAAGTGACTTGGACATGGCTGATCGGAGAACGTGCTACATCACGCTCGCGGTTTCGAAGGGGAGAGACCGCTGAAGCACAACACGGTCAGATCCTCGCCACGACCGGGGAACACGTCCTATAACATTAGCATTAGGCACCTAGATCCCCATACGAACCAAATGATTTTGTGGATGAAGGGGTTCGACTCCAAACTGATGACAACGGACGGGATTCCGATGGTAGGACCCAACCACGACTATCAGCACGGCATCGAATTCTGGACGAGGGAGGAAACTTGGCCACCGGAATTCTTCGAGAAGCACCATGGAGCAAATACTCGCAAGGAAGATGTCGTCGCCATCTCGTCGCCCGAGGAGATTAGAAGTCGGCTCTTCAAAGTTGACTTTAATATAGCTAGCGATCGGAAATAGACAGAGGTGAAGAGTGCGTTATATAGGGACACAGGGAATGTACATTTGCTCGAGACTGAAGGCATGTATTCGAAGGAGTCGAGCTAGATGTAGTAGATGAGAGTAAAGAGATATAGGATCCCAACCGGGCACTCTTCCACGATCGTATATTCAAGACAGCCTGCAAGACCCTAGAGGAAAGGGATGAAGAGAAGGCTATTCAAACATTTCTGGACTATTCTTTCTATCAGCAGGAGCATTCGCCTTCAACCACACGCCGCCAGGAACCCCGCGAGGGCTGGGATGGCTTGACTCCTCTACTAGCCTCCGGCCATAACCAGGCTACTACACTATGGTCCGTAGGAGTCCAGCGCAACGCATGTACAGAGAATCGGCTCGATATCTCTCGCCATTCGTTGGCGACCTATCCTATTTTATAGCACATACTCTATTTTTCCTTCCCGTTCCTGACGTCTGAGGTGAAATTTGTTACCGCTCCGCTTGACTTCATGGATCGGTAGAACGCACAAAGCATAACCGTCTCAGCCGAGTGTCATTGAGCTCTTCCACTTCGTGGAATGGAGAATGAGGTTGAGCGGTAGATCCTGCGTTCCCTATCTTGTACAACTAGGATTTCGTGCGGATCTATTACCCCATGTTTAACGGGAAATATACAAGATATTACTACCACCAGATCCTAGATCCACGCGTTTAGCATCCTAGAAGCTGGTAAGGAGAAATGGTCAGCGTAGCAGTTTATGAAGGATGTTTACGACAAATGGATGCCAGAACACATAACCTATCCGCGGATTCCCTACATGATCGGAGGATTGCAGCACTGATCTTAGATATTTAGAATGTTGTGGCGGTCTTAGAGAATGGTCTAGCGGATTGTTCGGCAATCGATCAGTGTCTACGGCCTTCTATGCCAAGAGGAATATCAAAACCTGATGGAGGAATATAAGGCGGCACGGTCAGTGCACTTGGAGGCGCTCGCTTTCAGTATTCAGGAATTCCGAGGGATCGCGAATGAGAGCGATTTCGCAAACACCGTTACAAAACGTAAAACGTTGGAAGTGTCTTGCGGATTTGCAATGCAACACATTGCGACGAATCTGTGGGAATATCAGCGAGGAGGAAACTGAGGTCAAGCAGCTCGAAGAGTCACTGAAGAGACGCTAGGAATAGCTACAAGTCTCTCAAGAGGAGGGCGCCTAGATTGGACTTCGGGTCACTTCGGTAGCTCATCGTCGGGGTTGGATATGGGCGGCATTGGTCCACTGGTGGAGGACGGTCTCGCGAAGCGGGATGGTTGTGAAAGGTGGTAGAAAGACATGTCAGGTAGATTAAGTAGAAGGAATGAATTGGTCAAGTAGAATAGTCAGTAGGGGAGGAGAGTGAAACCAGCGTATATCCTGTGGAAAAAATGATGGCCATTCACTGTTTGTTGACATGCTCTCCGGTCGTAGTGATATATATTTAACCGTTCGACTTATCAGTATCCGGGCACCATGGCTGTGAATGGAGGGAGCCCGTCTCCTTGGTAATAGTGGTCAGTCATCGGTTGGAAGCCCCGGGTTCGACTCCAGTCGAAGTTACAGTACTTGAATCATGCTTCGGCCGCTTCTGATAACGATGGTCTGTAGGGCAAAAACCGCTATTACACTACCGGGCGGTTTTTGTAACGTTCCCGCACTTGCGAGGCGTGAGCATTTTTAGCCTTTTTTGTATGAATCTCGTGAAGCGGGATGGATTTTGATTAGTGAGTCGTATGTGTATAGTTGATTTCCTTAGTTGAAAGAGGGGAAGATGTGCCCGAGGAAGGGAATATAAGGGAACAAGAAATTAATAGAGCTCTCAACACCCTGGGGCTTCAGAACTATCAATTCTTCAATTCTTCAATTCTTCAATCCGTATATCCTCACACTCCTGTTTCTGTGACTATATTCTTATAACTCATCCTTGACTGGGAACTCTAGCACTACTCCCACCCTCCATTTCCCCATGACCCAAACCAGCCCTCGCCTCCTTATCCCTCCCCCACGTACTCTCCGCCATAAACGGACTCCTCGCCCGAATCTGCGGCCCCTTCCACACCAACACCACCGGCACGAACGTCAACGCTAGCCCCACGAACCCCAACAAGCTCCCCGCCCAGCCGAACCCCAGCGTGTCGAACAACCGAAAGCTCGCGAACGGTAGGAAGGCGGCGAACCCATTCCGCGCGAGCCCCGCGGCCGATATGGCGGATGCGGCGTACCGCTCGTACGAGTCAGTGAGGTAGTTCGTGACGGTCAGGAAGATGCTGAAGATGCCGACGCCGGTGCATGCGATGGCGGCGGTGGGGACCATCCAGTGGACCTCGCGGCGGCAGGTCCAGCCGTACCAAAAAAGGCCGCCGGTGAAGAGGGACGAACCGATGATGGAGGTGTAGAGGCGGGCTTCGGGTTTGGGGACGCCCGGGTTGGCCTTGTTCCAGCGGCCGGAGTGGAGGTAGATCCAGTCTTGGATGGGGTTGAAGAGGAGGCCGATGAGGCCGCCGACGGAGATGGCGAGTTGGATGAGGCCGGTGGACATGATGCCGAAGCCGTAGCTGGTGGAGAATGTTTGGACGATGCTGCTGAAGTAGAGGTAGAGGATGCCCCAGGCGAAGGCTGGACGAGTTAGACGATATGGTGGGGTGGTGGGGAATTTGGACGCACCGAGCCAGAGGGAGAAGAATAGGACGACGGGCTCGGTGAATAACATCCGAACCGGGCGTTTGAAGGAGATCTTGATCAATTCCCAGACACCAGTGCGGTCCAGTTCGGCTTGAGCGTAGATTCGCCGGCCCGGATTCTCCTTTCGAAGCTTCTTGGCCCGACGCGTCAAGACGGCGTCCCCCCGCGTCTCCCGTAGGATAAACCAAAAGATTGGGATAAACCCCGCGTTGTAGATGATTTGCACGTAGAAGATCCTATATCCTCGTCAAACGGGTTCACGGCACCGGTCACGACCCACCTCTCACCATCGCCACGGATCGTTCCGCTTGATCTGCACAATCGCCGACCCGATAAACGGCCCCAGCGCAATCCCAATTACGCTCGTAAACCCAAACAACGACATCGGTAGGCTCCGCTCCCCGTCCGTTTGCCACACATCGGCAATCGACCCGCTCACCAGCAAGATCGCCACCGACGAGCCCCCGCCGCCGAAGAACCTCGTCACTACCAACGTCGCGAAGTTGTTTGCGAACGCGCTGCCGAACAGGAAGACCTCGAATACGAAATACGCGATGAAGTAGCCCGGCATGCGGCCGGAGTGCTCGGTCAGCGGGACGAAGAGGAGGGGGAGAACCGACGCGCCGATGTTCCAGGTGCAGGTTGCCCAGTAGAGGTTGGGGAAGGGTTGGTTTTGGATGTGGAATTTCGATTCCATGTAGTCGTTACCGGCGCCGTAGGACCCGGCGGGCAAGCCTGGACGATGTTAGCATGGTTTCAGGGGGTTTGGCCCAGGGGGGTTCCATCATATACCGGTGAGAATCGAGACGAAGCACACGGTTATCGTGAGGATCCATTTATAGCTTTTCTTGAAGTTGAACGGATTATCCGGATCATCTGGGCCATACCAGTCGTGGAGCTCCAGCCTCTCACCGTTACGCTCGACTATGCGAGCGATTCCGTCCTGACCTGCGGGCCCATTCTGAGGAGCCCTGTTCTCAACTTCTCTCGTGGTATTAGAATCCGCCATCAGTTTGAATGGCCGGTGGATCGATATTGATTCTGTAAATAAGTGTCGTCGTGCCTCGAGTATGTTAGTGGTATATGCCAAGATTATACAGACTTCTACCGCCGTCCGGTGCTCCAGGAGAGCGAGATATTGGCTGAACGGAGTGTATGTGGACGCGATTGGGTTTCATAGGGAAGTCAGATTATATTTTCCCTTCCTCAAGGGTTAATTATTATGTAGCTTGCCACATTGAAGTTGTAGACCGAGACCACAGGCGATTGCAGACTATCAACTGGTGTTCAGTTCCAACTACAGGTACGGATATCCCATCGTACAGCAGCTGGGCAGCCGACGTCATGGTTCGCTGACGATCGTCATCACCAACGGTCCCTAATGCTGTGTATCATGGACCTGCATGGTGTAACTGGCGCCAATTTTTGCATCTATGACGATACGCATCAATCTGAATGAGACTCAATTCTAGAAATTCGTAGATGATCGCCATGACTATAATAAAGGAATTAAGGAAACGACATTGTTGACTTGGAATGGGAGATTTGTTGAGGTGATCGGCTTGTCTCCACACACTCCTCTTAGTGAGTTCTCACCATGTTGATCAAAGAGCAGGCGATGAGTTCAACATGATACAAACACCGACAGAATGGGGCTTTTACATATAGAGCTTGTACTATGTACGGCAGCGATTCCAAAAAATCGACTCGATCTTCGTTCAAGTCGTACGACGAGATGGTGGCTGAGCAATGGATGGGAATTGGGAGTCTGGAACTTAGGAACGCCAGCACTCCTTTCATCCAATTTTACTATGCACTAAGCCGCTCTGGTGGAATCTAAGCAATGTAAACAATATTGGCATTGCTTACTATTGTATGATACACATTAAATTAGGATAGAGTTTGGTTCATAATTGTTAGCGTCATATCTAACCAATTTACTGCAAACTCATTGGCTAGAGCCAGCTTTGTTTTCTTAGACCGAACCGCCTGAAGTACAGAACGGCGGTGACAAAGGAAATTTGTGGTCCAAATGCAATCCACCTCCCACTCCTCACTAAAATCCTAATCAGATCCTCCTCCCTTCGATCTTTTAATCTGTCCCCCCTGATTGCTGTTTTTCGTGAAGTATTCCTGTTAATACGGCCATTGTTGGGGCGAGGAGAGAATTTCTGCTTGGATTCTGCTTCAATTGCTGGATTTTAGGTGGTACTTCTCTGCTGTTGGAAGTTTCCAACTTTATTTCGCCTTCCTAGTTCCCAGCCGAATTCGGATTCAACATCTGCCGGTTGGAAGATCTAAGGTATGTATTGGTTCTAGATCCTTTATCAAGGTGTACAGGTATTGACGATCCCATTTCACAGCTGGACGCACCGTCTCCTTGACTTCGCATTTCGGTATACGACCGTCGTCCACGGAATCCGTCCATCTCCGACATCCTACCGCCACCATGATCGGCTCACGCTTTCTCCCGGCGCGATTTCGCGATGATTCCCCAAACGCGCCTAGAAGTCAGCCTGGCTGGCTCAACCAACAGGTCACCTCCGTCCTCTTATCCGTCTCAAAGAAGGCATACACCCACCCGATCCATACCATCGTCTTCGCCTCCCTCCTCGCAAGTACAACATACATTACGCTGCTGGAGGAGAGTCTATTTAAAGAATTGGGGCTACGATCAGGGAGCGGAAAAGTTGACTTCGGATCGTTGTCTGCCGGGAGCAAGCAGTTAACTCTCAGCCCGGAGACTGGCTGGAAATGGGCAAGCGAAGACAACAATTCTTCCAAGGACCTTGGCAGGGTGAGCTGCAACTTCCGACATCCATTTGTGGCACATGGGGCTAACCTGGGAATGAACAGTCTTCCCATAATCTTGCCCTTCTCACTCTCGTCTTCCCGGATTCAACTCCTGCCGCTCCTCGAACCGCTCCGTTACACGCACACGTACCTATCCCTTCGAATTCTTCCGCGACATCACTTCCGTCCTCGACAAATCCATTGTCTCCGTTATCTTATGATTCTACGCTTGCATTCTATTTGTCATACCTCGAGGCCTCCCAATTCCTGGCTTCCGTGCAAGAGATACCAGCTGATGAGCAAGAACCCACCGAAGAAGAAACCCACGGCTGTGCCGCAGAAACGAAGATGTGGATCATGCAAGCGGCTCGAACTGGAGGAAGAACCAGCCTTCGGAGATGGGCAAAGAATGCTTGGACTACGTTCCTTGACCTCTTAAAGGTAGGCTTTAACAGCTCACAAGCACTGAACCATAGACTAACAATCCAAAGAACGCAGAAACCCTGGACATTATCATCATGGTTCTCGGATATCTCTCGATGCACGCGACATTCGTCTCTCTCTTCCTTAGCATGCGACGACTCGGTTCAAACTTTTGGCTAGCCACCACGGTCCTATTCTCATCCAGCTTCGCTTTCCTATTTGGCCTCGTCATCACTACGAAGCTGGGCATTCCTCTAAACATGGTTCTCTTGTCTGAAGGCCTACCGTTCCTTGTAGTTACGATTGGCTTTGAAAAGCCTATCATGTTAACCAAGGCGGTTATGAGCGCCGCACTTGACGCAAGACGACGTGCAGAGACTCACGCTCGCGACGGAAAGACTATGAAAGATGCCCGGTCCGAAGGCGCAAACCTGTTGACTATTCAAGACGCTGTGCAGACAGCCGTCAACGAAAAGGGTGCCGATATTGTCCGAGACTACGCGATCGAGATCATCATCTTGGCGGCCGGCGCTGCTTCCGGCGTACAAGGCGGACTTCGTCCCTTCTGCTTCCTGGCAGCGTGGATTCTCTTCTTCGACTGCATTCTTCTATTCACTTTCTATACCAGCATCCTCAGCATCAAGCTCGAAATCAACCGCATCAAGCGCCACGTGGATTTACGGAAGGCCCTTGAAGATGATGGCGTCAGTCGCACCGTTGCGGAATTAACTGCCCGCAGTGAAGACTGGCCTGCCACCGACCCTTCTGAAGCGAAGAAAGGCAGCAGGACGGGGCCACACTACTATACGGTGTTTGGGCAACGGGTGCGCGACTCCTCGATTCCGAAGTTCAAGGTCCTCATGGTTGGTGGCTTCATCCTGATCAACCTCCTCAATCTGGCAACCATTCCATTCCGATCGTCGCACAGCTTCCTGTCGCGGTCGCCATCGTCCACGTTCAGCCTCGCTGGTATGGGCGGTAAGGCCGAGATGGACGTTTTCAAGGTTGCCGGGGCAGGTTTAGAAACCATTGCTGAATCCGCTAAAACTCACCGGGAAACGACTCGCGTCACCATCTTCCCGCCTATCAAATACGAGCTTGAGTATCCTTCGGTACACTACGCCATCCCTCCCTCCAACAGCGTCGCAGGGGCCAAAACCAGTGTCGACGGCGACCGTAACGATCAACTTCTCGGTGGCATGGGCGTCGGCGGGGCAGTTGTGAACAGCATCCTCGGCAGCCTAGAAGACCCCGTCCTGTCGAAATGGATTATCGTTGCGCTAGCACTGAGTCTTGCGTTCAATGGTTACCTGTTCAACGCCGCGCGATGGAGCATCAAGGAGCCCGCAATCCAACACCCGCCACCGGAAGAACGTGAGATGATGACCGAACCGGGCGGAGAGGAGCAGATTCCCGGCGAGGCACGCGCATCAGCTTCTCAGCAGGCGGCACAGGAGCAGCAGGCGCATGCGACCGAACTAGCGCGTGCAGTGGCCACGCAAGTTCCCGTGGTACCACAGCCGCGCGGTGACAGAACGTTGCAGGAAGCTGAACGCCTTGTCAAAGAAAAGCAGGCTCCGTTGGTGTCGGATGAAGAATTGATCGAGCTTTCAGTGCGAGGCAAGATTCCTGGGTATGCGTTGGAGAAGACGCTTGGCGATAAGACCCGTGCGGTCAAGATCCGTCGAGCTCTCGTCAGTCGCACCCACGCTACTCGAGACACGTCCTCCCTGCTCGAGTCATCACTCCTCCCGTACGAACGATACGACTATGACCGCGTCCACGGCGCGTGCTGCGAGAACGTCATTGGATACATGCCACTCCCCGTCGGCGTCGCGGGCCCTCTCCTCATCGACGGTCAAAACTACTTCCTCCCAATGGCGACCACCGAAGGCGTCCTCGTCGCGAGCGCGTCCCGTGGCTGCAAAGCCATCAACGCATCCGGCGGCGCCACCACCGTTCTCACCGGCGACGGCATGACGCGCGGACCCTGCGTGACGTTCCCGACGCTCACCCAGGCCGGGCAAGCGAAGCTCTGGCTCGACTCGGAGGACGGCCAGAAGGTCATGAAGGCGGCGTTCAACAGCACGAGCCGATTCGCGCGGCTCAACCAGCTGAAGACCGCGATGGCCGGCACGTACCTGTACATCCGCTTCAAGACGACGACAGGCGACGCAATGGGGATGAACATGATCTCCAAGGGCGTCGAGCACGCGCTCGCGGTCATGCAGAAGCAAGCGGGCTTCGACAACATGGAGATCGTGACGCTTAGCGCGAACTACTGCACAGACAAGAAGCCCGCGGCGATCAACTGGATCGATGGGCGCGGGAAGAGCGTGGTGGCCGAGGCGATCATCCCAGGCGACGTGGTGAAGAGCGTGCTGAAGACTACGGTCGAGGCGCTCGTAGAGATGAACATTGCGAAGAACTACATCGGCAGCGCCATGGCGGGGAGCATAGGCGGGTTTAACGCGCACGCTGCGAATATAGTGACTGCGATCTTTTTGGCGACGGGGCAGGATCCGGCGCAGAATGTGGAATCGAGCAACTGCATCACCGTCATGCGAAAGTAAGTTTATCCCCCTAGCCACTTCCCCCCATCTCTCAACACCACAACTAACACCCCCCAGTAACAACGGCAACCTCCAAATTTCCGTCTCCATGCCCTCCATCGAAGTCGGCACCATCGGCGGCGGCACCATCCTCGAGCCCCAAGGCGCTATGCTCGACCTCCTTGGCGTGCGCGGCGCCCACCTCACCTCCCCCGGCGACAACGCCCGCCAGCTCGCCCGCATCGTCGCCGCCGGCGTCCTCGCCGGCGAGCTCTCCCTCAACGCCGCCCTCGCCGCCGGCCACCTCGTCAAGGCGCACATGGAGCATAATCGGTCCGCCGTGCCGAGTCGGGTGGGTACACCTGGGCCCGGGACGCCGGGTGGGGCGAACGGGGCGGCGACGCCGAGTGGGTTGGGGATGACGGCGGCAAAGGAGAGGGGGACGAGGGGTTAGTTGAGGTGGGGGTAATCTGTAGAACATAGTGGTGCGGCGTCGTCGCCGGTGTAGTATATTGTCGATCGGTTTCGCATCATCGTAGATGGTGGGGATTTATTGTATTCACCGACAATAATATGCACGCTAGATCGACCACGGGCGTGAGGTGGCTGTTTGGATGCTCGTGAAAAGATCATAGATAAAAACGTCTTTGGGATCGTAGATAGGCGTTGTGTAAGCCTTGCGAATGTATATACTATTGACAAATATGGCGTCCAAATTGGAATTTCGAAACAATATAAAATCGCCTAGAATCGCTCCGTAGATTCCGCGTCGTACTTCTTCAGAAGGCTTAATTAACAGAAATGACCTGCCCTAACTTATACACATCTGCACTAACCAATCTATCGCTTTAACGTGGCGGATTATTTATTCACCGCCCCGCACGCCGTTGTTCAAAGCACCACCAGATTCCCAATCCGCAACCCCTGACTCTCAAAATGCCACCGTCGCCGCACCCCCACCCCTTTCGATCTCCGTAACATCTCCCACGTCGCCTCCCCCCCACTCACCATCACCAACGGAATCGGATGCGGCCGCGCCAACCCTCCCGGCGTCAACTGCAGCTGCTCCAACAACGGCATTACCAACGGCATTTCCTCCGCCAATTTTCTCCGCTTTCCTGCCTTCCTCTTCTGCTTCTCGGCAAGCCCGCCACCCGCATCCGCGTCCGACGGCACCTCCTCGTGCTCCGGATATGACACCACGACGACCAGCTGCACGGACTCCGCGGTCGGCACCGTCGCGGGGATGTTCTGCAACTTCTCGCTGAACGAGCAGCCACCGCGGCGCAGCACGACGACCTGGCAGTCGCGCGTCCGGTCGAGCGGCATGCGCGTGGAGCAGCCGTCGCCGTCAAGGAAGCAGAGGTGGCGCCAGGGGAGAGGGGAGTCAGTGGAGGGGTCGGCGTCGGGGACGTCGGGGAGGGGAGCGGCGCCAGGGCCGGTGGGGAGGGCGGCGGTGAGGGAGAGGCGGTTGGGTGGGGAGGAGGGGTAGGGGAGAGAAGAGGGGTTAGAGTTCGCGAGAATGGAGTGGAGGGAGTGGAGGAGGGAGGAAAAGAGGGAGCCGGAGGGGAGGGAGTCGGGGGGGGAGACGAGTTCGATGTTGTGGAGGTCGAGGTCGAGGTCGAGGTCGATGTTGAGGAGATGGTCGGGGGCGGAGTCGGAGGGGTGGGATGCGTCGGGATAGGATCGGTCGGCGACGTCGAGGATTAGGTCGGTGCTGTAGAGGTCGCGGATGCGCGTGAAGTAGGGGTCCAGGGGGTTGAAGTTGGAGACCATGCTGCGCTGGACGAATACTTTCTCGTCGCGACCGAGCGCGATGTTCGACACGGCGTAGATGCGGAAGAAGTATTCATCAGAGTCGGGACCTGGCCCCGACTTCGATTCGCGGACCATTGCAAATCGAATGCCGCTCATGGAGTTGACGACGATTCCTTCATTGACTCGCGAGATGGCACCGAGTTCGCTGAAGGTATTGGGTAGGTTTGGGAAGGATAGATCGAATGTCGGGCGGAAGTACATGACCGCGGAGGTCGCGTTGTGTGGGATGTATTCCAGAGGAAGTGTCCAGGGGTAATAGGTGTAGTTGGAAGGGGATCGGATGTCAGAGACGGTGATGCTTGGATGATCGGCGCTGAACTCGATCAATGGTGAATCCAGTTGCTCAACGGTCGGCATCAGATGCAGTCGAGCTAAATGAGCAGCGTGAAATACGTCTCCTCTCGCGGCGGTGGACGATATAGAAAATGGAAGCGGTGTAGGCGGCAAAGGACATGTGTGTGTTTCAAGGTCCGGTTGCTCTTCGTCCCAGTGGCGGACTTCACGCGGCTCTCCCTCCTTTCGAAGAGATTTCGGAAGGATCAGCGGATGTCCTTCCGTTGTGAATATGAACGATGAGTCCCATGTATTCAACGGATGATCCTCGTCGAACAGGAGGAATAGATATTTGGCCGTCTCGCCAAGGAAGAAACTCTCCATCCGATCGCTCAATTCGCCAGTGCGGACATCCTGAAGGCCTGCCCACCCGCACTTCGTCCAACAACGCCGCTTGATATCGCGGAGAACCATCTCCCCAACATGGAGGTACCACGGGTCCTTGGTTGCGCGGTAGATGTACCATGTCGATTCGATGAACTCCGGACGACCGCCCCACCACCGTAAACCAGCCTCGATATTTCCATTGGCGGTGGACCACCGCTCCGGAAGCGCGGAATATCGCGTCCACAACGCCGTATATAGTAGATGTGCTTCGATGGCCTCTTCCACCTCTCCCGACAGCGCTAATAAGCCGGGAAAATAAGCGCTCAAGCTGTCTATCCAAAACGCACGCAATGCTCCTGTATATAAATCCGCCTGGATATAATGTGGATGCTGCCATAGCGCATCGCGGTATATGTGACGACGAATGCTTTGGAAAGCATCGCGCCATGCACCCAGAAAAGATTCCGGTGCTTGCGTCTCGGCCATCGAGCTATTGTATGGCATGCCAGACAAGAAAATGTACGACTTGAAGGCATATTCGAAGAAACTGTCAATTCCCGCTCCGATGCCCGTGTATGGAGCAACCCATTGACCAGTCTCTGCGTCAATACCGGACGCGATGAGACCGATTGAGCTGCGCCGTTTCCATACCGCCCAGAACGCTTCCTTGGCTGCGAGTTCGAAGCGGTCATCGCCGGTGAGTCTGCTTAGAGTAGTAAATTCCATGACCAAACTTCCAGCGCCGGCGCTGCAAGTTTCCGTGATTTCTGCGCCTGCTTGCGCAGCCTTTAGGCACTGTCCCTCTTCGGTGCCCGCATTCAAGGGCGAGTTCGCATAGAAAGGAACGCCATGTCGCAGGTTCACTCTGGGATAAGGCAATCCGGTCGGTGTATAGAATGCAGGGAGCAGTCGCCGTCCGAGGTCGTGTGCTAATCGAAGCAATTGTCCATTGTATAATAGGCCATTGGACCACCGTATCCCTCGCTCTCCATCTTGAACCTGCCATTTTGGCTCATAGCCGGTAATTGGCAACTCGCCTATCGCGAACAGATGCGCGCTGAGCAGCCCGCCAACTCCACGAATGACCGTTTCGAACACCTGGACTTTGCTATCGAGGTCGAATCCTCTAGCACGGATCCCTTCCCCTGATGCTGTGTCCGTCCCGTCTCCATAATACTCGACAAGCAGCTTGATTCCGTTCTGAAAGTCCTTCAGCGGATTCCGGCCCTTCCCTTGCGGCGAAGACGCAAGGATCGCCAGCGTCGACAGACTGTCCACTAGGGTCAAAGAATAGTTCCCCAGGACGTCATTCACCTCGATATGGGCCGGATTCTCACGATCGCGCGTCAACGGTGCGCAAGAAACCGGTTTGAGCTCATCCTCCGGGAACGCGTGTTTCATGTAGTTGTCGAAGCCATGGTAGAAGATGTCCTGGGTTTCGCGGCTGGATATATTAGGGATCTGCTTACTAGAAATCCAATATCCGAGGAACTACTTACAGAAGGGCTTTCCGCGTCTCATCTACCATGCAACACACGTGTGTCACCCAGCCCAGGACCAGTACAAGGCATATGGCATGCCATGACAGTCTCGCGGACCGAATACATCCGTTGCTGCGGAACAGCATTCCCAAGACCGGACTGGTCCGACGACATTGGAGCTTACCCTGAACGAATGTTCTGAGGCATGGCAGTGGCCAAAGGGGTATATTCACCAAGGAAAGGAATCGTAGGGATATTGGCAAAAGAATGAACGCGGTAAGCAAGAAAGACTTTCCTTATGTCTCAAGATTAATAACCATCCTCCAAGTCTCAAAGGTGTCCAAAGAGACGGAGATATCAGTGGACGATACGAACCAATGACGCAATAGCAATTGACAACATTTTTCCTCGAACATCAGATCTTAAACTCTCCTTCGAAGATGCCATTTGCTTCATTCCATTAACCATGATTCCTACTTGTTCACAATCATAATATTACTCGTGTTTTGGTATCAGCCCTCCACATAATGCTGGTGCGACTGGTATCTCGGGCCTCTGCCCAACGCCTCGTCACAAGCTCTCCTTCACGAACCGCAGTCGCCGCACAACTACGATCATACCATGCCTTCGATAGAAGCACAACCCGATACATTCGAACTCTAGGTCAATCACAACGAACATCACACGTCTCAGCAATAGGCGCACGATGCTACTCCTCGAGAAAAGATCCACAACAATCAAACGAGCCTCCCTCATCTGCACAAGAAGAGTTCAGCGGTCCAAAGTCACCTGAGGCAAACACCACCCCATCATCCACAGAGTCCTTCGCCTATGAAGCTCCTAGGACCTCGCGTCCAGCTCCAGGTGCGCCCGCTCCAGGTTCGCCTGCGGAACCCTCGTCCGCAGAGGCAGAAGAAGCAAGCCAAGTCGCTAGTGGCCAGAAACCTTTGCCAGACCTTCGCCATGGCATTCCCTCCACCTTCGCAGAGGAATTCTTGAAGCAAACGGCCGAGAAACCAGAGAAGTCGACGGAACCGGACATCACAGAAAAGACGACACAAGAGTTAGAAGAAGCGCCCGAGCCTGAAGCAAAGGCGGGTGGTGGTCGTGGAGATTCCGATTATCCCAAGTCGGCATATGAGACGTCCATCGATCGGAGGAGGAATATGATGGCGCGATACATGTACATTGCCTTGTTCACTGGCGCCACCGCGTTCGCTATGTATATGGGCCGTAACTGGGAGACCGAACAAGAGGAGAAGGCCCACGCCGACGCGCCGTCCGGATGGGGATTCAAGCTCTTCTGGGACCGGGTGAAAGTTCGTCTCTCGAGTCAAATGGTTTACTACACCGAACCCGCGTTCCCGAAGCTACTCCCCGACGTCGATCCAATGATGAGGCCGCCAGGTGGAATGACGCTGGTGATCTCGTTGGAAGACATGATGGTTCACACGGAATGGACTCGACAAAACGGATATCGTCTGGCGAAGCGCCCCGGCGTGGACTATTTCCTCCGATACCTCAGCCAGTACTACGAGTTGGTGTTGTTCACGTCCGTTCCAAGCATGAACGCCGACCCGATCATCTCCAAACTCGACCCTTTCCGCATCATCACTTGGCCACTATTCCGAGAAGCGACCAAGTATGAAGGCGGAGACTACGTCAAGGTATAAATTCCCCACCGTTCTCCCCCCAAACAATCTAACCGTCCCAGGACATCTCCTACCTCAACCGCGACATCTCCAAAGTCATCGTCATCGACTCCAAGGCCGGCCACGTCAAGAACCAGCCCGAAAATGCCATCATCCTCCCCCCCTGGAAAGGCGACCCCAAAGACCAAGACCTCGTCGCCCTGATCCCCTTCCTCGAACACGTCGCCACCATGGGCATCACCGACGTGCGCCCCGTCCTCGCCTCCTTCAAAGGCAAACACATACCCACTGAGTTCTCCGCCCGCGAAGCCCGCGCCCGCGCCCTCTTCAACGCGCAGCTAGACGCCGAGCGCAAGAAATCCAGTCAGCGTGGCGTGGGGGCGTTCGCCAGCGCGCTCGGCGTTAAGCCCGCCGGCATGATGATCGGCGAGGAGAGCATCAGCGAAGGCTTCGAGAAGGGGAAGATGCTCAGCGACCAGATCCGCGAGCGCGGGATCCAGAACTACCAGCAGATTGAGAAAGAGATCCAGGAGAACGGGACGAAGTGGCTGAAGGAGTTGGAGGCGGAGCAGAAGCGCATGCAGGACGAGCAGGTGAAGGGGATGAAGAGCGGGCTGATGGGGTGGATTGGGCAGGGGTCGGGGCCGGAGGAGTCGCCGAAGTCGGCGTAGGGAGAGATAATACGGCATTGTACAAATATCGCACAATATTGATGGCGTTGGATCTTCGGGTCGGGGGGTGTGCATTTATGCGAGACATTCCACTCTGGTTCGATGGGGGGGGGGAATGGATGACAACTTTGTCGGATAAGTACGTCCTTGGGCATGCACAGTCACTCTACAACATTTGCAGCCTCGATTAGATTCGCGTTTTCGGTTCTGTCTTACTAAAATGGATCCTTGTAGATGTTAAATACGCCGTTTTCCAGTTGCTCTTCTTGGTCGGAAATCTGTCCGTTAGGCAATGTCTTTGCTTGTCTGGGATCACGTTGATATTCAGCGGTCAATATGTTTAATAGGGGGAGGAGAGGACCGTTACCTCCGCGTCACACTCTCTGAATCGTTGCTAAGCAGTATCCGTGCTTAAATTTGTTGTCTGGTACCAGTCTTGGTTCCTAATTCGGCTGATTGAATTGAATTGTACTATTATATAGGTTTCCCTGACATCGCCGGGTTGACAACAGTCCTTCACCATTCACAAGAGTCTTTCAAGGTGGTCCTTTGCTAATAATCTCAATATCTACTCATATGGCAGTGTAGACGTGTTCATTTCATTTTCGCTAGTTCATACATTCATCCATCAAAGACAATCCGATCCATTCTCCAAAGGTCCTCTCCAGCGAAGGAATCCCCGATTCGCCCGCAAAATCGCTCAGACGTCAATCCCTTCTACCGTCACGCCCTTATTCCACACATACTGCAGCGAATGCGCCACCTTCTTCGCCGCCTCGATGGTCACCAACGCCCCGATCAAATACAACGTCGCATCCAACCCCGCAGTGATTCCCCCCGCGGTAATCACCCGCATGCCCCCCAATGGCAGCTGCCCACGCCTCACCAATGACTCCCGCCTCCTCGACAGCTTCCACGCATCGCTCCCCTTCCGCGCGGTGCTCGGCCGCCGCCCATCCGGCTTCTTGCTCAAGATGAACGGGTTCTCATCGAGGTCCGGGCCGAGGTCGAACCGCGCGTTGTTCACGACGTAGCGCTCCTCCATGACGTTCGTCGGCACCAGGGAGTCCGCCTTCGCCGCCTCCTGGCAGAGGATCTCGAACTTGGTGTAGTGGTCCGGATGGGTGGTGGCGGAGAGGCCCTGGAGGAGGCCGGCTTTAGCGAGGAACAGCGAGCCGGTGCAGATGGAGAAGAGGGTGCGTTCGCGGGATGGGTCTTTTTTCTGGAGGGCGCACCAAGCTTTGGCGATGGTGACCGTCGGGAGGTCGTCGAGGGCTTTGCTGTCGAGGAGGGCGACAACATTGCCGCCGGGGATGGCGAGGATGTCGAATTCGTCGAGGCGGTCTTCGGCCTCTTCGAAGTCCATGTCGGCCTTGATTTTGATGCCTTGATTTGAGATGACACGTTCATCTTCGGCGACAGTATGGATGACGAAAGCTTGGCCTTCTATGCGGGGTTAGTTGCTTGCTCGATGGTCCTCATGGGTCAAGGGGGTGAGGAGGGGGTGGTAAGTACCTGGCTTGCTGATATCGTCGTTCTTCGCATACCAGAAGGTCTCCATGGGCCCGGTGAAGTCCACGGTGTCAAACCCCTCGTGGAGGAGGAAGAGAACCTGGATGGGCTCGGTCTTGCCGTCCACGGGGGTCTCAGCGATTGCACTCATTGTGATTGTTGGCTGGATCGAAGGACTGATTGATTGATTGATGGAATTCAGGGACAAGTTTGAGGATGGAAGCGGTTTTTGATGACTGGAATTGGAGGGTGTGACGAGAATGGACTGATCAGTGAAGTGCGGAGAAGGAGGGGCCAACAACGGAGATCACGAGTTCCATGTCACTTGCCCGCTTCAGAGTTCAGACATAACACAGTACCGGTACCTTAACTAACTAATGGTAGGTACCTTACTACGTAATAGAATAAAGGGATGTCACTCGTCGCCTGACCGCGTGATGAAGACAGGGGTGTGCGGGGCTCCTGCCCCACCCCCGCATTATGCTAACTGAACAAAGTTAGTCTCTTTCTAGCTCAAAGCTCCTTCCAAAAACTTGAAATGATGCCTGATATATACAAGGCGCTAACGCGCTAACGCGCTAACGCGACTATCTAATCACTGATATCACTGAATTCTGTTAGAAGATAAATAACCATTCACTTTTAAAGATCTATTACTTCATTATGGGTTTAGAAATCAAATCCTCCTTAGCTCTCTCGCTCTGCTCAAATCCCTCCCTTACTGGAATTTCTCTATTCCTCCTCGTTATCTACGCCCTGTTCGGGATACTACGTCCCGTTATTGATTTGTTGCGAAGTCGATAATTCGACAGCGTTAATACAAATACAGGCATCGACAACTCCTCTTAGCTCTTTGTTGTGATTACAAGTTCTAAAGTGGCCCGCTTATTACCTATCGCTATCACAAGCCTGAACCAGCATGACGGGCCAAGTCTTTTCCCAGCCTTCCCCATCCTCGGCGTCTGTTCCCCGTGCAATCCGGACAACCGGGCTAATTGCTCGAGCAATGCTCCAAAGTGAGTGGGCCAAGGCTGAGGCCGACTCTAAGGGAGACTCTCCACAGGACATCTACTCTCGACCCACCCCAAACGTGAAGGATGCGGGACTGCGTTTTGAAAATCTTCCCTTTCTCCCTCAAGAGATCCGCGAGGAGATCCTCACCTGTTGTCTTCTCAGTCTCCGCCCCATCAAAGTTTGCAACGTTGACCGAAGACAATTCAATGAAGACAGGGGATGGCGCCGGCTCATCGGATACGAATGGGAGATGATCCCCAAAAGCATTGAAGACCTCTCCCTCAACCTCCTTCACTGCGGGAACAGACATCTAGCAGCTGATGCAGCTCGCATCTTCTACGGTAAAAATACCTTCGAATTTGGCGGCGATCATGGCTGGAGCATCATCCTAGCCTGGCTGGACCTCATCGGAGAGACCAATTGCAATCATCTTCGACACCTCCGCATCGGCATTCACGCGGACCCGATGACACGCAGTGAGGATTCGGAGCATTACCCTAATAACAAGGCAAACTTCCAGTGCAATCGCCTATTCCAAATTGCACCGACCTACCTCAAGCGTAGCGAGATGCCGCCAGAATACGAGTTCGACAAATTCGCTCCTATCATGGAGAGGGTGTTCGAGAAGCTGGGAAGTCGAGGACCTGGGCCTGCACTCGATATTATGTTCCGTCCGGACCGGCAGTTTTCATTGGTAAAGATCCTACGTCTATATTACGGATGGGAGCAGACGGAGGGGTGGTGGCGATATCAACCCTACGCTGTAAAGCTGGTGCAGCGTATCAACAATGCATGCGAGAAGCACACGAGTGGCACATCGCAACGAAAGGTGGAGATGTTATGGGATTGGTGTTCTGGTGGGATCGATGCTGCAAAGGATATCACAGTGATTAACAGGCAAGGGTGGGAATGGGTGTACGGACACTCGCCCCGAAGACTTGGCTGGTGCGAATTTGTCATCCTTAGAAGCAAGATGCCCAAGGAGGTGAATCCGGATGGTGCTGACGCTTAAGAGAAGCATAGAGCCAGGTGAAAATGATTATCTAGACCACGCGAGTAGGGGGTTAAAAGCATCCGGGAGCTCGCGCTCAGAAGACAGACCATATGAGTCTATAATGAGGAGGATATTAGGGGATTTATCAGAGACGGAAAGCGTGGGCATACCCACATCATCATGTACTGCAAATTCAGCAGAATTCAATGATTATCATCCATGCCACTACCTGAACTTAATCGCCCGATATGCCCCTGCCTCAAACAACTCCCCCTTCATCCCCCCATGCACATATACCTCTTCCACCAACATCACCCCCTCCCCCCCTTCCTCCCCCCTCACCACCAACGGGACCCTCCCTCCCTCACACACCACCACCCGATCCCCACCCCCACCCCCTCTGACACCAAACACAAATACCCCCTTCCCCCCACGTCAACCGCCTCCCATTCGTATGCACCATCAGCTCCCCGAACTTCTTACCTGCCGGATATGACTCATGCTGAATGAGCCTTGACTGGGGATATTTGCTCTCCTTGCAGCAGAAATGACCTGATTGAGGAGTCGGATGTAGTCAGTTTCGATAAAAATAGGCCCAGGGGTTCTTTCCAGTATTGGCGCGGACTGGGATGCTTGTGGTAATGCTCGCGGGGCAGTACTGTCGTCGTCGACCATGGTGGCTGCTGGAGTTGGGGTATGCTCGAATGATGATCTTAACGTCGTATCTGCGGTTGAACTGCCACCTTCAGGATTATGGTTCAGGAGTGATGGAGTTTGACTAGATGAGGGCAGAAACGATGCAGGTCGGTCGAGTTGTACAACGGGTGCCTGTACTGCAGGTTCAAAGGTCATTCCTTTTGGTTCAGCATCAGCCTCTTCCTCTGGCTCTTCTTCTTCTTCTTCTTCTTCTTCTTCTTCTTCTTCTTCTTCTTCGTCATCATCTTTGAATTTCACATCCGCGATTCCTTCTGAGTCCAATATTCGATTCAGTGCAGATTCCCGAGCATTTAGCACACTCTTCAGTACACCCTCTGTAGATTCCTCTATTTTCTGAACCTTGCGTGTTTCAGGGTCAGTAATCAGCTATGTCGACATAGCTCGAGGAAGCTTTGACAGGTAGCAGACGTCCTGGCTGGTTAAGTCTCTCGGGACGTATATGCGTAAACCGGACCTGTTATCTTGGATGTGCAGCTCACTCCTTCTAATCGGATATTTGAAGGTTTCTTCACCTTGTGAGAGTTGAAGTTCCGAGCAGATTCCTTCGGTCTCGAAGACCTCGGCAGCTTTGAGCACTCTATACAGTGAGTTGATCTCGGCATCTACTTTTGGGCTTCCATAATGAACCGCTATGCTGCCAATAAATTAGTTCCTTTTAGCCTTAACTAACTAGTTACTTGTTATATTAAATTAACTTATCAATCCGATTGGACAACATTGACCAAAAACATAGCCACTCCTCGAACTATCATAGGTATATAGTAGGGAAGTAACCTCGCACTTACATCGAATCAGGTCCTCATTTAACAAGAAATTCTTCATCTCGAATAGCCTCCTTCCAAACGGGGTCCTTATCCCAAAAAAGCTCTTCATCCAAAACCGGCCCGTCATCTCAAAGGGACGCTCGATTCTAAACAGGCTCCATTTCAGGCTACGAACGGGCAGCTTGGTATAGAGAGTGACCAGTCGCAATCAAGCTCCGCCTAATTGCTCTCAGCGATTTTTTTCACACCATGCCGCTCGCCTTTTCGCCCTCTCAGCAATGGCGCACTTGCCAGCCCTGAGCAGGACCCTAACTTGGAATATCCCGTTAAATTTCTTCTCACGTATCATGAGATTCGACGATATAAAGACTATTTAAGTTGTTGTTCGACCAGGAATGATTTTGCAACGGGCGAGGAGCTGGCTGAACCACCTCTCAGACCCGATGATGTAGCTCTTCTCAGAACGCCTGCCCGATCGAGAGCCCGTGATTTCTCTGCGTAGATTGGATAAATCTGCCTTGCTTGGTTGCGACGCTTGCTGAGCACCCGGAGAGGCACTTGGACATCGCAAAACAAGAAGGCGTTAAATATGTTTTCTTACACGCAGAGCAAGGAATGTATATTGAAGAAGCGAAGAACATTGCATGCGAACTCACGAAAGTGAGTGTCAGACTACGGCTGTGCCTTCGCTGTAGTTAAAAAGGCCAAGAACTGCTTTCAAAAATAAATTTGCAACACTTCAAGCAGTCGCTCCACCAATGTCCGAGTCAAAACACTCTCTGCCAAACGCGATAATCAGTTTCCCTCAACTGACTCACCCGTGAGTCCCTCAAGACCAACTTAAGGTATTTTTACACCACTTGTCCATATCCCCAATAGAAATGGCCTCCAACTGCCTCCTCGTCTCCTCATCAAACATGTCATCAAAGTCATCCCAATGCACCAGCTGGTACGCATAGTCCTGAAGCTGGGCCTGAGCTTTGCCGATACCCAGTTGGTACATATCGATGAACCACGACTTGTGCTCCCCTGCCCAGGTTGTAAAGTCTGTAGGTTTAGTGTATGTCCCCCAGATCGTAGTATCGGCGTCCATGGCAGCGCTGCGGAACGTGTTAGTAAAGCAGTAGCAAGGAGTAATTGGAATGGAGGTTGGGGAATGAGACTCACAAGACGCCATCGACTCCTAAGTAGGCAGTTCCTCCAGCCGTGTATCCCGTCAGCGTATTCTTAAGATTTTCTTGCGTCTTTGTCTGCATCATGTACAGGCAAGTATTGATGATTCTCCCAATCCTGCAGAGCTTGACCTGGGTGTTACTTGTGCTCTCGGCAATACGATCGATTTGGGTAGTTGATGAAAAGAACCGATGCTTGAGCTGGTTTTCCTTCTTAGTGAAGACGGTCATGGTCTTGTCATATGTGGTCGTAGTTCCTAGTTGAGAAAGTAGTTTGTCCATATAGCCGGTGCTATCTCCAATTTTAAAGATCTTGCCCAGAGCATTGCAACCGTCAGTTTGCTCCGAGAAGTATTTATCATGGAGATGATTGAGGAATGACTTAACCCAGTCACCCTCGTAGACATGTTCAGCTGTTCTAGTTCAGCGCGTAATAATTAGAAGTAAACGCGGTTGGATACCTACCGTCCCAGTATTTGCCATCGACTAAGCTGTTGTCTTTGGTGTCCTCAATCTTCCAGTGGTCTTGTGTGCAGTCCGAAGATTTGTCATCTCCGCAAGGATCTACGCCTGGCAGCAAGATGGGCGCCTCGCTAGTTCCTGCATTATATAAGCCGGCGAGGTGTTCCGGCCCATAGTAGTCTTTCATTTCAATCTTGTATTGCCGAGAGCTCTTGTCGCATGTCATATAGTAACCGCGCTTGGGTGCACGTTTAGCGATTGCGGATCGGCGTCGGACGGTCTGGCGTCTCAGCCGCGCGAGTGCTGTAATAGGCGAATCAATCTCATTATCCCACCATTCCTGGTCTTCCTCTTCAATGATAACGGAACAAGTGCCGTCGTTAGACTCGCCAAGGCCCAGGCAGAGCACTGGAAATTGGTAAAGCTGATCGTTTTCGTAGAGATCGACTTCGAAGAGGACATTTCGCTTCCCGTCAATCTCAGTCCAGCCTTCCAGCTCAAGCTCGGCTCCGAGGTCTACGTCGAGCGACACGCCGAATGGATCTGCGTTACAGAAACCATTGGAATCATATCCGCCGGAAGCTGTTACTGTGACTTTCGGGAACTGGAGATTTACGTCTACGTTCACCCCGTTCTCATCTGATTCGGTGTCAGGCACTGCAATGGAATGAGTACAAGTAAGACTTACCAAGTACCTCAAGGCTAACTGCAACTGCAACCTTAGTCCAGAGTGAGCCGGTAGCAGTCAGTTCAGCTTGTAGCTGAAGTGGCTGAATTTCAAACGTTGGAATCCAGCCGTGGACGTCTAGTTTCTTTTTACCAAACAGGTCAACCTTCGCTAGCGAATCATCCGGAATCTTCGCCGCAATGCCCGTGGTGACAGTGGCTGAGCCTGCTACACTCTCGAGCTCATAGCCAGCAAGGACCTTAGCATTAGGTCCAAACGTAAGGACTCCCGGGATCCTCCATCCAGACGGTAAGGGAATGGTGAGAAGTTCGAATTCCTCTTTCGCGTCCTTACCGAACTTGTACAATCCTTCAAAGGCGATTTCCAAGTTCAAAGCAGCTTGAAGGCCACGCGGAGTTGCGCTGATCATGAACTTGTCAATACCACTGAAAGCGCTGCCCTCAATGTGTCCGGAGAACACGAGTTGACCAGATGTTCCGCAGTCGACACAGCTGACATCAAACGTAGCATGCGTCCTATAATTTGGAGGCACAGTCAGCAAATTTTTCAGAATCGGTATTTGTACCCCAGAGTTACGTACCAATTCTTGTGGATGATCTTGCTCGGCCATGTCGAAGCCAGATCAAGCGTAAATGCCTTATCGAGGTCAAAGTCTAGGAAGCTCTGACGTTTCCGCCTGGCTTGTTCGACTTCACCAAAATCCAACGTGTAAGAATGAATAATGTACTTCCAAGTCTTCTTCTCGGCTTCCATGTGAATGGTAAAGTCGCTCTGGTCGAATCGTACGCTGCTGACGAGCCAAGGATCTGGTGACCACTCTCTTCCGCATTTGATGTGGTCCGCAATCATTACAAAGGAACGCATGCCGTTGAAATTCACCCAGTCCCAGCTCTTTTTGGCGGCTTGGAACGAGATGTTGTGCCGAAATTGGACCATCATATTCTCAGTGCAGTTCACAGCCTTCAACCCCCAACCGAACTTGGCCATGTCAAGGATGAGCCTGTCCTGGCCAGTCCAGAAGACCAAGGACACGTTTTTTGGTTTCGGATCTAAGCAGTTCAGTATCTGAACAGCTCGTTAAGAGCGCGTTGCATGTACCATGGGGTGGGCTGGTCCACTGCATTTCCTCGTAATCCACCAAAGTGACGTTAGCGGCCTGGGTAGTCTCATCTCGCCTGCCGATGCGCATAGTATGATCCCATAGGTGACGAGGAAGGGGAACGAGATCAATCTCCCCGGCAGCAGAAACAAGCTGTGAAAGCCATAGAATGGCAAATGAGAAATACAATGCCCTCATTGACGCTGTCGGTAGTAGGATACTTACTTCTTCACGATGGGGTGACACTTGTGATCTCACTGGACGCTGCAAGTTCGTTGAAGGAGAGTGGACTCGACTGAGGGCCCTCGCGGATATATACTACTATGAAGCTGGGCTCGAACTCGAACTGGGATTCGCTTGTGGCACGATGAAGTCGAAAAGCTTTCTACAAACATAGAAGAGAATCCAAGCTGAGATCTGGACATGGCCCAATCAGTATGGTCCTGCCGTCGGAAAGTGGCCATCGGATGCAGCTTAGATGAGGGCATTCATCGTATACGGGTTTTCGCAGAGTAATAGGCCCATCGTCCAGAACTGCCAGCTCCGAATTAGCATCGTCCCTGGTGAGACGGAATCAGGAAACTTTCGCATTAGCAGGAATGAATCCTAAAGTTAGTTCCTGTTTTCGTTGTTAAGTTCTCGAACCTCGTATACCACTATCAATTTTGAAAGTGATGAGCGCCTCGGCATTGCAGGTTCGATGTATGGGTGGTGAGAGTGAACGAGTTGTACAGTGTCCCATTTGTAAGGGAACATGAGGCTAGGAACATACAATATATACTTCGTATTCAACGGAGAAATTGCAGGGGTTGCACTAACCCGACCCCTATCGGTAGTTATATTAACACGAAGAATATATAAGGCGAAGCGAAGGCGGCATTTATTAGATAAGGGTAGAAAGCTGTATTGATTATTAAATACCGGCCAAAACATTTTCACGCTCCAAAGGGGATCCTGACCTGGCTCCTTAAGATATGAAATTAAAGATCGCAGATTTCTGATATTCTTGATGCTGGATCGGTCGGAATATGTGCTCAGCGCGTCAACCCATAACGTGCGTGGAGAGTCAGGAAGGTGCAGGCGACGTAGCCCTGCACGAAGGCTCTTGGTGACATGGAGGATGTTGCCATTGACCGATATCTGTAGAGTATCAGTTGCATCGCCACATGAGTATGATAGAGCCTAGTATGGTGCGGACTTGATGTGGATTAGGATTATGTTAGCTTCGATGGGATCTTCTCTGCTCCCTGGCTATAGCTCCTATAGTCTGATAAGCTTGTTCTCTGATGTCAACAGAATTGAATCTTCATATCTAAACGACACACCGGATGGAGATGCGTATGTGGACTCCTATTCGTCACTAACCATCAGCGTTCGCCTTCCATGGCCGCAATAGGAACCTGGAAGATACAGTAAGAAACAACTCACATCCGGCTCTTTCTGCTTTCTTCGCATCCTTCTCTTTCTTAGCCTCCTCTTTCTTGGCCTCCTCTAATCGTTTCTCCTCAGAATCCTTATCTCCGTCACTACCAAATCCTTCGGCAAACCCTATGACCTTTCCCCGGAAGTACTTGGGAACATCATACAGCGCGAACTTGGCCGAACCACCCCATGAGGCCTTACTGGGCATTTCGGGCCGGTCTCACGAAGCAGGATCCCGGCCTTCAGCCAGGCCCGCTTTGACGCGCCGCATATTGTGCCTTTCACGACGTTCTTTGACATTATAGAGTCCTGGAAATGGGGATGAGAGTAGGGAAGACGTTGAAACTGGGTTTGCTATTATTATCATGATCCACTAAACGTTGACGAGAGCTCGAGGCTGTTAACGTCGTCTAACCAGAATTGGAACCTGGCGGTTTCAAACTGTGTGAGAACGCTTGGCGTCTTTTTGAGAGAGTGTGTGTCGCAAGATGCCCCTGTTGGTTTCTACTGCCACCTAACATTCCATTTACTGCCCTCTACCCATGGGCTAGGCCTAATCAGGACTCCTCAGTCTTCTCCTAATTATGTATTAGGTTATCTTCATCTGGTTTACTAGCTAGATCTCTTTTCCAGGCAATGAGAATCGTCAATACCAATTTGCGCTGTGACTCTACAGTAACTGAGCCTAAGCAGCGAACGTCTAAGGAGTTCCTGGTGGAGATAGCAGCAAACTCTTGAGAATAATTTGATCTTACATTCGGATAGGTCTGCTTCTGGATACGAACGTGAGTTACATAGATGTGCAACATAAGCGGTAAGTATCATAAGTTAGTAACCTGAGCGGAGCTTAAGTGGGAATAATTCACCCAATATGTCCACGAAAGACCTGTGGAAAATATCATCCGTTCTCGTTCCAAAGATTCTGCTTCGTAAGCTATTCTTGATACATGACACTCTACCGCTGGCTACTTTTGTCTTATTTTCATTTCATTTCAAATCCCTTGACACCTAAAGGACCAACACTATCGGGGATCTCGTAGCAGCCATGATCGTTTAAGAGGACTCTTGTTTTGTGTTGAGGATGTCCAACGCCATGTCCCCGATTTCCGATGGCATTTCCCCATACGCCTCCACTATTCTCCGTATCCATCCTCAACATTTTGTGGTACTGGTCCCTCGCACCAGCTTGGGTTCTCTGCTGCGTGCTCAACAGGCCGACAGTGCGCAGGAACTTCTCAAACGGCGCCTTCAGACACGGCACGCAGGCCGCAATGATTCCCAAGAACTGCTCCACGTAGCCCCAGAGTGCGAGATCGACCATGTCCCAGAGCGGGTCGGTGCTGCTCGCGTAACGCTTGATAAGAAACATTTTGACCATCGCGGCGGTGGTGGCGAACAGCCCCAGACCCATGAGACATGATGGCCACCCTCTCGCGTAAAGGGCGGCGGAGCTTGGTGATGAAAGTCAATGGTAGGAGCGAGAGGGTAACGTCAGTTGAAATGAAGACGGCTATCGTTCTGTGAGCGGCTTGGCAACACGAGGGACGACAAGGAGACTTACCAGATACGATGTACAGAGAAAGCTGTATGTCTTTTGCCGCCCAGCACTTGCGCCTAGAGTCGTGCGGTCCCAGAAGGTGCGTACAGGTGTACATTGTATAAATTGGAGTACAGTGGATGAAGCGGCGGAGCAGATAAGGAAAGATATAAGGAGAGGTAGCCATATCCGCCAGGGCTTATCGTTTCGGATGCGCATTAGCATCAGCGCGACGGAGACTTTTATAAATGTAATTGACCATGTCCAGAACAATTGCTGTATCCAGACTGCGCGAAGTGCCAGTATGATAGTCTCGGGTGTGAGGTAGACGGCGTGCCGGCCGGTGCCATTATGTATGCAATTGACTATAACAGCATACTGGCCAATTGCGAGGACCTTGAACCAGCGTAAGCTTTAATTTTAGTGAAAGGTGGAGGATGCAGCTAACCACTGCTGTGAACATAGCATAGTCGTCCCACCTAATATTTAGCACTGGATGCACTCGCGTGTATACCCGGGCCCCGTACACTATCAATGAGAAGGAGAATAGCGATGTTGTGACACCGAGCAAAAGCGGCACTTTGGACTCATCTGGAGGCATAGGATCGGGACCCCCTATAGATGCCATACCGAATGTACGTTCACATGAGGTATAATGGTAAGAAAGAATAGGGAACGGCAGACATTAGACAGAAGGACTGAGGTTCGGATTGAAATACTTGGTCCATAGAGGGAGAAGCTGAATTGACCATCCACACGGGCCTAGGTTGGCAATTCTCCTTCCTGCTGGGAGCATTGATTTAGAGATTCCGTTCTGCCTTTCAATATTGGCTTTTGCGACCGTCCATAGTGGCGTTCGCACCCACACCTCTTCGCTCGAGTCTCTGCTCGAGTCTTCACTAGTCACTGGATGGCCAACGCTGCAGATCACTTCAACTAAACTTATTGGAGGATCGCCCCTATCACGAACCACGTTAATCAGGCATACGAGTTACATGCATCACAACGAACGGCACGTAGTTCATCACAAACTCAAATAACACGGACAATGACGTTGAAAATGCGAGACAAAAGGAAGAACCAAACTCCCCTTCACGGTGCGGTCACAACTCGCGATACATTCTTGTTTGCTGTTATCATAGTAAGTTTGTGCGTGCCAAAGCTGCCGAGACGCCAAGTAGTTTCAGTCCTGGAAGCCTATTAGTATGGTACTGTGTGGGGTCAGAGTAATCCGGTCAAACCCCTGTTTTTCACTCCACCACAAAATGCATCACCAATATAAATCAATCGATACATTACTATTACAAAGGCTAACCGCTCTAAAAACATCATAGATGGAAAGAACAGGCTAATATTTAGTATACCAGCCCTTTGCCTCAAGTACAGCCTGCAGACGACGCGGTAAACTCTCAATTAGCGCGTTTACCTTGTCTTGGCCGATGGAATCCCAGGCCTCTATTATTGCGCGCATCATCTTGATCCTATCGACCTGGTTATCCTTTAGACTACCAAAATCTGGGTATTTTCGGTGTAAATAATCTTTCATCTGCTTCCAAATGTGCTCAATTGGATTCAGGTCTGGGCTATGAGGTGGCCAATCGATGCAAGCAATCTGATGGTCTTGGAACCACCTAGTCGACAACTTTGAGGTATGAATCCGCGCGTTATCTTG